CTTAAAGCCTTATTATCGTTACTAACTAACTGAATATAAAAAAAAATAAAAAAATTAATTAACTCATAGAATACTGCGTTGGACTGCGTGGGTCAAGTACCGTACACATGTACACTAGCACCAACAGTCCGTCTTTTGCTTCCATAGCTTCTTCCGTAGTCGTGTAGCTAATATTGTAGAAAAGTATGTGTATTTCCATAGGGAATCTATAATGAACAGTTTTGAATATTAGTGTAAGGCTCAACACCAGGAGTCCTACCGGCAATCAACTAGGGTTCTCGTTTGGGGATTTAAATTTAAGAATTCTTAACGTTGTTTCTAGATACCGTGCTGGTAGTGGTCATGGTTACATGTGGAGTTAGATTTACACAAGGTGTAAGTGTCTTATAGAGTTTTGGATCAGGACGATCGTTGGGCCTCTGTAGAGTATCCTCCAGCAATAGGTTATTCCTGCACGGGATTTCTTTAGAGATACCACTAGGATTCCTGGTGCTATTAGAGTTGACGAAGCGATTATACAAACCCTCTTTGCATTATTCGGTGTTCACTGCCATTGTCGTTATCCGTGCCCCAGTGAAAATGATAACACCAGAGTTCGTATGGACAACGCAACGCAGAACCACTCAATGAAGGTCTCGGTCCCGAATAGTCTACATCCACATTTACTAGTCATTTGATGTGAAAATAATGAAAACCAACAAGTTAACGTACAAATCTCGTGAAATGTGTTAGTTTTCTTAACAATAATACAATTTACTGGCGTTCTGCCACAATCTAATAAATCCCTACAATTTGGTAAACAGTATGAGCAATTTTATCATTTTGATCTATACGAAAGGACTTAAAAATTGGATTGGTCAGGTTATTGCCGAAAGTCCTTTGATTGAAGTATCAAATCCGGAGTGAAAATCAAAAGCCAGTAACCTAGTATTATGTTAAAATACCTGTATGTCCGGTATTCTGAACAGTCGTGTGAGATGGTACTGCATCTGTTTCCATCCACTTCATCGGTGGCAAACTCAATGTGATCAGATCGTTTATATCAATGTCCAGTGGACTACACGGATGTACCCATAAGCCCATAAACGGTAATCTCGGTATGATTTCTAAGTTTCCGCTTGTATTAAAATATTTCGGAATTTCTGAAAGTACCTTTCGTTTTACAAAAACGCCGCATCGCTTTAAAGCCTAGCACATCTCAGCTACGCATCATAGCTACTAAAATCAATTGGTATGGCAAAAATAATAGAGTTTTGGAATAAGGCAACACATAAATAATACTTGTATTGTCTTCGAAGCTTGTCATTCCTTCCATTTTTGGTCGTGCATTTACTTTCTACTAAAGTTGAAATTGGTAATGTTTATTTTTATTATGCATATTTTTCATAGCTTGAAAAATCACATTTCTACAACCACAATAAACGACTGTTGTCATAGGAATACCATTTTTTTTTTTATGAAGAAAACGCAATTAAGTAAATAAATTTTAAAAAATGTTAACGACAAATTATACGTAGATTGCGAAGCATACTGAACTCCACGAAATTTCCTAAATTTGTTCTTAACTGTAATATGTTGGATGAAAACTAGAATGGGTTTTCCGTCTCATTTTCCAAATATAGAGCCAACTCTTTCTAAGTAATCCGGTCAACCAAGAAAATCTACTTAGTCACAGATATCGCTCACAGAAGACCCCGAAAAACTAAAATTAAAAACTAACCGAATGAATGAATCGATTATATTATATTCTATCTACTGACCACTTCAATGTTCAACAAATATTTAGCTTATTTACTACTGTTATTATACAACCATACCACAATTACTACGTACCGCAATATGTGTTACTGTTAACAAATTGTACACTCGACTTTATAATAATTTTTATAATTTTAAAAAGTTTAGCTTAATTAATTTACAATCAGTGCGATGATAATAGGAACAACAACGGTAAAACTTGATCCTATCGTAGAACCACCACCAATCACCGGTGCTACAATGGCATAGCCGAATTCGAAATGGTCATCGACTCCATTCCTTGGAACTCTGAAAGTACCGTTTTCTCCCCAATGCTTACTGAATGAATTTAACAACAGCCAGTACTGTACACCGTCTTTTGTGCCCCATCCGATCAATTTGGCGGCATGTTCGTTTTCGAATTTTCCCCAACCGTGTGTGAATATTCCTTTCACGAGACAACAATACATTCATTTGTTTTGGTAAGCTGAATTGCATTATGTAACACTCACTATTATGAATTCCTCCCTTGTAGGTTCGAAAGTCTTCGTGCATATGAAAGGACACTTGAACCGGTCCTCTTTCGAAAACTTCTCTCATTATTATGTCTGGTCTTTTTCGCGAGAGTAGTACAAAATCCCGAACTATCGACAGATTGGTTGTGTAATTGTAACCCTTTAAAAAAACAGTTATTCATTTTGGCCTTACTTTTGTAAACGTTAGGCTCTTCTCTGTAATATTTTGGGTTGGCACATTTTATACCTTTACAAATAGGCGTTTTCGATCCAAACGTACTGCTTTTGTTCACTTCGCCCTCAACTAGTGGTCTGAATTGGTAAGGCTGACATCCCTAAAAACGGTCAATAGTTTATGTAAAATATCTGCCTTTTCGTTGTATCTGCAACCAGTATAATATGCCCTTGTGATGTTTGTTTATCACTTACATCACTAGCTACGTACGTAGGATGCTGTGGGTACGTTCCGCCGGTGACCAACCCTTCTTGACGCGCAAACCGCCATCCATTCAGTATGTTGCCCCCCTGGCATCCACAACATTCTTTACAGCAAGACAACAACATCATCGCCGACAGACGTTCTTGGATCTTACCTCGAGATTTTATGCATCTTCGATCCGTAATCGTGTCAGCGATGGCTATAGCCTAGAAAGATACCACAGGATTGAAATTGAACAGAGAATGAGTGTAGGGAAGATGATAATGCTAAGATGGATGAGTGGAGTGACTTGGGAGGATAGAATAAGAAATGAATACACAAAGGGGAGTCTAGTAGTTGCACCAATTGTGGGTAAAATGAGAGAGAATAAGTTGAGATGATTCGGTCATGGTATGAGAAGAGATGAGGCAGAGGCATGAATGTAGAGGGAAAGGAAAGAAGAGCAAGACCTAAGAAAAGATGGATAGACGTGATAGGGAATGATATAAGGATAGGTGGGGTGAATGAACAAGATGTAGGAGATGGAGAAGTTGTTGATGGAATGTAGTTGGGAGTGTAAGGCAAAGATAAGGAAGAGGAGAGAAGAAGATACTAATGGATCACAAGGTAAGGTTAGGTATGATAAACTGGTAGAAAGACCAACAATGATGGAAGTGAGTGTGGGGCACTGAATAAGAGACGTGGAAAGTGAATTGGGGAAATCATGAGAGGTTGGAGTTTGATAGTTGCGCCAAGAGCACCAAGGACATCGACAGAGATTGGGATGATGTGGGTATGTTAAAAATGAGAGGAACTCGAAATACTTAATAAAACAAGCACTTACCCAGCCAGATTTGCATGTTCCTTGATTTTTCACTCTTTTTATGGACGGACAAATGGTACCCCATTTCTTGCGAGCATCGAAAAACGCTGGAAGATTATCTTCGGGTCTTGGCGTCGTTGTAGTACGAAGGAAGATTGAATGCGGTTCTTGGTATGGCTGGAGTGTGTCTTTATTTTCCGGGTTGACTGACTGCTACCATCATGTGAACATGGTAAGTTTCATGATAGTCCAATTGTACCGTTTTTTTAAATATTATGTTCATTATGATTTCAAATTTTATAGAGGCATATAAGTTATGAACTTAAAAAAATGTAACCTATTTTACAGTAATTACTTCCTCAAGTCTCAAAAAATTTCATTTTTATCATCTACTACGTTTTAAGCCTCTGTTTGGTTGTGATAAAATTGTTTTTGGAGTAATCGCATTGAATACCTAAACTATTTCAAGAAAAAAATCCTAGCGAGAGTTGGTAATTAAACATTAACAATGACATTAAATTCTTACACTAATTTACCGATTACCTACTTGGTCGTCGTCGCCGTGTACATTTAAAATGCAGGAACATAATATTGAGAACAATAAAGAAGACAATTTCATTATATATATATAGATACCGTATTATCTAAAAAAAAAAAAATAAACTACACATATTATATTCAACAACACACTAAATGTAGTCACACGTGTATTCATTCCATTTTATTCTTACCAGTTAAAATGCATCTAATCGAAATCGCAGATGTGCGACGCGAGGACAACGTTAAAAACACAATTTGTTAAAATAGTACATGTTATATGTTCAACAACAATTTAACAATTAATATATCTGAACATAGTAAACAAATTATTAAAACTGTTTTCGATTTGTAGAAAACCATAGAAATCGTTTATAACGTATTTTTTTTTCGCGCTCATTTAAGCGCCCAGAGTTACCCAACAATCACAATAATAGTAGGTGTGAGGTAAAACCACAGATTATGTGTGGCAAAACGACAAAATGGGAGTGGGATGATGTAGTAGTTAAATGCGAATTGAAAGCTTTAGGATAAAGTAAGATTGGAAAAGTCTAAAACCGGCTGAAGGATTGGTTGTGAGACGGGAGGTAACTATTACTACAAAGTGATCATTTTAATAACCCAATTATTTGTTTCATAGTGTTTTTATATATTGTGCTATTGTATCTCTTATCAGATAACAGCGTAATGCTCTTTTTGTTATTAACGCTTTTTTGTAACACTTTTTTCGGTCATGTGCCAGAGCTAAGACATGAAAATGTCAAAATGAGTGTAATAAAACACATAGATTGATTAGACATATTACACTTGATAGACACATTCATTAGGAACATCTTCGAGGGGAGTAGTCTTGGGAAGATTTTGGGGATAAGAACTAGAAGACGCTCAAGAATAAGACATATAAACATCAGATAAGTGAAAATATACACATCAGCTGTATTTGATATATTTCGTTGTACTTAATAATGTGTCATTTCGAACAGCTATTAGTTTGTATGGGTTTGGATTTGATCAGATTTGTCGCTTGTAAATCGCCGCTAATGGCTATGTAGCAGAAGGCTCCTCCGTCGGCCGGCGCCGGTTGTCCCGCCAGAAACTCGTTGACGTCGTTTTGCGTCGGGACGGTCAGCGGGAAGCTGTCTTTGAGTTTCTCCATGGCCTTGTTGAGGCTTTCCAGCGGGCCGTCCGGCGGCGGATGCTCGAACGGCCCGGTCAGTCTCAGGTCGTACAAGTAGCCCAGCAGCGTCATCATGTAATCGTTGCGGACGCCTTTCATTTTCAGACACGCCGTCTCGATGCGGACGCCGCACAGCTTCTGCAGCCACTTGGCCACCCGGGTCTTGTCTTGCGCGCACGTGATCAACGCCGCGTACGGCCGGGCCACGTGCAGCAGATACTGGAACTCCCAGTCGAGCAGCGAGCTGAACATTTTCTTCTTGGACTTGTCCAATTTCTTCTTGTCGTTCTCCTCGGCGATGCGCTGCTTCTCCTCGTCGGCCATGTCGGCCGTGATTTCCGTCTCCTCCTCGTCGGGCTCCTCGGGCGGACACTCGGCGTGCATCGAACACTGCGCCACCGCGTTGTTGTCCTCGCCTTTCAACATCTCCTCCCACATGCTGTCCATCTCCCAGGTGGCCAACGGCATGACGGCGATGGAGAAACTGTCGGGGCTCTTCAGCGGGCCGTTGGGCGGCGGCGACTTGAACACGCCGTACATCTCGTCGTTGAGTATCGACAAGATCATCGTGAACAGATACCGGTTGCGCTTGGTCTTGAAGTACTCAGTCGCGTACTCAGCCGCGTACAGCTTCCGGATCCACGGTATGACTTTCTCTTTGTCTTTTTCTTTGCTCAAGTTGGGCGCGAATTTCTTCAACATGGCCGTGTAGTACACCAGTTCGATGTTTATCGAATCGTCTTGGGCCACGCACACCACCGTGTTGTTCGGTACAATGCGCGATGACCGTCGAGTCAGTCCCGTGGTCGTACTGGCCCCGTCCGTCCCGTGGCTCACTGAATCTTTGTCCATTTTTATAATTTGTTCAAATTCAATACAAAATATTTGTCGACACTCATAAACTGCTATTAAAATATTATTGATTGGAAATTTGTGTGTTAAAAAAAATTATAATAATAATAATATCGGTTGTCGTGCATTCTAAAATACATTCTGACCAACATAAACAAAAAACCTGTAACTCGCTAAATACTATTAAAATTATGTTTAAAAATAATTGATTCAATAATTAGTCATTGTACACTAAAAGATAAAATTATGTTAAAAAAATTTCCAAGTTTGGGAGAAACCTAATAATTGTTTTCAACTTTTCTATTGTGGAGGGTTGAAGTAATCCGTAGGCTTAACCTTTATTACAAACTAGGACTTGAATTTTAAAGCAACCTAATTCATTTAACGACTACAGCTGGTGCGATGAGAATCAAAACGATACAAGTTCTTGAACATAAAATATTTATCATTAAGATTCATCATCGAGAATGACTATAAAGATGGACATCTTTGAAATTGATAAAACTTTTATTGAAATAAAATTTATTGACCTCCGAAATAAATGTTGTGAAATAAATATTGTAGTTCAAAAACAGAATTAGTATTATAAGCTTTTTTTTCCCTAATTTTTTACTTAAAAAAACAGCTTCTTACCTCAAAGTACCATCTCACCGAAAATCGTTTTTGTTGTACTTATTGTACTCAAAGCTATATTTTCATTAAATTGCAAGATAAATGTAGGTACTTGTGTGATTATCTAGAGACGAATAATTTGACTAAATTTGTTATATTAGATAATAATTATTTAACAGTTTCATAGTTGTAGACATTTTAAGCATTTAATTTATAATTTAGTGTTGTCTAACCTTTACGGGTTGTCTTATTGTTTAGACTATTTTTCAATACCCAACTGTATAACCTTAACCTAATTTTTTATTGTGTGTTTAAAAAACAAAAACAAATTATTTAAATATGTTTTATTTAAAAAATAAATTATAGCCCTTTATTAAAATACAATTTTTTTGGAACCTTTGAGCATTTGCGTTCGACTTGACAGTAGGCTTCTCTCTCATATTTTTTTAATGAGCAGGTTTCAATGGAACTGAAAATAACCAACAGCAACGTTACAAAGTGATGTAATTAAAATGTTTTGATGGATTTATCTATCTTTAGTACGACCAGATAACAAAATAATCATGTACATTATCTTCATTAGGATAAGTTACCATGAAGAAAGTTACAAGTCAACTTTAAGCTAAAATATTCATTGTATTTATATGGCCGGTATCGCCATTTTGGCTTAACATTTAATTATATTATTTAATCTAAAGTTAAGGTACACATCATTTTTGAGCTAATCCGGTGCGAATGACAATTAAACAAATAATTCAATTGTTTAGTCATTGAAATAATGTTACATTCAATAACCATGACTATTGGTAATTAATTTAGAGGGTGTATCACTAAACAATGGTATACCTGAGTTGTGGAAATATCGCCAAAGCAGCAGGCAGCAGTCCGACCAACCTAAAATTTAAACGATACACATGTAAGTATTTTAAAACAATATATTTTGAATAGTTTAAACTTTATAGTCAATTCAATTCGTCGGTTTCATGATTTTTTTGTACAAGTTGTATAGCTTTTAGGTTGTGTTGATAACTTACAGTAATCCAATTCCCGCACCTTTGAATGGAAAATGGGCCCATTTGTTTTTTCGGTACCAGCAACTGTGGTTATCCATTAAATCGCTCAAATACGGCATCAATACTGAGAAAACAGAATAAGATATTGTGATTTTATTCTTTGATCGATTGATATTTTAAGCTAGGTGTGCTAAATCAGGATCGTCTTACTTATGCCCGGAGAAGACATGACAACCCTTGAAACGATTGTTTCTCCAATACCTTTAACTGCAGCAAGCTGAAACAAATAATGATAAGGTGATTGGCATTTTCGCGAAGAATCGACGAAAACATAAAAAATTACCACTAGGTTGACATACTTTGGAACATCCGACTTTTTCTTTTTTGCAGTTGTACAATCCTACCCCGTTGATTATTTCATTATTTCGCATAATAGGTATGTTGACGATAGTGCCGGTTATTAGTGCGGCCAACGGGGCGAATCGCTAAAATTATTTATAAAACAAATGTTAAGTACTAGGTAAAAATTAAAAATATTTTTTATATTTGACCGAATGTCTCAGGGGGTCACAACAGGCAGCAAAACGTATGAAGTAAGTGAAAAGGGCGAGCTGCAGTGTGACCAAAATGGGGAAATTACATTTCTCTAGTAGGTGCATATCTTTAATTTGTCTCACTGCTGCAATCATGCGAAATTTTACACATTTTTGTAAAATTTCCTCGGCTCAAACCGTTAGGTGGGTGAGTACTTACATACGCATAAGGGCTACACATGCATGTAAGATATCTGTGTACGCGACTGGCTGCATAAGTCGACAGTGCGGTGGCACCAATGAAAGACAGTGCAGCTTGAGTGGTTGTGAGTTTCGTGTCGCCATTTCGGTTGGTAAAATTGATAAACGAATCGTATGCCTGGGTTAAGCCGTAGCCGAACGTGTTGGACGGATTAGATCTGAAAGCAAAACGAAATCTCTACTGATAAAAGATTTAATACAGGATGTCGCAAAAATAATGGCGGGCCGTTTGAAAGGCTGTAGGCGGTGAAGTATTGGACCTACAGCGCTCTGGTAGGGCTTGGACGAAAGAGGCAATTGTCAAGTTTCGAATGACTGCCACTAGATGTCTCCCGTCACGTTCCCGTTTGTGTCGCCAGCTTGACAACTTGACAACTCCATCTTTCATTCGAGTCCTACCGGAGCGCTGTAGATCTATAATACTTCACAACCTACAGCAGCCGTTTGAAACCCCACCCCAATCTTTTTGGGATACCCTGTAGATCCGGTTGATGTACAATATTATGATGGTCGCTTTATCGCGTCAACACGACCAAAAAGTGGCAGTATTCAATCGCGGCTCACCTTAACGCCGTCAACGAAAACGGAGTTAGCAACGACTTTCCTATCGAAACAAACGACATCCGGCCGAGCAATCTTTGTCGTTCCGCCGTGTCCGGATGGTAGACATTTTCATAGAGTTGTTTCGAGAAATACAGTTGCGATTCAGTGGTACCTTTTGGTATCTTTCCGGACCTGCAAACGTGTTGCATTAAACGGGGCGGCGGTTCGTAAAAAAAATTTATCTCTCAAGACGGCGTCGTGCAATGGCAAAATGCCCCTCCCCCCCCCCCAGGTTAGAATATTACTTAGTCGAGTTACATGTAGCACAAGCGAAGTTTTCTTGCTTCTGTGATGGTGGCGCTGCTGTGGAAGCTCAACAATGGATTCGTAGTCCACCTGTAGTATTTCCATCGTCCTTCGTACGTGCACAGGTTCCACGGACAGACTGTCAGGTTGGGATTATTTGTTTTTACCATGAAATGGCAATTGTATCCGACTCGAGCGAATGTAAATTCTTTAATTTCGTAAACGATTTTTCAATTTATTTATTTAAACCTATTCCGTTGATAAGGTAAACGCAACAATTACAAGAATACGTTATAGTGAAACCACGACTACACGCTATTAGCCGCTTACTACCATGTCACTTGTATGTTATAACCGCCATGAGAATATTAAGTGAGGCGCTCAGATGCCAAACCGATTAACTGCATAAAATGAAATATTTCAAGACAGGCAGGTTGTAAAGTTATTTGAAACAATGTATGTAAGTACAATTGCCAATTTTCGTAGCGCACTCTGGTGGTGAAAACTTCCACTATGGAGTTATTTATCTTGGCCACTAAAAATTATACCAGCTTTTTGTTAACGAATGTACTTAACTATTTGTGCATATTTTATTGGAGTTGCTTCTCTTTTATAATGAAAGAAGATACGAGACTAAATGTGACTCCATTGTGAATAAAGCTGGATTTTCTATTTAATTGTATTACTTTTTTCGCATGTTTAAAAATCATAAAAATTGTAATGATATTATTTATTGTACACAGTTTGTATAATTGTAGTGCTGTAAATTTTGTTTAATAATAACACATTAAAAAAAAAATGGATAATTGGTATTTGGTTGATTTGGTCGGTTAACATCAATTTTCAAGAGATTTTTTTCTGGAAATAACTAACATAAACTAACTTAAATTTGTTTTTAATCTCGAAGTTTGCCACCAATGTCTTTATAAAGTTATTTTAAGATTTGCTGGCCATCGACATTTTTGCTTGTTGTTCAGCGTACAAACATTGAATTATTACAATCTGTTTATTACAAAAATCTGTTTTCCAATTTAAAATTTGAAAAATGGCCAACTGGATCGAATTGATTCCATCCCAGTTTAAGACGTCTGCTTTTATATCCGGCCTCAGGAGGTTTTTAAGCAGAGTAAGTAGATGAAAATTTTAAGATATTACCACTTTTTTCATACTTAAAAAATGGTTAATGAAGATATTATCCTTGCATGTGTTTTGAGAAATAAGTTTTATCTTCTGACTTCATTTACCCTCCGCAGTTCTTTCAAGTTCTGGATTCAATGTTGTAAATTTTTTTTTCTTTCGTCAATTACATTCCATGAGATTTATTGAGTGGGGTTAACTCTGAAAAATGTTGAACCTATATTATAGTATCGAATTGATTTGTAGCGCAATTTGAGACCTAACGTAAGAAGCGTTGAAGACATGTCTCCTGCCACAAGACCTCCTCCGGCCATTCCAAAAGGACCTCACCATAAATTGACAAGTAATTCTTATTGTGTTCGAGAAGCACGTGGACTAGTGACGCCACCGATAATCGTTGTGGACCAAACTACTCCTGAAAACGCAAAGTAACTATATGTTCAAGTAGTTGTATGTTGATGTTGAAGGGGAAGGAAGGGGTAAACATTTTCATTATTGGCCTTATAAAGTACCTTCTTTAGGGCAAGCACACTTTCTGATCCATATAGGCTTGAAAAAACCAATTGAGCGGTTGGGTTAGGATATTCCAACTAGAAATGTATTGTGTCCTACATAACTGTGTATTTTTTTTTATTTCTGTGTATGGTGTAACTCCACTTGTAGGTAAGTTCATAAGCTCATGTGTGTACACTGTCTTTTTTAGGATATCGGCCAAAGAAACTGCAAAAACGACAGCGAAACCGACTGGGTTACCTCTGCCGGGAAATACACACCAATGGGACTAAACAAATAATGTTTATGTTTAAACGTTGAAGTTATTAAATCAATATCCTATGTATTTCGTTTAAATGAATAAGTATGCTTCGTCCAGAAATGAAACCGAGCATTACACGAGTCAAAAGTTTATTATTATTTAATATACAGCTATATTGTACTTCTTCTCTTGTTGTATGTCAATTGTAAATGTCACTTTGGTTGGATTGGAATCTAAGTAGATTTTACTTAGCATTCATGTTTTTATTCAACCTACAACACTACTGCAAGTTTCAACTGCCTGCAGAACAGGTAAAATTGGCAGTTAGTAAAAAATAAAAACTCCTCTTGAAGGATACGCAGCTGTGATGATTATATAAAAGCATTCGACGCTATTGAACACTCAGTTTAAAATTTATTTAAGTATATTATATATATATATATATATTTTACACAAAAAAAAAAAAGAGGTTAATAATTTAGTAGCTTTTTGGACTAGGGAAACCAGTTTATGAGTAAGTTAGTAGTTTAATTAGAGCCTTGTCAATACTATAAAAATATGTATTTATAGTAAATAAGATTCACAGCAAATTTGGGCTAATAACAAAATATATACAATAGTGTTAACATTTTTAATTTTGTTTTTTTGTCCTATTTTACCACCACAACAAACGGTTAGATGAGTCCTCGAGGTGGACTGTTGTGTACTTTGGCTTTTCTGTTTGAGCGCCACTCACTCTTTGATTTCCACTTTGACTTTCTTTTTAAACGCACGTTTGGACTTCTTTTGTGACCTAAAAAAAAAAATGTCCTATTAAACACGTCCATGTAGAATTCTGTAATTATAAGCGAAAAATTGGAATTTGTTACACATAATTTTTAAGACCTAATCTATATTTTCTACATTTCCTGAAATAAATCCACTTGGAAAGAAGCTAAGCTAGGTACCTACACTACTTTTTATTTTTTTTCTCAAAATGTTTAGCTTTATGCCTTAAAATTATGACAAAAACCGAAAACAATACATCCCATTATATTTTTTGCTTCTAAATACTTCTCTTATATAATTCAAAATGTAAAAAAAAGCTAAATTTTTCAACATTTTTTTTGATTTTTCCCGATTAAGTTCAAAAATGTCGTAAGAGGACTTTTTGATAAATACATTTTTTTTAAATACTTTTCACTAGAAAAGTGCAGTAAAAAATGTATACTTTCAGTTTATTTTTAGTGGTTTTGAAATTGCAAAAAAAAAACCCAACCTAAGTACCGCTAATGGGCACAACTAGAGGGGGGGGGGCTGGGGTACCTGACATTATTATTAATAATTTTATTATAATATTAATAATATGATTATTATTAATTATTTGGGCTTTCAAAAATAAAGCGACGGTGATTGTGCATAAGGTTCTGATCTTACTCGTTAACGGCACTTGCGGTTGTCTTCATCTTGGCTTTGATTTTGACCGGCGGCTGCGACGACGACGACTCTAGTTGCTGGTTACCTTCTAAGATGGGCTGCAACACCCGTTTGGTGGCTGCGACGCCATTTTTTATTTTGTTGCGGTTGTCCGCTTTGTTGCCGGCGACGGCCTGTTTGTTGAGCGCCGGATTGGCCGGCTTGATCAGCGACGTGGCCGTGGTGGTGGCGAGCGGCGACGTTTTGGCCAATTTCTGTTTGGGCTTTTTCGCCGTCGTCGTCTGAGTACTGGCGTGCGTACCCGTCTGAGTACTGGCCTGAGTACTCCTCGTCCGCGTACTCACTTCGACGGACCATTTTTTCAACACCGGCCGTTTCCGCACCGGCTTACCGGCACCGTCGGCGGCGGCCTTCGACTCTTCGCCGGCCTCTTTCGGTTTTCTGTTGGCGGCGGCTGCCACGTTGTTCTTTTTGGCCACTGCTTCGATCGGGTTCTGTGGCCTACGCTGGCCGTGCGTGATGAGTGCAATGTTTCTAGGCGTTTTGCTCATCGTCGCTGGTAATATTTTTTTTTAATTTAAAATTTAATGTATTTTGATCAAAACCAAACGGGTTTTCAAAAAAGATATACTTAATAATATGTTGATACAATATGAGATTTTGAATTTTTCAAATAAAAAAAACATACAATTAGGTAAACCGGGTTACCAACAGCTTGAATTCTAGCCAATAGCCAACGCTATTGTACCTGTATCGACGGATGAAATTGTTCAGGAGAGCAAATTTTAATAAGATTGTAAGACAAGGTTTTTATTGTTCAATGTAAATATCACAATACTTATAAATTTTAGATTAAAAGAACTGCATTAATTTTTTTTATCTATTGCTGTCAAAAAGTGTATTCTGGAAAAAAGTTGGACTAACTGCAAAGTTGGCGAAAACCCAACATTGTATTTATTAAATAGATTTCAAAAATGTATTTATATATTTTTTTTAATTAAATTTTTACTTTAAAGTGACCTATAGTTTTGTGATTTATGTCGTGCACTTGTATAATAATTATTAGTTTTTTGCAATATTACCGAAGAGATTTTATTTTTTAATTACCAAAACTCATAAAAACAGCCCTTTTCTAAATACTTATGTTTTTAAAAAATTAGTGGGATTTTTTTCCGGAAAAACAGTCAATACTAGCACTAAGCCATCGGATATAATAATTTCAGGATTGGGACGTATTTTACCCAAAACGCATAGTACCTACAATGGAGCTAGAAACTATAATTCTAACATATTTTTCTGTACACGATTAAAGATAAACAAATAAATGAATATAATAACAATATACATTATACTGTATACAATAGATATACAATTATTATTATAACCTCTTAGTTGTAATCGTTTATCAATTATTATTATCAAAATTTGTTGTTGTCACAAACAAAATATTAGATATTGTGATAAGATCCGTTATCTCTTATCAAATATATAATTGCTGTTGATAGTTTTTTCAAAAAAACAAAGAGTAGCACCTTTACCGACTTGTGACTTCTGTTAAATTATAATATTTATTACTTTGTAAATGATTTTAAGTACTGATTTTCTTTGTTAAAAAAAATACAATAATTGTTTTTGAAAAATGGATGACAATAATCAAACAAAGGAAACCGTCGAAGAACCAACCGTAGGAGACAATCGGACGGAGTGAGAATCTATAACAAATATAAATATTACTAGTTCATATTGTTTTTATTTTTAAAAAGTAATTTCTACTTTTTTTTTATTTCGTTGTAGGTCCAAAATAAAGCCGGGATTATTTTTATTGAATTCTTACGTTAACCAGTTGTGTCCGAATCTAAAGGAGGTCCAGTCGGAAATAAAAGATGTGGTGTAAGTACTCGAAAAATGTTTATTTGTTATTGTGTGTTGAATGTTGTTGCATTTCTAATACAAATTTTGTTATTATTTTAAACAAGAACAACTATTTGATTTTACTTGATCATCCGTCTCGCTTTTGTCGGTAAAGCCTCGGTGATTGCCGTTCATCGTAGTGCAATTTAAGTATCACTCGTAGCATTGTTTTCGTAATAGGTTTGTTCGGATAATAGATTAAACGGATTAATTATATACAACAGTTATAAAAAGCAGTGGCCTAACGTGTGTTTACTTGAGTTAACGCATCATATTTTTCATTAAACATATTTTATTCCAAATGTTTCAATCATTAATATACTATTTGATGTAGGTAAAACTACACGTGTAAATTCAATTATATTAAATTATTTGTTACGATTTCAGAGAGAAACAGGAGTCGTTGGTGAACGCTTTGGCAAAGGAAAATGAAGAGTTGTCTAGTTTATTAAACGAAACGGATATTCAGGAAATGGTATGTAAACAACCACTCCTTACCTCTCGAAAGTTTATAAATTTATAATAACTTACCCTACCCGAAGAGATTTTGTTGTCTTTTAACTACAGCATGTTGTGAATTCGACATTTGAGAAAAATCTAAACATTTACCTTAAATTACAGCAATACAACTTTCTGATAAAGTCTGAATAGTCGCAAAATTGTTTTTGGTATTTTATTCAGATAAATAACACTTTTTCCATTCTGTCAAAAAACAAGTAATTATCATTAAATATTTCTCGTTAAAGTACTCCTACTTTTTTCATATTGGTCATTAACTAATACAATTTTTGTTGAGGAAAGAGACCCGTGGATTGAGTTGTACATTGTCTTACAATATTTTACAAGATTTACAATAATTATCACTGTTATTTTTTTTATGTTATTCTTACAGTTTCAGATGACTAGTTCAACTTTAAGTATTTCTCTTGAATTTTGTTTTTTTGCAGTTGATGGGAAATTTTAATTTTCAATTTAACAAATTCTTCTAAACTGATCAAAATTTTTCCAATTTTAGAAAAAAAATTCTTTAAGTTTAAATGTTACTATTCAAAATCCCTCTCTTGATATTTTATGATAAAACATTTTTTTTTTTCAAGTCCTATGAAATTGAGCTTGAAATAAATAAAACCAAAGAAATAACAGATTTCAGTCGCTTGTAACTTGATACAAAAAAATATAGGATTAAGTAAAAATAAATACAATGTAGTTGTGTTACAATAAGTTATTAGTATGGAAAATATTCTATTCTATTTTGATTAATACAATGAACAATACTTTTTTCAGTTTACGTCGGTAAAACACTGTTACGGACAACTGACGGAATTGAAAAAGAAATTAATATTCCTACATAAGAAATCGGTTTCAATGGAAGTAAGTGTAAAATCGTAATAAAAAACCGCTCTGCTCAATTAAATTACTTTTAAAAATGATCAAAAGAACAATTATTACTGTATGCTATAATTTTCTATTTATGTAATGTTTAGAAGAGAGCCAACGTTTTGCGTGTCGCCAAACAAAGGGAAGCGTTACAAAGAGAACATCGTAAAGAATCAATGTTGGTGCGCGAGCAAGAACTTATTTCGAAACCTTCATAAAATCATTGGTGCTGCTCATACTTATTACCGCTATAGCAACTTTTAATGGTGCGTTCCGATAAGTCGTTTACATTGAACTATTCCCTTTTGATGTTCTCTCAAAATCGTCTTATACCTTATCGTTTATATGTTAAATTTACATAAAAGTTCATGTTTGTCATACGTACGTAATATGCCCATACAGTATACACGTCTGTCGATAAACACATCTACGGATGTGTAGTTGGACAATGTGTATACTGATGTGTTTTTTTTATTTTTTTTAATCATATTAAAATGTTCATTTTTATATATATATATACACACACATATATATTTATGTACGATTAAATGTCATTTGAAACTGTTTTATATTTAAGTGATATGACGTATTTACGCGTAATAGTATTTTATTTTATTATAATATTGTAATCGACAGGGTATGCTCAGGTAATTTATGTATAAAAATTATATGTATTGAAAATTAATAAATTATATTTTTGTTATAATACATATTGTTACGTTGTATTAACTATTTGCAAAGTCACAGTAGAAGGTGTTACAATAATAGTGCGATAACTTATTTTGATAGTGTAAACAAATAGTCAAAAAAAGATCTTGGATCCACATACTGTTTAAGATTATATATATATATATATTTAGTATTGATGTGTACCCAACCTCTGCCCTTTATAAATGAAAGTCTGTTGATTATTTCAAAAACAAAATAGGCATTTAAGTATTTATAACCCTTTTTTTTATTTCAACTTCATTTTTGCAATAACAGACTTACATTGAGGAAACAACCATGGAATCAGTCTTCAGGCCTAAGTTTCCTTTATGTGTCAGTTTGTGAAACTAATTTCTTTTAAATACATTTTCTAAACATTACAGTAAATAAATTTAAATGTATCAATTCAGTTGGTATATTTTGTGTTTAACAATAATATTTGTGACTGAAATTATTATTATTAATGTACAAACCCTTAGATAACATAACAGTTACTTGCGGTTTCCATACGAATATTATTATTATGAATTGCTTTTAAATAACAATAATGTATCCGATTTTAGCTATTGTAATTGGGTAGGACATACAAAATAATTTCCTCGAATTGGTAGGTGTGTATAATTTATATTACAATATGTCATCGTCATCGGTAAAATAGTTTTTTGAAACTTGTTTTATTTTTTTTTTTCAAATGTAGTTCAATTTTGATGGCACAAATAACTTATAGGTAGGTACACCGACATTAATTTATGGCAGTACACTCGCATGGCTTGTGGTTTTTGTTTTAAATGAGTATTTAATGTACAAGAAAATGAATATTGTTAATAGGTAATTTATGTTCATTATATTTGTTGCATAATAATAATAATATATCAATTACTGTACTTGGTAATTTCGCCCAATACCGAGAAGTTCTTTTTTAACGAGTTAGGCAAAATATTTTGATATCAATATTTCTATAGCAATTATCTCGACCAACAGCTAATATGATTGATTAAGTTAATACTAGACCTGAACCATGAAAAACACCAGTGAGAAAATCAGTGGTAAAATATAGCAAGCCCTGAAGCCTCTATTGTAAAATGTAACTATTAATATAATTAACATTTTGTTTTCATGACTAACACAATTAAAATCACAAACATAATGTTTTTGGATATTATAATTTTCGGTTAATCGATTGTATAGCTACTTTATTATTATCGTTTTTTGTTTAAATGATAAAAAGATTTTTAATTATTATTTAATTTTACATATAATTTCTTTATCTCAATAATATTATTATTCATATTTAAGGGTGTTGGATGTATAAATAATTTGTCGGCTTACAAAACTAACAATAAGACAACTGATAATTTATTATGATGAACAAGTATTCAGTTTTTGGTTACTGTTTTTATATTAACCGTTTATCTATCCGTTTAAACACATGTTGATGATGGATTTAGCTGATTGCTTTCTATACCTATTCTACTATAGATTAAAATTAAACTAATTAAGACTAGTATAAATTATTATAGGTATTATTAATCTGAGTGGAAGTATCTGAGTACATTTTACAATCTAGGTGAAAATTCTCAGCATTTCCCATGAAAACGGTTGACAAGTAGGTATCTGTTTATTTCCCAAAGAATTATTTTCATTTCTACAAGTACATGTAATTGAACTGTGTACTAATATTACAATAATTTTAATACATGTTAGTGTTTCAATCCTTATAATATTATTACAAATGCTCATCCAGTATGAAACGTGTGTCGATACAATCCATATTTGAAAATAGGTCGTGTTACTCAATGAATAATATTATTAGCTGCTATGTTTAAAATACAACATATTGGCTATTATGTTATTATTGTTATGTTACATTGTTTGGAATATTTACACGGATGACCGGACACATATTGTGTGTGTGATCGAATTTCAATGCCGCATTTGTATAGTGTGCTATCGACCAGCCTATAACGATTATAATAATATGCTTTTCCAAGAGCTAATGAAAACCAAGTATGATATTATTATACTATATTTTAATTTAGTTATGTAGAAAAAAAAATAATATATAAAAAAAAACAATTGGGGTCAAAATAATTGTCAATAGACAATAATTATCATACGGGGTGATCCATATGATGTAAGGCACTTAGATATTACATATTTACCTCTTATAACTATTATCATATTATGTGTTTGGGTTTCTAAATTATTCCAGTAGCCCATAAAATTGATATTATCCATACCAATTCAAGCACAATGTCCATACTTAAAAACATAAAATAGGTATTCACTTAGGATGGTCTAGATTTCAATTGTTTAAAAAATATTTGAGTTTATCTACGTTATTTCTAAAATCTGATCATTCTAATAACACTGAAAAGTGCACTAGACAAAATATATGGTGCAGTTCAAATGAGTAAAAGAGACAAGTATTGTTTCTAAACCAAAACGAATAGTTCGTTTACTGTTCAATGCTGTCATCGGTCAAGGTAGATAAACAACATTAGAGACATCATTAAAAGATCCAAACGCGGTATTTACATAAGAAAAAATAATTTGGTTATAGTTGTCATTGATTGGAAATTTTCTAGTTGGATCCACTATAATGTAATATGGTTGCAGCCAACCGGGTCATTTTAGTTGGAAATACCAAACTAATATAGTTGTTTATGAGTATAGTTGGTTCTACTATAATATATATGGTGGCACCAACTACATAATTTTAGTTAGAAATACCAAACTAATTTTGTTGTTTTTGAATACTTGGATTTTGTAAACATAACTTAACTTTGTAGGACATCTTAAAGACAGTAAATTATTTTATTAAATTTTTTTAAAAATATGCTATGTACTGTTTTTATTTTATTTTAGACACACTACTACACAATATCATCAGCTATACATTTTCAATTACCTACACAGTTGTACCTAATCCTATGTTTAAGGTACTAAACCAACAAAATATTATTTAGCTTAACACAAATTGAAAATTAGTTGGTTAGTGTATAAATCAAGACATTTTTGCACTATAGATGAACGGCTAAGAACCATTATGAACACCTACTAACACCTAAGAATTGCATTGTTTTCCATTGTGAATTATACAAAAACTATTCGATCAAATATATATTAATAGTAAAACCTGTATGGATAATTTCCGCAGTGACCCGTCAAGTAATTTCGAAAGGGCACTTGGGCGGATTTTGGAAAGCGACTTACATTAGTGTGATAATGGCTTTGGATACCTTTTGGATGACTTTGCAATTATTACTAACTCGTGACATTTTATTTATTTAGGCCGTTATTATAATAAATTGCAACAATACAAAATCGCCTTTCTAGTACTTGTCGCGGTCAAAATTCAGCCAGACCACGTTAAACGACTGGTTTCTATTTCATTTGTACTTAATTAGACCATTAGGAGGGTGCTTGGAATTTCTCACAACAAATTTAAATTATTTTCAACTATGTACACATTTATACTATAGTTTGACAGATCAAAACAAAATCGCGCAGGACAAACGGCCATTATTTTGTATCTTTTGTCTGTTTGCTGTAAAATTACCTACCTATACAATGATTATTATGTTAATTAATAGGTATCTAGTCAGTGCCGGCAATATGGTCTACAGAGTGTGCTTTTTTTTTTTTGTTATTATTACTTTTTTTTTTTTTTTTTTTATAATAGTCTTTATTTTTTATCAGGTCGAAATTTCAAAATGTGTTTACGCAAACAATTATTATATCATATGTAGACGCATTCCATACGGGTTCGCGTAACACACACACACACACATATAATAATATAGTAACACATGTATATTTTATTATTGTGAATTGACACTGTCCAATATCATAATATATGTTGCAAAAAAAAAAAAAAGGAACAGTATATTATATATATTTTTTTTTGCAATATATAAAAAAAAAAAAAAATACTGGATAATTCCACCGTCGTCGTCGACGTTTAAGCCGGTCACACACACAAATGCAGTGTATTATTGTGTGGATTATTGTATTTTCTAATATTGTGTACAAAATAATCGTAATATTGTATTGTATTGTATATTGTGTTATATTTCGATTCTGTGCTGCTGCTGCTGGTGGTGGTGGTGGTGCTGCTGTTGGTGGGGGTAACGCCAAGAAACATAACAATAATATAATATAGCATTTAATAACGTTATATTATACATTTTAGTGTGTTTATGTGTTAATGACGAAATCGACGAGCATTGGTCTTCGTGCCGGGTTTCTTTGGGACATTGGCATTGCACTTATGCACTTGGGCTCGGCCACAAATTACAGCAATAAGTTTTTGATTTTTTCCTTATTCAAGTGGTTTAATTGGACGTTTTCTGACCGAAAACCGAATATCGTCTGACTGTGTTTTTTATTTTAAATTTGTTTTATTATTGCATTAAAAATTGATAAAACATGACGCGTTCGACGTCGGTTTCTTAGTCCGAGTTTTGGATTTTGTGGTTGTATTTTTATATTTCTTTTTTTTTTTTGGAAACGCGACCACCCCAAAAAACGATTGGCCTGAACTCAAGTAAGTCGATAAAAATTATTAATATTTTTTACTTGTTCGTATAACCCCGATGGTCATTTTCAATCAAACAGTAAACGTATGAATCTATTTTTGATCAGCTTCGAACCGTTTTTTCAAAGTTATTGAAAGAATATAATCCGAAGGGCATTACATTTTTTTATCTAATTATTTTCACACTGTTTTTGCCCTATTTAAAATAAAATATATTACAAAAAATATTAATTTTACCAGCCTAGTGGAAAAAGGATAATATATCTTAAGAGGACGCCACACTGGCCATTTTTAAGGAGTAAAGTATAGGCAATTTTTCGAAAAATCTTAATTCGGAGTTTGAACTATAATGTATACTTATTAATACAGTATTGATGATACTTTGTTGATTGCCATTTTTTTTGTCAGACTATCACAGTCATTTCCATAGGATAAAATACAATTTTGTTGCCATCAAAACTACTTTGCGCGGATTCATTTTTCTCAGGCTTCATATATAGTTAAGGAAAGAAATTCATACATATTATTTATGACAAAATTATCTGTGTTCCATCATCCGTATTTTTTCGATATACTTAATACAACCAACGCTATATCATTTTTAAAAAAGTAAAAAATGTCCTTTCTTAATTAATTAATTATTCATAAACTGGTTGAAATATTTTAAAAAGGGCGATGGTAGAACACAGACAATGTTGTTGTCTATATTAAGTAAAAATTTGGTTTCTTAGTTTTTATTATAGCTTTTGTAAAATTAATCCGCACAAGGCGGGTTTATTGAAGAAAATAACTGGTGTGACGTCCTCTTAATACCGAATGGTCGGAAAACTAAAAGAAACTGTTTATTTTCTATGTATAATTTATGTATACATTTTAGTGCATTTATAAAATAAATATAGGAATTTCTGCTATAGTTTTTGTAAATGAAATTTCAATGGAATTTTATGCTTCTTCCTTCTTACACTATAACAAATAATGGCACACTAAGACGATTGACATTGCTTCCATAGTTATAGCAATATTTTAAGGTAATCGTTTTTGATTGACTTGTTCGATTTTGAATAGCATTAAAGTGTAGTAAATTTTTGGCCAAATTCTATGGCAAAACAAAATAATTGTTATCTCTCTCTTTCTCTAAAAGTTATTGTTAAAAACTGTTCCATACGGGCTATACATTATTTCTAGATTCAGATGATGTTTAAATCAGAGGCAGAGGCAGTGAGAGGTGTTATGAAGATAAATGTAGAGGGAAAAAGAGGAAGACCAAAGAAAAGATGGGTGGACGGAATACAGAGTGATATGATGGTAGCGGCGGTTATTGAACGATATGTAGAAGACCGAGCTCTGTAGAGGTGTAGGACTAGGGTGGCCGACCCCATGTAGTTGGGAGTGTAAGGCGAAGAAATGAAGAAGAAGAAGAAGATGATGTTTATTAAGTTTTTAAAATACTAAACAATATTTAATTAGGTATTTAGAATATGATGATGACACTCGAAGAAGGAAAAGACAGACAGTACATTATTCTGTATATGTGCACGATCGACAATATTTATTTACATTTTACACATTTTTCTCTATTTTTAATATTTTAATTCTAAAAATATTTTAATTGTTATACCTACCTATTTTGCGGTACCCCCTTCCCCGCAAAATACAACCGAAGATACTAAAAAATAAAATAAATTATAATTTATAACAATGTTAAGTCACATTCTGACGGAACGACGTATAACAGGAATGGTAAAATCAAATATATAGTTGTAAAATGGTAACTTTTTTAATACTGGGCCAATTCCTTCGAGTAGCAACTCTACAAATCACAAATTTCATCTGGTTGGTACTTGGCCGGGGGGGGGGGGGGATAAAAGTTGAAAAAAGTTACTTCTTCACAGTTATAATTTGGAAAAACGTATATTACTTATTAGTATTAAAGTTTCAACTTTTACTTGCTTTAATTTCCAGAAAAAGGGTCGGGGATCGAGTTGAAATTCATAAGAAATATTTAATTGGTATGCCCCTTTACGTCAATAGTCTCAAATTTAAATTATACCTACCTCCAACCCCCCCACCACCCAGGGGATACATGTTTTTTTTTGTTACTTGGGTTTTTTAACCATAATTTTAGTTAAATCTTGAAATAAAAATCAGCGAACCGTGCCAATATGTATTAGGACTGTTCCTAGTAAGTTTTCAATAATATAGTAAAAGTTTTAGATTTTAATTTTTTTTTTCACTCAAGTTTCACTTAATATGTTGCGACTTATGCCAAAGTAAATTTTCGACCAAACATAATCTATATAACTTATAATCTATATTACAGTATACAGTATGTATTTATGCTAACATTATAATTAAAAGTAATGTAATAATTACAGTGTCGTTTATCATTGTTGGCCTATTCAAACATGTTTTACTGGCATATTTTATAAATTAAGCTCAGTATCTTGTTTTGTACCTCTGAAATCCAACTTTGTGCCATTAAAATACTTAAATTTAGCATATTATGACAAAGCCAAAAAGAAAGATTTATTAATAAGAAATCGTATTCGCTTTGACACCTTTGATTTTGTGTACCTCTTTTTTTTTGTATTCAAGAAAACGAATTAATCTATGTTTTTTCCTCAATACAACAAACATAATTATAGTGACACCGGACTTATTCAGGGCTTTATGTAACACTTTTAAACAATTTTTTAAAAGAATAAGAGAGAAGCGATATATGACATTAATAATTGATCTAGAAGGCGTGTTCTATATGAAAATATGAATTAAATGGATAAAAAACTGTTCATTTTTGTATTACATTATTTGAAAAAAAAAATTTCTATTCCGAAAATTTAATAAAAACATGTATTTTTATAGAAATATTTTATATTTAGGAATGAGAAAATTATGTAAAAGGTTTTTGAAGAACTATAAACAAATTGAAAAATATGCTTATATATTTGCATTGTAACAAAATTAGCTCAAAATATATAAAACCCGGCCTTTTCAAATTAACAGAAAAAAGGGGATTTGGATGCGGTCTGTTTATTTGATGGTTTAGACCAAAAATTCGACTACTTAGGATGGTCCGATTAAAATTCTATAAAAAGATTCGAGTTCTTTGGCTACTTAACATGTTATGTGGGAAGCCGATTTTTTACTTTTTAGTTTTTTATGTAAAAAATTGTGTTTTATTATTGAAAAAATTGCAAATTTAATTTATTTTATTATAAGAAACTGACATTTTTAAATGAAAATCTTCTTCCTACATAACATAGTATAGTAGTCAAAAAACTCGGATCTCTTTACAGAATTGAATTTGTAGGACGGTACAATGTGTAGTAGGAATTTTGTCTGGCTTTTCGGTACCAAAATGGCATAAAACATGATTTAAATTAAAAATAATACCTTGAAGCTTATACAAATTAACCGGTCAACTAATTGGCATAGTCGAAATGTATTAAAACCGACTTTTTCTTTAATATTGCCTTTACAAAGCTCCTTAAAAACAGACCGCGTGCAATCCTCTTAAAAGGATAAATCTATATTTTTTTAAATCGTTTTGGCAGACTTTGGAAAGTGACTCCTAGTTTTAGTTTTTCTTTGTATGCAGTTTTGCCGTTTTCCGTTTCCATATACATTTGATATAAATAAGTTATAATTTTTAGGTCCACTCGTGACTAGACTCGATTATTAAAATATATTCTTTTATTTAATTTATGTAAATGCAGTTGATAATTGCATATAAGTACGGTGAAATTATGTATTCGCATGTTTGGAAATTTTTGTTTCAATGGCAACTAGGTCGCCATTCATAAAAAAAACTGACTTACTCATCATATTGTATGTAGATATGTAGGTACGCATTATTAGGCTCGTGTATGTGTGTTTTCCTTAAGTACATCGTTCGGATCACAACACACAGACAATTAAGGTTTATGGTAAATAAGTATTTTGTCAAGGTTTGTTTGTGGCGGGTACACAATAATCAGTGAGAGTCACTTGGATTGCAAGTTGCAACCAATATTAATGAGTATAATGACTAATAACTTATTGACAACGGCGTTTAGGCGATTCCCAGACGGTAATGTATTCTTGACAACAGTAGTTTTAATAGCTACACACATGTTATGTAACACAAATTGGCGAAATTAAATTTTTTATTTTAATTCTTAAGAGTAGCTGTTTAAATTTGCACTTAACTACTCTAGAAAAACAACTTCTTGCCCTACTTTTCAAAACTCAGGCATGTACCTACCGATTATATGGGTCATCTGACTTGTTTCAAAATTCTAATGAAAATTAGTTTTTGTTAGCCTTTTCCAGCAATTTTCCCAACGGGACAAATATACAATATAGTTTGAGCAACATAAATTTGAATGGAGCACTTATTCCCATCCTGTGGACGCATCCCTGTTAGTTTGACTACCCACAAAGTTATCGATTATATTGTATTTAAAATAAGTGTATTATACTAACTTATTATACTGTTTTATTTGCGTCGAACAAACATTTGTTTGTGTACATACTTGTTGAACTTCTTTAGCAGAGTACTAGGACGGGGAGAAAGATGCAATAAAATGTATAATACAATATAGAAGTATTTTGTTTTGTTTTAAAAATTAATTTTAATATGTTTTTGTTCTGTATAAAATGCTGGATTTCGCCCAAAAAAAAAAAAATTGATTCTACTTGAATCTTTTATGTAAACTATAAGAGCAAAAAAAAAACTATACAACTGACGGATGTTCTTATATGTCCTTCTTGCGAATCTTTATGATGTCAAAAAATGTTTTCCAAAGCGGTGGGTATAGCTGTACCTACAATGCACTCTTTCTGCCAACGCTTTTAAAAAGTTAGAAAGTATTCATTATTACTGAGAACATGTTTTGGAAAAATATAATATATTTTACATATTATCAATGTATATATGTATATTAAATGTAATTTTTATGGCGCTGTAATAGGTACCTAATTGTTTCAACCACCATTAAATTTTACAACTATATTAAAATCTACAAGTTTTTTTTTACTTTGTTTTTTTTTTTGCACTTTACTTATTTTAACTACACCCTATAAGTGTGCAGTGCCAATTTTAAAGTTTCTACAAAATGATAGGAGATCGGCGTTTGGTCAATATCGAATATTATTACTATTATTCGTTTGGAGAAATGTATAACGAATAAGTATACGAATAACAAATAGTGATACAGAAGTATAGAGATATTAAGTATAAGTTATTAGTAGAAGTAGGACTTCAATTCTAGATTTACAAAAAAAACAGTCAAACAACTTTTTTTTATAAAAACCGACAATGAACGAAAAAATTTAAAAAAAAAATCGAAAAGTTTGAGCTTTATAGATTTGTATCAATATTTTTTTAATTTTAATACATTTAGATACATCACATCTACATGTTATATTTAAAATGAGTATTGAAACGAATTGTATAAGACAAGAATAAGGGTTATTCTGAAAATTCAAATTTTTGTGATTCGACCCCTAATTTTATGGTGAGCTTGTTGTATTGTAGCAAACTGTAAAATTTACATAAGCCTAATAATTTGTCACCTACTGATAAATGATCAATTTTGACATTTACTTATTTTACAGCAAAATTAGAAGACACGATTAAACGACCCCCTCACTTCTAGGTCGATTGCAAAGTGTTACATAAATAATGATGTTAGGAATTTAGGCAATGGAAACTAATAAAGTTTTGCCTTTGCGATTGAGCCAGATAAATAAAAACATAAAATAAAACGTTGGTGTGGAAACTTTAAACGGTCCTTTTATTGTCGAAACGTTTCCGTTTCATTTGCTTTCCAATTCCAAATACTTGACAATCCCACTATAGCTAAGTCCTATGCCGGTAATAGGACCCGGAAACCACTTTAAAACGTCGGCGATACCACCGGTAGGGCTTCGTTTAAAAGTTAAACCGTTCCTTTATAGTATCATATTAGGTATATAGATAGGTGGCACTTAATCGAATCACAAACTGAAAGAAATCGATCCGGGTAACGTTAAAAGCTATTACTATATGTATAGTAGGACCATACACGCTAAGAGGATAAACGGCGATAACCGTTGACCGGATATATTTTCATTCTGTTTTTATTTGCTAAAAAGTGTATTAACTATTATATTATATTTGTTTTTGGCATACAAATATTTTTGAAATTTGTCAAATTATTAATTAATAGAGCATTAAACAAAAATGTGTTCACGGTAAATTAAAATGTCCTACCACTGAGAAAGTAGGAAAAAAATCCTCAGCTTGTATTAGTAATTTTCATTTTCTTTTTCATGTGTACAGGGTGATTCATAAAGGTTAAGAAACTTTTTTTTAATTTAATTTTGTAGGTATTATTTTTGAAAATATTTTTGTTTATGTTATTTTAAAACATTAAAAAAAATTCAAATATTTACTTTTTTTTGTAAAAATGTCTAGAGCTATATCAATTTTTGAAACTTAAATGATAATATAAGTATGTAACTTTTTAAATTAAGAATAATTTGCTGAAAATGTTGACTGGCCAATACCCGATTTTGGATAGTTATATTCATAAAGTAATTAAAGTTTAAAATTTAAGATGAAAAGGGTTGATTGAACTATTATTTTATCTGCGCTAATTAATCCACCGTACTCTCCTCTTGTCCTAAATTTGCAGCTTTAATAATAGTAATTATCCAAAAGCTGTTTTTAACCGGTCAACATTTTCTGCACATTATTCTTATTTTAAACTGTTAAAAAAATACATACATTACTTTTTAAGTTATGTTGATAAAGCTGTGGGAAAAAAATAAAAAAATACAAATTTGAATATTGCAAAATGACTAAAGTGTGTCGAAAAACAAAAACTATGTGTTGGAAATTATGTCAAGAGGAAATTAGTGCCTTGTCCTTAACGAATTACCCTGTATTGAAATTAATAAACAATAAAATGTCAGGTCAAGTATTAACATTTCGACACTTCCGTAACTGATTTCGACCCCCTCCCCATTGGCAGAGATCAGGGTAGAGGGTGGGGGTCTACTAAAAAACTTAAAATTAGTACTTTTCAAAACGCCAACATTTATTTTTTAGGAGAGCCCAAGCCAATGCCCGTCCCCTTTCCAAACGGGGTTGCCGTTTTGAAAAATCCATTTTCGAATTTCACATCTCTGTGCGGTTTACGGGCTGACCCGCAAAGCCCGGTGGGGAAGAGGGGCAAAAAACGGGGGGAGGTGGATCAGAGGAGGGTCTAGGGAGGATCTACCGTAATGCGACGCGTTTTTTTTTTTTGTTGCGAATAAGTGTTTAGACGATATTACCCTTTGCCCCTGTTCCTATATCCTGCGGTATCAACCCGTATAATATTATTGTTTTTCACCGGTGCGGCTCCGCGGGGGAGGTGCGGACAGTGCGGCCGGGTCGAGCGAGCCACGACGGCGCTGCTAGCCGGCACAGACATGCGCGGCAAAGTTCATCGACGCGACCGCCTCGTACCGGCACACCGACATCATTGCGTATCGTCGTTGCCCGTGCGTTCCCCGCGCAAACCCTGGACGAGATGGCGGTGGGAACGCGCGGTCGGCTCCGGCGGTCCCTTTTATCGAATCGCCCGGAACGGCCGTGCAAATACCGCGCGGTCTCCGCCGGCTGAGCACACCCGGCGAACATCACGGGGTTCGAGTTGAATAGAACCCGCAAGGGTGACATGTAGGATTTTACAGTGTTATCATAGTGTCCCACGGTCGTATGTACCACCGCCGTTTGGCTATTTCATTTAAAATATATATTGTATGTAATGAATAATTGATAACAATCGAATTAGGTGCTCAGCGACGCAGACATGGCCAGCACTTCCAGTCCCATAGCGGATTTTTTCCGCGGCCGTCACGTACTCATCACCGGCGCCACAGGGTTTATGGGCAAAGTGCTCGTGGAAAAACTACTGCGGTCTTGCCCGAACGTCGCTTGTATATACTTGCTCATCAGGCCCAAGCAAGGCCACGACGTCCGGTCCAGGCTGGACCAGCTGCTCAACGCGGTGGTAAGTATTGTTATCAAATTACTAAATTAATTAAACTTGAAAAATTATCAAAACTTGAGCGGGGTATTGCATTTACACAATTTGCGGATACTCCCACCTGAGTAGCTTGACTTGTCAAGTTATCAGTTATTTCAACTGCTTTTTTTTAAGCGCGTACATCCCTGCGATTATCCCTAAAAATTGTATACAGGGTGATTCATTAAGGGGCTTCACACGACTGCGATTAAATTAGACCCTTGGTAAATAGACCCATGACGTATTCATCAATCCAAGTTCCCATTTTATCAGAATTAAATTTTGAAGAAAGTTTTGAATTCCTCGCCATCTCTTCTGTGGTTTGACGGATCGGCTGTTATTATTTTCCAATATTTTAGAATAGTTTAAATTTGGCAATGTTCGAATTTGTATTCTTTTCCAGAGCTCTATCAACATTTAAAACTTATAGAGTAGCGTATATATTTAATAAACTTTTTAAACCAAGAATAGTTTGCTGAAAATAATCTGTCTGGTCGATAATCGGTTTTGAATAATTACTTAATTACATTTTAATAAGTTATTTAAGTATTAAAGTATTATTTAAGTAATAAAAAATTGAAACAAAAATACAGTACAAAGAAAATTCGTTTAAAAACACAATGAACAAAAATATCAGTTAAAATTTGAAAAATCTGATCTTTTTAGAACTTTAATAACTTTTTCATCAAATATTTCAATACATATAGGTAATAGACAAGTTATCTACAGAATATCTAAAATAATTAAACTTATATAATATTATGACTAGAATAACGGTTATTGTGACAATTCGAATTTGTCTGGCCCCGTCTCTAGTTTTTGAACAAGTTTGTTATATTTCAGTGAATTTTACATAATATTGAAGAAAATACTTTCCGTTATTGCATTACTGCCTATATCTTTAAGATATCAGTAAAACAAAATTACTTTATTTTTTTTTAGGAATTTTATATTTGTACTTAAGACTCTCTAATGTTTGAGCCAAGAAAAAAATTGTACCGTTAAAATAAAAGATATCGGTTATACAATTTACAACAGTTGAACGTCAATACTAATTTTAGATTAGGACTTTGCAAAAAGAGAATCCAAAATCTAAATATCAATATAATATGACACAAAAGTTTTCCAAAGAACATTTCAATTAATTCTGAACGTGAGACAGAAAAATAAATTATTGCACTTAAAATAAGAAAATAAAAATTGAAAATGATTTATAAACACTTTTCATTACAATCATTATTTTAATTATAAAAACTTAAATTTTTTTAACGAATTTTGTTACTTCAAAAGTTTAGTGACTAAATCTGACTTCGACTACGTTTTTAACATTAAAAAATACTTTTAAAGAGACAATGTAAATTGGAAAAATCCCTTGTTATTACAGTAACGTATATATTTCATAAACTTTTTTTAAAATAAGAATAATTTGCTGAAAATATTGACTGGTGGAAAATCGGTTTTGAATAACTACTTTTAAAGCTATTTGAGTTTAAAATTTAGCACGGGAGATAAAGTAAGGTAGAGTGATGCGCGCAGATCAAAACTTAATCCTTCCTCCCGTCCTCATTTTTTATTTCAACTTTTTGTAAAACTAGTAAGTAAAAACTATTGAAATAAAATTATTAAAAAAAAAAATCGAGCATTTGTTTTACATCAACTTTTAATAATAATAATAGAAATATGCCAATGTTTTTCTACAAACCAGATTAATTAGAACTAAAATATAGTTTTATTCACTAATAATAATTTTGTACAGCTTATTTTAAATTATTTTTTTTTGTTGAAAGTCTACTTACAATGAAAAACATAGTTAAAGTAACCGAAAGAGATATTTTTTTTAAGGAGCAATCCTCGACATAAATTAATCTGGTAGGCACTTAAGTATGGTAAATAACTGTTGGCTTTTATGTGTCTCATTATTTTTTTTTTCTGCGAGTTCAATTAATCTAGTGAGCACTCAAGTATGGTAAATAAAAATCGGCCTTTTTATTTCCATAAAAGAGATATTAACTTGTACAAAGAAATTCTAAATCGGTTTAGTAGATGTCTCGTGAACAATGGCTTTGCGTTTCAGTCTTTCTTTTGTACGACATTTTATCCCTAAACTTTTGATATTTCAAACGCTATATGATTTATGTCTTCGCGTTTATTGTCGACTTCGTAGTATTTGAAATATGAATGTTCAACTCGGCTCCAAGAATTGTTTAGTTGGAAACAACTAAAGTTATGCGAACAAAGTATAAGTTCGCCCATTAAATCACACTAACACTTCATCATCGGTTTACTTCTATCTCTAAATTCTCAACACTAATTTGATATCTTGTATATTATGCGTTTTACACTATCACTTCCCTCCCTTGCTTAGCACGCCTAATGTGTTCATATTGAATATGACGAAGGCCCTCCCCCCCCCCTCGTAGGGTTGACCCGTATTACTACCCTTAGGCGGATCCATGGCCGGTATTGGATCAAATCGTAAAACTCAAAATTAACGTTTCAGATATTCGACTGGATCAAGAAAAATCAACCTGATTCGCTGAAGAAACTGGTGCCAATCAACGGAGACGTGACGCAGAGCGAGTTGGGCATCAGCACATTAGACCAGAAAACGTTAACCGACAACGTGTCTATAGTCTTTCATTCTGCAGCCACCGTCAAGTTCGACGAGGCGCTCAAGTTGTCGGTGGCCATGAACTTGTTGGGCACTAAGAGGCTGGTGCAGTTGTGCTTCAAAATGACCAAACTAGAGGTAAGCACAGAACTCAATTGAAAAATGCCCTGACCAGCAGCTGGGAGGCAGCAATTTTGTGTACCAATTTCATGGAAAGTAAAAACGCTATTTTGTTTGACCTTTAAAAACATATAATTAATAGTATTTCACAAAAGAACACTGAATCCAATCAATTTAAATCAATAAGCCAATTTGTAAACCGAACTATAGTGGAAATCGCTGGCTTGAATCTAATATAAATTTCTTTGAAACCCCAGTTGTCGGATTATGATTTTTATTTGAAAAGTTACACGTCATACAAATACACCATAAATGTACTAGAATAATAATTGCAGGCATTCGTGCACGTCTCCACGGCCTATTGCAATTGCAACCGTCAAGACGTCGAAGAACACTGTTATCCGATACCTGCAGACCCGGAAAAGATCATTCAATGTGTCGACTGCTTGGACGAAAATCTATTGGAATCGATAACGCCACAGTGAGTAGATATCATATATATACACATAGACTATATCTTACTTTTTCTGAAAAAAACTATTTTTCATTAGCTGTTAAAAGTAGAAATTGTTTATTTTGCTGTCTGGGTCTAAGAGCGCTTTGGGGTGACGAATGAATGGTTGACCATCAAAAGAATGAAATCACCCTTCTTCAAATACATTTGTATCAGATGAGCTATTGAAAAACGTTGTTTGCATAAAAATCCCTTTCCGTATTTACATGAAATATGTATATCTGAAACGAATATGATAATATTTCATCTTGGATATTTTATTTATGTCGGAAAAGAGTGTGAGCAAATACGTTGGATTAAGCTGAATGTCTTTTTTATTTATTTTTGAGTGCAAATGATTTTCATTTTTCAATGTGAAACCGAGAAGAAATAGCAAAAATGATTTATTAGGGCGGTTTTTTCGGAAAATGTGTGGGTATATTTTTATAAAAATGTTGATACAAAAAAAATAAACTATAAAACGCGTTCCAGAGTTATAATTATAACAAAAATGTAATAATTTGTCGTTAATTTTTTTTAATTTATCTTTAGTTTTTTTTAAATGTTTTTACACACAGCCAAATGTCAACAAATAATTTGGCGGAAAAACTTATCTATTTTATTTACAAGTATTTTGTAATTAGTATACTTGTTCAGTCGTATATTCTGTAGATTGTACTTCAATTTTGTGTTATTAAAGTATTTTCTATTTCATAAAGGTGGCTAATTCAAGTATTGTTATTTCATTAACGTAGTAGTGTCATCTATTTATTATCTTTTTAACTAAAATATGTAGTCAATACAATTTTGTTTTTGACGTTAAATATTTGAGATGTAACGGCCAACTAGTACTTTGGGACACCCTGTTCACATTTTATAGCTTCGATGCGGAGCTGAGAAAGTATTGGATTTTTTTTTATTAAATACAGAAGCAGATAATTTTTGTTTTTTCAGCTAGTCATCAATCTAAATTTCCAAAACTATATAAATATCCAAAATTATATTACCTACAATATAAAAAAATATTTAACAAAAATGGTAGGTTTTATATTGACAATGAAATAATTGTGTTGTGATTTACGTGGATCCGCGGTAAGGTTTCTGAATGAAATGTGAAAACCAATATTAACGCGATTGTTTATTGTTTGATGAATCACGTTGTATATAATGTTTTTAATGTACAAAATAATTTCATTCGAAAAAATGCTAAACCCGTCAAATAATAAATATGTTGACCTAAATATTTGCGAACGGTTTAACGCATGAAGCAGTTTTATACTGGTCGATTACCTACAGTATATTTTTAATTTAAGTATACAACATAGTAGGTATAGTATATTAATTCTTATAAAATAAAATTAACGGACACGAGTTAAAACGCATAATGCTTTTCCATTTAAATTCAAAAAATGTATAGTAAATACTTAGGGCATTGGAAAAATCCGAAGAAAAAAAAGATAGGCATTATTTGAAAGACTTTAAAAAAATTAAATGCTCATAAACTAATGTCAACAAAAAAATGAATACTATAAAAAATCAATAAAATTAACTTATTTGGAATTTTTAATATTATAGAAATCCTGAATGTGTGGAATTTTTTAGAGGCGTTTATCATTCAGAAAGAGAATAATACCCTTTTCCTATCTTTAAACCTTTTAAAATAGCTTCCTAAAACATTTTTGATTGATTGGCGTGTTTTCGGAAAGAAAAATCCAACCGTTTGTAACGTTTGTAGTAAAATGTCACAATAGCAAAGTTGAGTCAACGAAGTACTAGTTTATTATATTGGAAAGTGACTCAATCACTGGTAAGCACTTCAAACTTGATGAGAAACTATAGTGTTGTCTTTGTATTTTTGGATAACCGTGTGATTTGATTATGAATTATAGATTCTATAAAATTATAGTTTATATAATATAGTTGATGAGTTTAAAATAAACGTAAGTCTTAAGTCTTTATTATGTTTATCTGAATTTGATTAAAAATTAAATACATAAAAAAAAAGTTAAAAACATTTTAATCTTTAATTTTTTTGACATTTTTATAATTAATCATTTTATATAGTACTAACACATATAAAAAATAGTCGAGCCATCGGACTGGTTGGTTTTGGTATGGACGTGGTTGGAATAATACTTTTGATTACCAATATTTTAGGGCTTTTTTAAGTAAAACGAAAAAAAATCTATGTTCTTTTAAATGTTGTTTTTATCACTGCCTCCTGTTTTCAGAATCATTCAAGGATGGCCGAACACGTATACATTCACCAAAGCATTGGCGGAAAAAATGCTTTTACAACAAGGCGACGGTTTGCCTATAGTGATTGTCAGGCCTTCGATAGGTGAGTCGAATTACACACATTCACAAAAGAACATAATATCTTATTATCGTTTGTTTTATTGTTGATATTATTTATTGTGCTTATGTAGTAGAAAACAGCTAATTTTTAAGCAAGACTAAGTGTATATTGAAAACATTAAACAACAACATTGGGTCTTATGACGGTTGTGTTTGTGTGGTCTATATGGTTTCGAAATATCTTAGAAAAAGTCACCGTTTATTTAATAATCAAGTTTTGTTGTAGCTTCGACACGGTGCTGCCGAGAAGGTATTGGCTTTACGATTTGTTTTCAAAAGTTAATACAAACTTGAAAGACGCAACAGTAAAAAAAAAATAGTCTAAAACACCATACTTCCTGACTTCCTACATAGGCCATAATAGTCACATTACAATATTTTTATAATCAAATTTAAAATGACTATGTTCACACAAAATGAAATGAAATATTATCTTTTTTAGACATTTTAACAAAGTTGAAAAAAAAATTGTTTTCATTTCTTTTGTGTAAGCATAGTCAATGTGTTAAGCATAATTTTGGCAAATAAATTATTCTTGTAGCTCGGCTATAGCCATAATGAAAATCAAACAATATCTTTGAATAGTACTATGCATTTATTAGTGTTTACCATGTATACCGAGGAAGGATGTGTTTGAGGAATCAAGGAAATCAACCGTCTCGTTTTCGATGAACCCAGAGTGACCTAGGACTCAAATAAAATCTACTTCTTTGCCAGAACAGGAAGTACGAGGCATGAGAGATCTAATATTGAGAATGAGAGGGAGGTTGTGCAGAATTAAAGGGATTATGGAAGAGAGAGCAAGAAGACAGGCTAGGGTATAGGAGTAAATCAGTAAATTATCATAATTAGAGGAGAATATAAAAAGAAAGGCACGGATGATGACTGTGGTAAAAAAGTAAGACAAATTATGGAGATTTGTAGAAAAAGATACGCTTTGGTCTGGGATGTAGTAAGCTCAACCGGAATCAGGAGTGGTAGTTGAACAATCTGCAAAAATCAAGCATGACCTTGGTAAGAATGAGAAAATAGATAAGGAAAATTAAGAACATCGTTGTAAAAACCATACCTTCTGATCTCTGCATCGAAGCTAAAAAAAAAAATGGTCATTATAAAATAAACTGAAGGTGTTGTTTTTTGTATTTTTTTTAGTAACCGCATCCTGGAAAGAACCAATCGCGGGCTGGGTGGACAATCTCAACGGGCCGACGGGTCTGCTGGCAGGAGCCGGAAAAGGTGTGTTGAGGACGTTGCTGTGTCATAAGAACTTGGTCGCCGATCTTGTGCCTGTAGATATATGTATCAATCTACTTATATCCGCCGCCTGGTACACGGCCATAAACAGGTACCCGACATGATAGTGGCATTGAGTTTAATAAAAACGGTCCCTCTAATTTTTAATGTCTGTCAAGTTAGGAAATTCAAACAGTTTCTCCCATCTACTTAACTTTTGTTGTAATTTTTTTTTAACCAAACAAGATTAATTTTATGACTTATTTTTATAACAGCTATCAGATGCCTCACTAATAATTTGAAAATGACTTATAGAGCACTTAAAAAACTTGTAATTTTTTATCCACAATTTTATATTTACCTCGTTTTTAGTCGACGGTTGTAGCAATTTATCGTTATAATGACCGTTTTGGCCAATTTAGCTTAAAAATGAAGTATAGTCAACAATACAACGATTATAGGCTAAGCTAGGTTTAAATGTCAAGCCAAATTGGCTACAAGGAAAACAAAGACAACTCGGTGGTGAGAAGCCATGCTTTAAAACTTAAATATTATAGGATTATAATTTGTATATGTTTTGTAGACTTATTTTTTGTGAACCACGTCTTATACTAAGGAATGGTTTCTGTCACACCTGCTGGTTTTTAATAATAATTTACTAACCGTTTATTGCAAGATAACACATTGGAAAATTATTATTCAACTATTGCAGTTTCTTTTGTAATATATCCTGTTTAAAAGTTGATGATCAATTATCAAAACAAACGCAGATAGAAAATTCAACTTTTAAAAAGTTAAATGGAAATGTATGTATTTTAAATTAATAATAACCTTCCATTCTAAATTTTAAACTTTTAAAGCAATTATCTAAAACTGGTTAACAACCCATACAATTTTTCAGCAAATTATTCAAAAATTCGAAAATTTAATTTAAGACATACGTTACTATTTAAGTTTCAAAAATTGATAGAGTTCTAAATCTAAATATTGTCATGTATTGTAAAATAACATAAACTAAGGTGTTTCCAGAAAGAATAACTACGAAATCGCAATTATTTTAAGAGAAAATAAATTAGAGTTAAGTCTTAACTCTTACGTTAGATTTATCACCCTAGACCCGCCTGTTAAATAAGTGAATTTTTAAAATTTTTCTTCTTCCGAGTTCCACGTTGAAGCTAAAACCCATCTTATCGTAATTTGTTGGGCACTATTTCATCGGTATTATATTACAACCAGTAAACAATGTTGAACAATTAGGTCTAAAGCCGCGGATCCAAACCGTTCACAACCCAAACCCTATTACAACATGCTTGTGTTTCTAGGCCTATGAGCGTGAAGATCTACCACTGCACTTCGGGCACGACCAATCCTATTTATTGGAGAGACATCGAGAGGCTGGGACACGAGTTCATCTTACGGCATCCTTTCAGCGACATCTTATGGTACCCTGGCGGCAGTTTCAAAAGCAGCAGATTGGTCAATTCGGTTTGTGTGACCGTTTTCCAAATGTTACCGGCTTACGCTATCGACACTTTGGCCAGACTGTCAGGAAAACCAGTCAGGTACACAGAAGCGAAAAACTACAGAATTAAAAATTAAAAAACTTGTAATTTTCTCCGCTCAACGGATATATCATATCTCTTATCACTTATCTTTTATCACTATGATTTTCTAATCTAGTGAATTCATTCCTCAAGTCAGATAGGGTTTACCGGTTTCCTCGATATTGATCGTTGTCGATAGTTGTATAGTTACAACCCTCCCAATCCAAATCTAACTTAACTTTACCCTATATATTCCAAATCTAACCTAAAATAAACTAAATCTGGTTTTTTAATTATGTGACGGTTGTCGGAAAATTTATCATCGCAAAAGCATATATTTTAGCATTATTTATGTTAAAAAATACCCATATAATACTTGAGAAACATTATTTTTATTTCGTTTCTACTCCAAAACCACACAAAAGTCTAAAATCCTTATTTGATGGTTTTTACTTATAAATGTAAAGGCGTAATGTCATCTTAACGTAACTGTAGTCAACAATCTATTAAATGTATAATGAACATTATTTTCCTGCTGACTGTTTATTCACTTACACATAGCAATTTAGAAATGTATTACGTTCTAAGTGTAATTTTCGCCTATTTTTTTGGGGGGGGGGTTTACCTTAATTAAAAAAAGTATGACTACAGATTTATAAGAAAATCGAATGTCCTATAGCTCTGTGCAAGATCTTTCTATCTACCACTCAACACGTTTTCATGATCATTGTAATTGTTAAGAGGGCGTCGCACCGGTGATTTTCAGTGATAAAAACATGTTTAAGCAGACTGAAAAAAAACTCGCTTAATTTTGGTTTTAGAGTAAAAGCACCCATTATAAAATTAAAAAAGAACAATATTCCAGAAGACGGGCAAAAAAATCATTTTTTAAAAAGTTACAGTCATTTAAAAATTTTAAAATAGTCGTTATTTCTAAACTATGTATTAAGCGTTATACTTGGAATAATAAAAAAACGCACCGTCTTGCCCTCCGGAATATTGTTTTCTTTTAATTTTATAATGGGTGCTTTTACTCTAAAATTAAAACTAAGCGAGTTATTTTCAGTCTGCTTAAACATATAGAAATGAAAAAAACATTTTTAAATTGCTTTCAAGGATGCTGTAATAGTCCAAAAAATAAATTAACTACCAAAATAGAGTCCTAGTTATTGAACTAATAATTACACATCACAGTTTAACCTTTAAATTAAGATTTTGTAAAAACTTGCCTACACTTTACTCCTTAAAAATGGGCGGTGCGACGCCCTCTTAAGGCTTAACTCAAATGAAAATAACATGTTAAACTTTAAAATTTTATTTATATTACATAGAACCAATGCTCGAAACCTAACCTAACCGTTAGAGTGCAATGGCGAAAAAACAAGCACAAGTTTTTTCTTAGACCACCCTAATATACATGTATATTTTAAATGTAAAGTCATTGATTGATTTCTGCAGGTTAGTTCGAATCCATCAACGTTTACAGAAGGCCGTCTCTTGTTTGGAGTTCTTTACGACACACGAGTGGAACTTCAAAAATTCAAATGTACAACGACTGTTCGCCGAGCTCGACCCCAACGACCGGAAGACGTTTTACTTTGACGTGTCCAAACTAGAATGGCGGAACTATGTCGAAACGTACTTACTAGGGACCAGACGGTTTGTGCTCAAAGACGACCCGAGTACCGTGCCCAACGCCAGGATCCAGCTGAAAAGGTAATTCAGATTAATAGCCCAAAATACTTACCTACAATGATTGTACACCGGAAGCAGTGACGGGTCTAATTGGGGGGAGGGGGAGGGGGAGGGGATGTTAATGGTTTATCAACTACAGTTATTTGGATCCGATGAGAATGCCCTCAATTTTCAGATTAAAAAAGCAGATTGACCACTCCGAATGTGTAGTACATAATACAACAGGGTTATCCAAATTTCATATATTTTCAGTCAATTTTTGTCAATACAATGAGCTAAATAAAAGTGTTTATATTAAACTTAACGATATAAATTATAATACATTTTTAGTAAAAAATTATTACGCCGTAGGGGTGGTATTTGAATGAGTCTAAACTTGCTAATTTTGGCAAAATGTAAATAGAACTTTGAACGTTTTTTTTGAGAAATTTGTTTTGGTATAATTTATATGGAACTAAACGTACTAATTATTTAAGTATATTTGTATAGTTTAAAATAAGATAACTTGAAACAATTTTATTGAAAATTAAAAACAAAATTTTTTCCAAGTTATCCCTTGGGGGGTTCCAATTTGTGTATGAGTTTAAGTGCCACTAGTTTGCCAATAGATTTACCTGAATCTATTCTATTCTCCTCTCCGTCTATAATCATATATTAATTTATAACTAAGTACATTATACTAAAAGGTGTACATTATGAATATTGCTAACATTTCTTGTGGTTTTCTCTGTTACAGAATGTACTACTTGCACCGCATCACCCAGGTGGCGTTCGCTGTGCTAACTGTCAGGTATATATTGTTGGGCAACAGCTCGACTAAACGATTTTGGTTCTCGGCTCTGTATTTCCTAATCAATTTTATCGCGAACGTATCTTCCAAGCTGAAGTTCACGTGAGCGACAATATAGACCATTAGAGTAGGTAATGATTTTAGAAGAAAAAAAACACAGTAAATGTAATAGTAACATCTGTCACGATGCAACGTCCACAAAGTGCCTACATAATATGTTATATACACCCTATAAAAGTACTCGGCCAAGTCCGACGACAATGTGTACACCAAAACAATCAACGATACTGTAGTAGTTATAAGGTATAGGTACTTAATAACTTAGTGAGTAATTATTAGTATTATTATTACCGTAATTTTTAAGTAGGTGCCTATCAAAGTCTGTACTTCCACGACCACATGATATTTATTGTTATACCGACGGGTAAAATATTAGAGCTGGTGCGGAAAAACGGATAAAACATAATAATGTTATGACATAATCACCAAAATTAATCCTCCGTTGTTATTTTATTTTATATAAAATTATTGGATGGAAAAACCAAACTAATTATATATATATATATATATAGCTTTAAATGTGAGTTGTTTAATATGTATCTATTATCTATTACTTTACTCGTTATGCCAAGTCAAATCTATCGCAATTGTTGGCACTTTATATATTTTTAAATAAATAGTTATTTTATAATAAATAATAAATAGGTTGGTGTTTATACAATTTATAATAGTAACTTAGTAAACGGTTATGACGCTATGACTATATTATTATGTATTACTAATATGTGATATCGATTTTTTTATTTCGAGAAGACATCCGTATAGAATTAGGTAAGTTAGGTTAAGTTTAAGTACAACAACTCGATAGGAAACCGTACTTATACATGTATTTTAAAGTGGACGCCATATTATTATGCATGGTGACCAATGTTTATGTTCGACCTTATCAATTATCAATACTGGAGTACAGTTGATTACAGATTGGATTTTGCCGATAATTAATATTCGCTTACCTGGTTCAATTGTTCAAACATGGTTACGGTAACATTTTGTTATTACAATTTACAGCATTCCCTATCGTAATGGGCTGTTTATTTGTTTGTTTATGGTGAATGCATAAAAAAGAAAAAAATACAACCGTTAAGGCGGATATTATCCGGTTGTTGTATATAGGTAACTATTATTAAATAATATTAATTTAACAGCTTGTCGAAAATCGAATCGGTGGCGCACACTACAGCAAAGGTAATAAAATATAAAAGTGGTGTATTTCACTGAAACTTACACTTAAAAAAAAAAAAATTAAAAAACTACATATCTGGTGTTTAGTAGTGTTATTGTGTCGAACTTGATTTTATTTAGCAATTTCAGGGCAGGTAAGTTATTTTTTCCACCATTATTTTATACAGAAAACGAAGACAAATTATTTAAAAATAAAAACCATTATATTTCAATAGTTTTATTTTCAAAATATTTTTGTGTGATTCGGTCACAAAAAATTGATTAAAAAACGGTTTATGCACATTTATATGACCTTGCAACAAGGTTGACAAACAAAGACCTCCCCAAAAATAGTCAAAAGTAACTTTTCGTATAAGCTCGGTAATTATTTGGTATTTATCCAAAACGATGAGATTTAAAGGCTTTTTGTATATGTATATGTAAAAAACTTGATTAAAAAAAGTCAACAATAGTGTATGCCACCGAAATGGAACGTCGTCAATCCAAATACGAGTTACCATTATTACTATTATTGACCTATTCAATATCAATAATTATACATATAAATACATATTGTATACAATTCATTAGAACCCCTAAAGCAATGTAACGTATTGATAAATATAAATTATATATTTTAGTTTTAAGCGTCGTAACAAACGAAAATAGACTGTCCAAATATTTTGTTGTTGTTGAGATAGATAGTTTTTTCCCTTTTTGGAATCATATTATATACATTTTACATAATATACGTAGTATACTGTAAAGTTTAGTTAAATATTATTATTATTATTGTAATTATGACTATAATATTGCCAGTGTTAAATATTATATATATATTTTTTTTTTCTGTTGGAAATATTTCCGTACGATGTTTGTAAACTAATTATATATTAACTTGTTTAAAAAAAAATATACTACAATTTTATTTGTATAGGTGGCTTTCTCACTTTTCAAAAAAAAAATAGCTATACCCAAGTATACTACCCTGCTAAACATACATTTTATTGATAGTTAATTTTAAACTTTGCCAAATCCGAGAAAAGTATAATAATAACCGAAATATTTAAATACAAACCTAAAATGTTTAAAATTAAAAACAAAAATTGCTTAACATTGACTTAAATCGTTTTTAGCTTCTAATTATTTTCTTTTAAAATACCCTTTTTCTGTATTTTGCATATAAGGTATAAGCTATTGATAAATAAAAAAACAAGACAAGTTAAAAAAAAAAAAATAATTACACCGTGGTGAATGTGAAATCTGATTTTATTTACTGATTAATAGGTACTGTATCAAATTTATAATTATTAAAATATATACTATATATTATAATATTTATAGGTATGTACAAATTATTTGTATGAAAAAAAACTATGAAGGCACTTAAGTAAATATAATTAAGTAAACATAATAAAATTCCAACTTACACACAATATTTACAAAAATAATAACCAAACACCCTGATGCGGTGTAGGTATACAATAAAATATTACAGTGCTAACTAGTAGACAAACAAATTGGTAAGTACAACATATTATTTTGAATAGTAATATTATCGCTTTATGCGTGTATATATAAATTCTAAAGATATAGAACGACAAATTGCATCACGCCTTCGCACTTCTGAAACAAAAAAACAAAAAAAACAATGAAAAATTTTACTTCTACTTTATATTTTGCCAAAGAACGAAAAATTGTTAAAATTAAGTATTCTAAAATCCCAAACAATTATTCAGTTTTTGAAAATACAGTAAAAATGTCATTAATTAAATATTTTTTAATTCACGTAGTTTTTAAAATAATTTAATACCTAATAAAAGTGTATTTAAATAAATTTTCTAACGCATAACAAACTCATCTCATTTGATTTCCAAAAATAAAGTTTAAAAAGTTATTCCAAATATTTATTTATTTAGAAGAATCAAGAAGGTTATAACCAATCAAATCCGACTATGAAAAAATTAAATTTTAACTATTTTAGATTTGGAAAAAAATCTGTTTTAAAAAAGTTGAATGAACAATTTTACTAATTTTGGAATTAATCAGTTATGGCTACCGCCAAAATTGATTTACCTTTTCTTTATAAAGAAATTAATTCATAATTTGTAGGATTTGTTTTGTTGTAATCAAAACCATGTCAAAAAAACGTTAGCTCGTATAAATAAGTAATATTTAAATTTTAAATTTATGAAATTACTCAATTAACCTACTATGATCAAATAAAAACTTTATCGAGATCAAATATTATTTCAAATACGTCTCAATAATAAATAAATAATAATTTTAAAACTAAAATTGACTAGGTCTGACTCCATAGCATGTTAAACAGTACTTGTAATAATAAGTAGGAAACCCATCGAGAGGAGTGCATTAGAAAGCGATAAATTAAAATGTTGGCAAAATTATTTTAGCGTTTTGAAAATATTTCCAACACTGTTTTTGTTCAGAGATTTTGACAAACGGCCAAAAAAATTTTAACATTTCCAAAAATGTTGTACAACAGTTTTGAAAATATTTTTAAAATGTTAAACATAGTTTTGCTATAACTTTTTGAAAACATTTCTTCTATTCGAGTAATATAGTGTGATTTTAGCTTACCTTAAGTGCGCGGCGAAGATGGTGGTCAGCCTTGTCGTGGCCGACGGTCAGGCTCGGACCGACTGCATGCGGTTGATTTGCTTTTGCAGCTTGACGTAGGTCATTTCGAGTTTTTGTTTTTTTTTGGCCATTTCGACCTCGTGCTCTTTTTTCTTGAGCCGGCTGTTCTTGGCCGCCTCGTTGTTCTTCTGCCGCTTAGCGTAGTAGTCCATGCTGCTGCTGCTGCTGCTGCCCGAAGAACCGCTAGACTTGTAAGAGTTCATTTTGTGAGTATTTTTTTTACAAAAAAAATTTCACTAAGTCGGTAAAAAAATCCGAAATAAATCAAACCGCCGAGATTTCCGAACACTGACTTGGGGTTAAGATAGATGGTGCTGCGTTGAAATCCACAGAGGATATGTGTCCGGTGGTGTGTCCACCTTGTGGTTATATAGACCGCATTATGGCGCTAATGAGACTTTAATGTCCGGTCGCCTGCACGGGCCACGGCAATACAGCGCCGGCCGGTCTACCTAAGTACAGATACAATAGAACTCGGTATTGAACATAATATTAATGACATTAAATGCACCCATGCTACCACAAGTGTATTATAGGTAAACGTGTCTTATTACTATTGATATTGCATAACGACCATCGTTACGATAGTAATGTCTTCAAAATCCTTCAATAGGTACAAAAAAAATAAATAATAACAAAATATATTGTACATTTGTACCCTGTGCAATATATTTTGCCATTCGGCGGAAGCCTTGTGTATGTTTTCCAAATGAAGCTATCTGTTGTATTGTTAAATGATCTATACTAAATTTAATTTCAAAGTACTTATACCTAATCGGTTTTATATACAATATTACTACCAACGTTGATAATTTTTAATTTTTCACGCAGTCTACTGGTAAAAAATAAATCATCGATTAGCTCTTCTTGTATTGGCACGAATATGAGAACTTCTGCAAACATGACCTCATTTGAGCCAACCCTTTGCTCACTGCCAATAAGGGTTGGGCGCGTAGCGGTCAATATTTACATTTTAATTTTAACTATTTAAATTTTTTTTAAATATTTCCCATTCGTGTAAAATAATGTATTGTACATTTTTGAAACCATATTCACCCAATTACCTATAATATAGTTAGGTATCCGTTTTATAACGAGCCTTTCCTGAAAATATAATGACTTTGTTTTTCCAAAGAATATTTTCCTGTAATGATGTGAATATAACGTTTCATGTTACTCTAATATTTATGTTATTTAGATTTATTGTGAGGTTTATTCTTATGACTTAATACTAAAATATTTAAACAATTTAAAATAAAAAAAAGCATTTTACGTTCTAAAACGTATATTGGTCAAATTAAATAACATTAAAACTTATAAATATACTTATCTAGGATATTATCTTAAAAAATTCGACAATTTTTTTAATCAAAATTGTATTTTATGTTTCGAATAATTTGTTTAAATTAAAAAAATAATATATTTTTGTAATAATTTATTTACAAACTAACGAAAAAGAATTTTAATTTTCAATCATATATTTATCCATAGACATATTATACAAACCTTAAGTATCGTTAAAAAACATTTTTTAATCAACTTTTTGTCAGTTTTTAAAAAAAGTTAATTTTGCTAAAAATTGCAAACAATCGTAAAATCGATATTTAATATTTTTAATTGAAACTTATTATTTGAAATATAAATGTGTTATTTAACTAAAATACATTTTTATTTGTCCATATTTGATCGGACACATACTTTTTTCGATATGGTTTTGATTACAAACATAAAAGTGCATAAGCGACCATATTTACAAAAGCTAATTAATTAATTACCAATTTTCAATACCGCCTATAATATTATTTACCTTCGGTATAAAATTAATTTGTATTTTAAATATATTTTTATTTATTGTTTCAAATATTGAATTATTTAAAATTGGTTATTATTCATACTTTTAAATAATATTTGTTTTGAATACATTTTTAATCGGCCGTTTCAACAACCTGTTATTCAAAAAGAAATGGGATGATTTTGTCATTAAAATTATTATTTATATTTGAATAATCAATTATTTAGACTTGAAATTACAAAGTGATTAAAATAATTTTTTATTTGTTTTTCAAATTCGTTCAAATAAAATTTGATTTAAGATTTGAGTTTTTATTCGGATAATGCTCAGGTTTGTCCACCATGAAGCCAAAAACAATGTCCACCCTACCGTAGTTTAAGTACTAAATTATTAATTTGCGAAATATTGCCAATACTTTATGGTTAAGAAATAAGTAGGTAAATTCGCTTGATTAAAAATTTATTTTGAGCTGTTCTTTTTTTAACGACCCTTTGTGAACGCATTGAAATTTTTTACTTTATTAATACATAGTGTGTCAAATTATAAAAAGTGTATAAAAATATATTTTGTTTCCAATATTGTTGTACCTATTATAACATTTTTTTTACATTTATTCCCACAGAACAAACACATTTTTACATTACCAAAATGTTGCCAGACATGCTTTAAACATGTTATACAGATATATTTTGGCACAAATTTTATTTGAAAAAGTTATTTGCAAAATATTGTTTACTTATGATATAAATAAATTGTTTAAACTATGTACAGGGTATGTTGTTTGAACTATTTACACGTTTAATATAAACAATTTAAATATATTTAAACGGGTATATCATTATTTTTATTAAAAATATGTGTTGTCTTATATATATTGTGTATAGGTGTTATGTATGATTTAAATTGATAAGAACTCGCTCCCCCAGCACAAGCTTTGCTTTTAGGGGATGCTGTAATATTGTAATTAATATTTTTGTATTTTATTGTTGCAGCAAAGTTATTGTTATTTAATGTTGTAAATCTGCGGCTTTGGTTCAAAAAAGGGTCAATCTATAAAAAAAGCTAACTCAAATCTTCCTAATCCTAACCAAGGATGTTTATAAGATGTTAGGTCCTATATATCTGTTACAGGCTCAAGCCAAGCCACAGAAATACATAAGTTTTCAAAACGTCTACAAAACAAAGTCGACGATGAGACTCTAACGTTGTAATACGTGTGGTGCGGTATGTTTTTTTTTTGTTGGTGATTTATAAATTATTATTATGTTGTTGTCGTCAAAGGTTTTTCGGTTGCTAAGCCGTTAATCGTTAAGTCGGGCGGCGGGTCCGAGTTGTCCTGCCAGTGTACTTAGCGCCGCGTTACGCGAGGGGCGAATTCTTCATCGACTTCAGGTAAGCACACACGAATAGTGCACACAATACAAACCACATGTAAGTAGTCATTAGTCGGGCAACACTTAACGACCGGCAATTTTATTACTTTTTTCTTTTTTTTTTACCATTGTACAAACCGCACGTCCCATAAAATATTGCAATACAATAATGTACACGTTAATGACATACACCCCAACAGTAATGGTTATAAGAACATATACCTATGCTGTACATATAACGGACGGTCAGCGTCCGCAGGAGGTAAAGGGTAATTTGAAGGTATTGTATAAAAAGGCTACCGACCAGGTCATGTTTTAATAGTGTCCAATTTTTTCATGTTATTTCTTTAAATTTTTTTCACGCACATTATCACCACACCGTTATGACACCTTTGACGTTTTAATTCAATATGACAATATACCATTAAAATATACATGTTATTGCACGAGTATTGTGACTTAATGACTATTTTATAGTAGCAGCAATAACCCTGGCAGTTGTGTGCCAAAGTGAATATAACTTTGGTTTTCGTTTAACGTTTAAATTTTGCGATGTCAAAACCTGTAAATGCTAGGTATGTTGTAGACAGTAATTAGATTAACTCGAGTCTGTTTATTTTGATATACCAAGATTTAATAGTGTTAGCACTTAGAAGGGCATATTAAATAAAATATGTGAATTTAGACTTGCGTGTAAAGGGCGATTGGTGAACAGTTGGCCTAGTCGATATCTTGAAGAATATTAGACTTTTTTAATTATACTTGTACAGTACTTGGTTAGCCCAGTTTGTATGTATTTTTCAAAAAAACAACCCTATTTCTTATGTATTAAAATCATATGAACTTAAACGTTTTAAATAGTAACGGATAACATACAGAATGAAGGGTAGGGGATGAATGTAGGGGCGTGGGGTGTTGTATTTTTTATTTAACATGCGCTTTACTCGACTGCACTCAACCTCCCATTTAACATTTTAAACTTGAATAACTTTAAAAATAATTGTTCAAAACTGGTTGTCGATCAGTAAAAAATTGACAGTAAAATTATTCTTAATTTAAAAATTTAAGATAATATAGAAGTCACCGTTAAAAAAATTTATATTTTAACGGTGTTATATTTTTTTTAAATATTTCAAATTTAGCTCACTAACAATCTTAAAACAATAATTTAAAAAAAGTCTAATATCATTTGAGATATTGACTAGGTCATAATTTAACCAATCACTCTGTATACGAGGTGGGTTCAAAAAAATACCCAGACTAAATAACTACTAAACACTGTTAGGTAGTGTTATAACAAATACAGAGATAAAATAGAGATAATTTCTAGTTCTTCATTAAATAACCAAAATAATTATCACATACTAAAAAAATTATATACTTTCAAAATGTTTTTTTCAAATATTTTAATGATTTTTTGGCACAGCATTTACCGGTTTAAAAATTCGATTTAACTATAAATGATTAAATAAAATATTTTGTTAAAGTATACAATATTTGAAATATAAAATTTCATGCCTAAACATATTTTGACAAACGCATTTTGAAGACATTATAATTTTGTTGTTGTTTGAATGATAACGTAACTAGTAACTACCATAGTCATGATTTCCAAACTGTAATGGTATAAAAAATTATAATAAATTAGTTTACTCAAAAGGTATTTATTCCGAAAAAACAAATTATCAATAAACTTATAGAAATATGTACTTGAGAAAGTCCAAATATTTATATTATTAGGTTAAATATAAATAAAAGACATACAAATTGGACTATCACTATTTTTTTCTGAAAATTTGATTATAAGTGTTAGTTACAGGCAATCGTCTAAACACTAATAATTTTAGTGTCTAAAAATAAAAAATAAATTTTAAATCATATATTTGACGGAGTTTTTATTGAAATTAATATAATTTGTTAACTAATATAAATAATAAAAATAATATTGAATTTATATTATTTATTTATTGATTTTGAACAATAAATTATATTTTCAAAAATAAAATAATGTACCTGTCAGAAGTAATTAGTAAATGAAATAACTATTAAGTTCTAAACGTTTATAGTTTAAACGTGGACAATTATAGTCACATTAACAATAGGGTATAAATAATATTATTTAATAATTACAATATAGGTTTCCCATTAAATGCACAAAATAATGAAGTCTAAAAGATGTTAACGGTTTTTTCCTAAATGGGATCCTTTAAAAATAATTTTTAAAAAACGATTTACAATATTATATAAAAACCTTAAATTAGTTTTGATTGCTTATATAATTTCATCAGAAGTTTTATTCAGAAGTAATCTAAAGATTACTACATTATGACTTCATACCTGTAAAACGATTCAAAATGAGTGAAAAAAATAGTCAATTTATTTATTTCAATCCCTTTGTGTCCCTATTTGGGTGAAAAACAAAAGTATTGCATTTAAAAAAAGTATTAAAATCAAGTTATTTGTCATAGTTTTAAAATTAAATAAAACGTTTTGCACTTTCGTTATTTTAAAAAAGTTTATTTTTACGAAGGTTTTTTAAAAACTGAGTAAACGAAGATTTTGTAAAAACTTAAAAAGTAAGTTTGACCTGCTAAATCTGATTTTTACCATCGTTTTTGACATTATGATATAACACCAATGGAGAGAAAAAAAATGGAAAAATCGTTTGAGATCATATGTGCATTTATGATAAATTTCGTGAAAATGTTGAGTATTTTTTTTTCTTATTTGAAATTAATTTTCGATGAACTAATATAAAATAGTTTTATTAAAACTCGCCCTAAGACCCATATGAAAACCTATTCAACGATAATTCAAAGGCGTTGTATTTCAATACTTGTAAACATATGTTTGAGAATGTCATTTGCAAGTAAAATCTTTGCAAACTATATTATAATATGCGATTCATGTTTTAAGAAAACATCAAGATTTTCAACCAACATACTACTGATATACAAAACATATTTTCTCTGCCAAGCCATTTACCTGCTTAAATAAAATATAATATACATTTTATTGTGCTCCAAGTGTTAATGGTGGCACGGCCGCGGTCGACAGGTCTGTATTAGATCTTTTGTGTCCGATGGAAGTCATTAACGGAGAAAATCGATTTTTTCCCTACTTTTTTGGGCGACAATTGCATTAATAGTACATATTTTTACAAACGTCATTTTACACCGACATGGCTTTATTACAAGGGACAACCGCTTTAAGAGGTTCGACCCCGCCCGTCTTCAACAGGTACGCCCAGGTTAATTCGCATAATGCGCCCAGTCGGTCATTAAGTATTGGAATTTATGTTCCTCTTTTTGCCTATTATTTTCGGTACTATTATATAATATTTATACATCTATTATAACTCTACTTGTGTGTGTTTGCTTAACATATTACCCTCGTGCCCTGCAATTATAGGGCTAACAGCGACTTGCAATACTTCCACGCTGTCGCGTGATTTGGGCAATAATAACGGTGTAAAACACGAGCCTATACTATATAATAATCTACGTTCTATTTGCATGTCTGTTTGTGATTTTTTTTTTAATTTTATTATTAAAAAACATGCACCGGCGTTGTGCCTTTAACCCGTGCCAGGTACAACGACCTGTGTGGGGTGCACCTAATGTGCAGCGCTTTTAATGCGTGCGGGTATTCCAAAAATGTGTACTTGGGCTCGTGACACGGATTCCAAAAAGACACGCCGGAGCGGCGATGAGGGGGTAACATTTTTTATACACATAAAAAACTTTTGCGTTTTCACGTGAAACCCCGATTAAATAGGCAAATAGTCGGCTTTAAGTCGTTTCCTTTTAGTTTCAGAGTACTGTTTAGGAACAAATCTTTACCAACGATATTCTTATGTGGGTGGGAGAGAAGGGGATTTTTTCACGTGGCCTAAATGGTTTCCTGATGATGTGGCCTAGTGACCCAATCGAACCCGAACAATAATTGAATCGTTTATTTATGAAAGGTGTCAAATCGCAATTTTATTGAATTTTTTTTTTTTTTAATAAATATGTTCTATGTTTATAAATTGTTTGTTTACTTTTGAAAGGAGTCAAATTCGCATGATAGTTTATTTTATTATGGCGGTTCAAACATTTATTTAAAATGTAAAGTCAGAAAAAAGTCAATTAGCGTTTAAAGTTAAAGCGAGTAAGGAAGTGCGAGTGAGCGAGGCTAAAGAAGTATTAATTATCCGAAAGCTGTCATTTTTTTTTTAACTCTTAACAGTTTTTTTTTTTGTTTTTTAGTCATAGACATAAATTCTCAAAACCCCGTGTGCCCATTAAGATAATAATATATATTGTGTTGAAACCGACTTTTTCAGAGCCAGTAGAGTCGATGCTACTATGGCGGGTACGCGTTGAACACGGGTCTTCTGCTCTAAAAAAAGTGTCACAGCGATGCTAAATGCTCTCGAACAAATCCCACCAGTGGTCACTATGCAATGCTGCAGCTTTTGTGGCGGTAGCCTTTGCTGCCATCGCAACTGTATCGCCAGAAAAAACCAACTCTTCGGTTTTGACCGGACATGACTTTGGCGGTTTCGCGTGTGCGAGCAGCCCTTGCGTGTATGGCATATGCGTTGACCAAGCACACAAGTAAGTCGGTGGTGGGTTTTTTGTCAATTTATTATTCATTGAACACTACAAATAAAAAAGAAACCCCTACAAAATCTTACCATCGAACTCGGAGACAGTCAACCATATATAACCCGGCGCTGTCTTGGCCATACTGTCGATTGTTTGAGGGCATGTTTATGGGTAATCCACTGCTATAGTTTGATTTAAATAAATAATTCCGGTTCTGATTGGATCGACTGGCAAAACAAATTTAACATGACTTGTATACAAACATACAAAGGGACAACTAAAATTGTCCTCATAGTGTACTTATTTATTATTGATATTGTTACAAATAATATAGTGGCTAGTGGACTTAATGTATAAAAAAACTGTAATGCCAGCACGCACTGAGGTCGACGAGAGGTCATTGGTTAGGTCGCAAAAAAACACAAACTAAACCCACTTAACGTTTTGTTCTGCGAAGCTTCAATAATACGGTTATATATTTTATAATTTAGAGGCAGGACTATAACAATTTGAGTTAAAAAAAAATCATATTTAAGCTATATGAAAATTGTATTAATACTCATCTAAGAAATAATTTCTAGATATAATTGTATAAATTAAAAGTATTTTCTGAAAAAGTTGTTAACGAGTCAAAACTGTAAATAAAAATAATAAAAAAAACTACTAAAAACAATTATGGATTTTCTCGTTTGGTATTGTTTTCAATCCTTTTTTTAAAATTAAATATTTAGACAATTTTATACTAACATTGATTGAACTATACTGTAGTTTGTGTGAAACTAAATTTTTAAAGTCCTATTTCTAATTTATTTAATTATACTATTCTTTTTTTTTTAGTTTTTCGTATAAGTGCAACTTAATATAAGTAATACATTTGTTAAGTTAAATGATAATTTGGGTAAAAAAAATAACGATTTATCTTAAACATAAGTTAAAATTCTATACTTCTATGGCATATTTTTATTATTTGCATCGAAACGCTTGACTGTTATCCAATTACTTTCAATTTAATGACTGCTGTTTAAAATGCAATATTAACATAAATAAACCAATGTTATGTTTTCTATTTACAAACGGACTGTATAAATTAAAGTAAAAAGCTTTTCACTGCAAAAATAATTCGATACCCAAAAAATCAACTACTTAAATTAATTTTGTATCAATTTTGATACAACTTCTCATGTTGTAGAAATGACATTTAAAAACATTTTAGTTTTTACATAAAATATTTTATTTAAACGTTATTTTACATACATTTTTAAAACATTTCCTTGCTACTTGGGTAAGAATTATCAAGTCGATAACTAGTTTTGAATAATTACTCAATGAAAATACAAAAATTGGAACTTTCACAAAAAAGTTATTCTAGTGACATAAAAGTCTAATAAATATTAATTATTTTAGTTAAAATTTGTGTCTAAATTATAAATATTTGTTGAAAAAGATATTTAAGAATTAAAACTAAAAAAAAATTTGATTGAAACCTTTAAATTAGAATAGTTACCCTATATTTTTAATATACAATTTCAAACTATAATTTAAAATTGACTAGGTATATTATAACTTTGGTACGGCTCAACCGTCGAGAACGGTCATTGAGAGGATCATAGTTTTTATCGCATATTCTATTGATCAGGACGGGGTTTGAACATTTTTTCAGTTCATACACTTGCTATTGCATAGACGGTTACACCGGTGTTCGATGCCAGACCAACTGGGACGAGTGCTGGTCTTCGCCTTGCCAAAATGGAGGGACTTGTGTGGACGGTATTGCTGATTTTAATTGTTCTTGTCCGGAAGGCTATACAGGTACTGGAAACCCTTATATTAAGGCTTTCATTGTTTTTGTACATGGTGATAATCTTAAAATAACATTTTTTCCTCTCTCTCTACCCCCCCCCCCCTTAAGGGCACGACTGCGAATTTAACGTTGACGAGTGCCAGTCAAACCCGTGCCAGAACAACGGAACCTGTATAGACTATACTAATAGCTTCGTGTGCCAATGTCTCGCTGGATACGCCGGTAAGTAAACTATTAAAAGAATGTAATTTTTTTTTTTTTGAAAATTATGTCACTTGGAAGTAAATTGGGGTCATCGACCAAAATCGTCATACTTTATTACTTAAAAAAATGATTATATTCGAATAAAACATATCAAAATAAATATACCGTGCAATATTGTAATCTCTTACTTACATTTATTAAACCCGTTTTACAGGAACGACCTGTGAAGTGGATTTGGCAGTATGCAATTCTACCGGGGAAACGATATGCAAAAACGGCGGTGAATGTGTTGAGGGACCCGGCATGACTTTTTCCTGTATCTGTTCGCCGGGTAAGTTAATAACCCTTTTTTTTTAGATTATTTAATCTACGAAAATTTTGAGAGCTCATAAGTATAGTAAATAACGTAGTAGAGAAGTGCTTAAGGATAAAAATAGTAATGAAGGAGCGTATTAAGACAGAGTATATAATGTGCATTGGAAGTAATAATTTTGGAACTAAGAATGGAGATAGTATAAAATGGCTTTATTAGTCGAGATCACTGGAGGTTGATACTGCGCTATGGCAAAGACCAGGAAGTAGCCCTTGACTTGATCAATATAAATTCTAATATATATTTGGTAATAATTCATCTCTTACGGCACCAGCTAATATTAATATTTGTGACTTTATCATTCGTGTAAGGTTGGACGGGTCAAACGTGTGACAAAGAAGTCGACCAGTGCTCGTCTGGACCTTGTCAAAACGGCGGCGCTTGCGTGAACAAACAAACTTCTTACTATTGCGCATGTCTTTTCGGTAATTACACGAAACCTTAATTCAGTTTGCGATATTATATATGTGCAGTTTCTGCGTTTCTACAGGCTATACTGGCCGTGACTGTGACGTAGCCCTGCGCCTGTGCGACTCTCACCAGTGCCAAAACAACGCTCTGTGCTTGGTCGAAGAAGACGTGTCCGTCTGTTACTGCGTACCCGATTTTCACGGGAAACACTGTGAATACCAATACGACGAGTGCCAGTTGGCGAACAGGTCAGCAAACAATTAATTTTGCTAGTAAACAGTCCGTCACTGTCCACACAAACCATTGAGGGCCAGGCTAACTATTTTCCGTTATTCGCATCTAGGTGTCTAAACGGCGGTACATGCGTGGACGGAGTTGACGGTTACACGTGTTCGTGTCCCAAAGGCTTGTCGGGTAAGGACTGCGATTGCGCGGTCATCGACGATCACACCGTCAACTGTACTGGCTGGATAACGCCATACAACAGCACCGTCGAAGAGACTACTGCCGCCTTTAGCAGCACTCCAATACCAGAAAGTCGCTTCACTACTACTTGGACCGTTCCCAATTCAGAAACCGTTCCCACTTTCATCACCTCCACCTCGTGGGACGACGACTATTCTCATACAGGGTTCCGAATACTCTCGACAACCACAACTGTAGCATCTACCACATTCGGCGAACAGGATCTGGAATCGGTTACTCCTCTTTTCAACACCGAGATGCCACCGGATACCTTTAGGACTTACGATACGACCGCTGTCCATACGACTACAACCGAACTCACCACTGTCGAAGCCACGACCGCGTTTCCTTTGTCAAATTCGTTCAACGAACCGACCCAAGTTGCCGCCAACACTACCGAGGAAAATGCTCGTGGGTTCACCGCCACCACCGACACTTTTTCTACTACCACCAAAACTATCGCCACGACTTCTACCACTACCCCTCCCGAGACTACAGAGTTTTTCAGTATGTACATGACCACAACGACCAGTTCCAAACCACTTGTCGACTCCACAGCCACGACCGGTAGTCCGGATGGCGCCGGAAAGACAGTACCACCCACCCGGACTCCACTAGTGGCCACAGACTATCCTACTTACTCGCCGACCGAAAACGTGGCCATGCTCACCACATTTTACGACAATTTCGACTTTCATTTGAATTTCACCACCGATTTATCAGCCGCGACCGAGCGGGTCAAGACCGGTAGCAGCATCTGTGCCTTATGTATCAATGGTAAATGCGTGAAATCAAAAACGGGATTTCAGGTTAGTAAAGTCAATAGCTACACACGCATTGTCACTGGTTGACCAGTATCGCCAGTGGTTAAGAGAAAAAAACTTAAGATTTGCCACGAGCTAAGATAAAATTGAAATAGTTTTATAATTTTTTACTTTCCTAATTTATATCTATGCTAGAATGGTAAGATCAGGAAATCCTAGCTAGAATCCCTAGTATCATTCCTTATCTCTTTTGCCTTAATCACTCTCATCTTGATTCGTGGTCAGGACAATAGTTATGCTCTCTTTTGCACTCATTTAATGATTGTTTCCGTTTAAACTATATTGTGGTGTGACTGCGAGTTTAAATTTACTGTGATCGTCAATGATATGAACGCACCGAGTTTTGAACACTGCAACACTAATCCACGTTATTTACCATCGCATTCAGTGTAAATGCTCGTTCGGCTGGAAAGGAGAAATGTGCGACGAAAAGATCAATATCAAAGTGCCGGCGTTCACGGGAAAATCTTTCTTAAGTCACAGATTGTCCAACCGGTCAGGCACCCAAATAGCCATGGAGTTACGGACTCTGGCGCCAAACGGAATACTGTTTTTCGCACAAGTAACCACACACATGTACATGTGTCTCTACTTACAGGTAAGACACTTTGTTTGCTGTGTAGGTATGCTCCATTACTTAATATTTACTATTCGTTTCCAGGACGGACTTTTGAAATTCCAATTCTCCTGCGGAGTACAAACCATGTTGTTCAGCGAAACCAGGTACCGTGTGAACACGGGTCACCATCTTCTTCTGACGGCCACGTGAGAATTTTTAAATGCAGTTGTTCCATATAATGGTACAATTCCGATACCTCGTGTAATTATTCTTTAGGCTTGAGCACGCTATGTCACATTCCATGTCGGAACACTGTAAGGCGTCGCTGAGGGTAAACGACACGTTGGCCATGAGTGGAGAACAGGCGGCCGACACGACTTTATCCAAGAAAATCTCCAAGTTGTACCTTGGCGGACTGCCGCCGGATCAAAACGCCACCGAAATGCCAGTAGCGATTGGAATCACTGGTTGTATTACACACTTAAAGGTGAGTACTCAAACGGGTGGATACCTGTCTAAATTGTCTTCCTGCGTGTAGTACAGGTGTTGCACAAATTGTTTATGTCACTTTAAGGGCTCCGAGTCGTTAGAGACTTTCAAATTGCACCTAAACATCTGAGACTTAATAGTATCCTTGTGTTACAGATCGACGAAGTGGAGCATAACGTTTACGAGAACGCGATAGACGGCCTCGGAGTCATAGAGTGTGCTTCGCTGACATGTTTGTCGAGTCCGTGTCAGAGCTATGCCACGTGTGTCGAATTTGGAGACTCGTGGAACTGTCTATGTCCTTCAGGGTATGTGCGACTCCTGCAGAATTTGGGCTCTGTTTGATGCTATTTTATGAACTTTGTAATTTTTTTTTTTTTTTTAGATTCGTTGGCAAAAACTGTGAAAAGTCTGTGTGCGAAAACAACCCGTGCAAGTTCGGCGCCACTTGTGTGATTTATCCCGGCAGCGGTTTCATTTGTCTGTGCCCGTTGGGCAAGCACGGGATGTACTGCGAACACGGTTAGTGGCAATACTGATTTTATTTGCGAGTTCTAGCTTTGGTCTCTTAATCCGGATTCAAAATATTACCCTATTCATTCGCAGCCCGGAATATTGAGACAAACGTGCTCATATAAATTGTATAACAGTAACAGAAAGCTTTAAAGCTTTTATTGTATTTGGTAATGGGGGTTGCGTTTATCTACGAGGTAAGTTAGATTAGGTTACTGAACTAAGGAAGAGATAAATATTGATGAAGTGAATAAAATAGTTACGATAGGATGATTTACATTGATATTAAGATGTATTTACAGACCTCGAGATAGGCGACCCGTTTTTTCCGGGCAGCGTCAGCGGGCTGTCTTCGTACGCCGCCTATTCCATACCGGCCGAGATCCATCAGAGTTTCGAGTTGTCCCTGCACTTTGTGCCCAACTCGGTTGACCAAATAGCCCTGATGATGTACATCGGACACGACGCCTCCTCTGATCACGTCGCGTTGAGCTTCATAAAAGGATACATAGTGCTTACTTGGAACTTGGGCGCGGGCCCAAGAAGAATATTCACACCGAAGCCGATCGACTACACACCAAACAAAGCGCACGTGGTCAAGTTAGGCAGGAACGGCAAGACTGCGTGGCTGGCCGTTGACAATTTCGCCAACGTCACCGGACAGTCGGTGGGTCGTTTGACTCAGCTCAATACCAGCCCCGTCATTTATCTAGGTAAGGGTATTTAGTTAATTGACTTGGATAATATCCATGGAAAGATCCGAGATTATCTTGTATTTCTTCATCCTACCGAACTAACGTTGTCTCATTTCTGTTGTCAGGTGGTCACGAATCTCCGGGATTGACGGACCTTCCCCACGATTTGCCGTTACACACCGGATTCGTAGGGTGCATGAGTTCGGTGCAGTTGAAAGCCGGCCACGTGACAATGCCGTTAAGTCTGACCCATGCCTACACAGCCATCAACTCGGGCAGATCTGTGTCGCAGTGTTCGACCAACGAGTGCTACCGGAATGACATATGCCAACACAACGGAGCGTGCATCCAGCACGGTTCTTCTTTGGCGTAATACTTGTTGCAATCATTGCACGGACCTATTAGGTTATAGATTGCCCTAAGCGATACAATGTTAAGATATGACTCGAGTAACAGAGGAACGCGGATAATACTGAGATATCCTTCTGGGTTATATTGTTTAATAGCAATACCGAAGGATAAGAGCGCTGCAGTGTTTGTGGAACAGTTGTCTCAAACGCTATAGCGAATTTGACCCAATTACCCTAAAAATACCTCGTCCTCCTCCATTTTGAATGTAGAGTGCAGTCTATTTCTTAATCTGAACGTCCCGCGTGTTCAAACTTGACTATGCGACTAAAGCTAAATACATCCATAGGTGTGTCTGCGCCGACGGTTGGTTCGGTCCTGTTTGCGCTCATCGGTACAACGCTTGCGATTCCAACCGGCACGTCTGCGCTGAAGGATCGACATGTGTTCCCGTGGGATCAGCGTACGAATGCGACTGTCCCGTCGGCCGATCCGGCAAGAATTGCGAGCGCCAAGAGCGGCTGTCTGACGTCAGGTTCACGGGCAAACGTTCGTTTTTGTCAGTGCCGATGGAGGCCGAACCGAATGCACAACAATTCAGCATCGAGCTCGAGATCAAACCTACTATCGACGAAGGAATAGTGTTTTTCGTTGAGTACGATCGAGACCAGAAGAAGTTCTTGTGCTTGTCGCTGTACGGTGGCATACCGGAGCTAACCGTGTCCGTCCAGAGTATGTAATTTTATTGCCAAAAAAAAGAGGGACGCATATTGCTCTATAACCGCTATTGCTCAAGAGCTAGTTGACTTATTGAGTTCATAAAGTAATAATGTATAAATAGGCACGGAGAAAGCGGAAGGAAGGCTTGAGTCGCTCTCCTTCAGGGTTGTATTGACGTTTTTCCAAACTTTTTATTCTGGGAAATCGTCAAAACTATTTGTACAATTTTAATTTTACATATCAACAGATATTGTGTAGTGTACACTTTTTCAATTTTTTTTCCTAAAAAAGTACCTTCCGGCAAAGAATTCTGATCCATAAAATTGGCCACATGAAGTATTCGATATTACAAAATACGATTAACGATTACTTAGTCCTTAATACCTGCTGGTTCATTTGTTTTAACTTTTAGGCGAAGTTCAACGTGTCAACGACGTGGTTGTAGTGCGAAGCAGCAGAGTGTTGACGCTGTCTGAATGGCACAGCGTGAGGGTGGGTCGTTATCGTCGCAAGCTGTACTTGTGGGTGGACGGCATGATCAACTACGCGATAATGAGACCGTCCGAGGCCATAACGAATTTCGACAATTCCATATACTTCGGTAAGAGGTCTATTTAATTACTATAGCAGCAACTGTTCTCCATCTCGACTCAAGTGAGTGGGAAACATTAGGTCAGGGATCAAATCTCGAAGCTACAGGTTTCATAATAATTCCTACAGACAGATCAATCACCACCCTGCTGGCTTTTCATTTCCATGGCCATGAATATGTTATTGGGCTGACAACAGGAATTTTGTGTCGCCATTTCTTCGTTACACTTTCACTTTCACGTGATAAGAGATAAGAGAATAGTGATAAATGATAAGAGATTGGAGATAAGAGATAATACATTAGGTTTGTTCGTTTTGAAGAGAAAAAAAGTGTACACTAATTAGTGTAGTGTCTGGGTGAAGTGTAAAGGGTGTGATCAGGTGTGGTATTTCAAAACAAACGTTTTTGGTGTAGACCAATCAACCGATAATTTATTTCTATTGATAGAAGAATTGATTATAAAAATCAGTTGATAAGAAATATGATAACGGCAGCTTCTTATAGGCGCAATAACAGACTTATTCGTGATCCAATGTTTTTCCTTCAAGGGAAAAACTAAAGACTTAATTAAAATTTGAGTCCAACAGATCCGACGTTATGTTTACAGGAGGATTGCCGGACTTGTCCAGGTTACCCCGGGGGGCTACGGCCGGACTTCCGGTACCCTACGCCGGATGCATACGTCGACTGTCCATCGACTATGAGGTGATACCTTTGAATTCGTCGACAATCGCCGCCGGTAGGAACTTGGCCGACTGCGACGGCACTCCTTGCGGCGGAGACCTGTGCTATCACGGGGGGAACTGCTGGTTGGACATGGACATGAAGCCGCACTGTCACTGTCCAAGGGTGAGCACACAACGGCTGTCATTGCGTCGGTTTGCATAATATTCATCTTGCCGATATCGAATTGTATGTTAAGGAATTTACCGGCGACTCTTGCGGCAAACAAGTGTCTTGCAACGAATTCAAATGCCAAAACAATGGTCAATGCGTTCAGAACAGCAACGGGTCGTCGTCGTGCCAATGTGCTCCCGGATGGGACGGTCCATTTTGCACAAAAGGTAATGGGAACTCATAATAATTGTTTACACAATTCTGGCGAATCGAACAAGGCCTTTGATGAGCCTACTTCTGGTCAGAAAGTGTGGTAGAGGTACGACAAAAAAACAAAGCTACGTTAGACCGAAAGCCAGACAAAAACCGAATAACTTAACTTCTAACACTTTAAGCACTCCTCTCGCAGAAACTTGATTGACATTTTGTATACTATTTCGCTTAGAACTTCCCACTGGCCCGCCGCTGTTCAGAGGACACGGATACATGGTTCTCAGTAAACTGTCTTCGCTCACTAAACGAGAAGACAAAGACGAAGACGACACCACCGACGAGCAGTTTATGAGTTTGAAATTTTCGACCACCTACGAGGATGGACTGATCTTGTGGACGTCACGGGTAAAATGCTAATAATGTGTAATTAAGTCCAAGGCACTGATTACAAATGCACTTAAAAAAATACTATTCGAAACTCTGGGTTGGTAATCTAAAAAAATTTAAATAACGTTATTAAAAAAAAAAGTCCTCAATCGCTTTTTAAAATTAAACTAAACTAAGGTCGAAAAAATACTAAAAAATATTTACAAACTTTTGCAAATGATTTTGATTTTTTTTTTTTAATTACAAGTTTAAATGAAATAAATTTATCAACAATTAATAATTAACTAATATATATATATTTTTTAATAATACTAACGCCATAATATATTATGTATTTTTTTATTTAATTATTATATTCTAATATTATAAACAAATTTTCAAATCTCTTTTTTGGGAGGCAGGGAAAATCTATATCTATAACGCAGATGTTTCATTATTAATTTAATACTAATAGTTAGGGATCAAAATGCAGGAATATTTTTGGAAAAACCCGAGTTTTCCCCTTAAGTCTCGGAATAAAAGTAAAAATTGCAATTTTTATTTTAATAATACATTTCTGAAAAATAAATTTTTTTTGAACTGATTTAATAAATAGGAAGCTTTATTTTCGTATAAATAAGAACATAAATAATAATAACCAATTTGAATTTGTATTTTAATGATATACAAAACACGTTTGAAACTAATCGATTTTTATCAAATTGATCATAGATGATCTAATCGTATGTTAATGGTAATTGGGAAATAGGGAAAAAAAGCCTCATCGAATTTTACAGGAGAGTCACTTTGGTTAATAATATCTGACAACCAACTTAACATAATATATTGTTGTACTTACTATAAGTGCCACGTTTAAACATTTATTTAATAACTTTTATTTTACCAATAAACAGAAAATAGTACAAGACTAATACTGAACGATTTGTTAAATTACAATTTTTAGTAATATATATATATATATATATATATATACAGGGTGTAATGTTAAGTTCTACTCACTTCTACCGAGAGCTTCAAATGAGACATGATTGTAACGTGTAAAACATCAATGTTTGAACAAATTAAATGGGTTTTTTTTTTCTTAGGAAGAATGGTACATGGGCTTAGGCGTCATCGACGGGCTGTTGACGTTGACTTGGGGCCAAAAATACAAAAGACCCATTACGTTGACCGCACCTTTGGACAACATTACAAACGGCGAATGGCACATGGCCAGATTGAATGTTAGCAAGTCGGATTTGACCTTAGAGCTGGACGATTGGGTATCTGAATCGTGCCAACACGACGTCGACGTGGAGCTCAACGACAACATAATTTATTTGGGTAAGACTGGAAACGATTTGAATTTTTTCATTTTTTTTTTGTACAATGGCGGTCATAAAGACAAACCGACAATTATTGAAAAACAAAGGAATACAAGTATAAATTATACAGGTATACATAAAGTGGTTCAGGTCATCATAAAGTGGTTATACATGGTTAAAGTGGTATACATAAAGTGGTTCAGGTCATTATAAAGTGGTTATAAATGGTTAAAGTGGTATACATAAAGTGGTTCAGGTCATCATTATAAACGGTCATCTATGTGTGTTAGTAACACATTTGAGTTGAGAAGATTCTACCGAACCTCCTTTTGGTCGGTCGATTGGGATTTTTTTAATAATATGGTAACAAAACGAAAACATTTCACAGGTGGCGTTCCCGAAGATGTGTACTTATACAGACAAGATTTGTTCAAAGGCAATTTCCGAGGGTGCATCGATCAGCTGATCAGCCAGCAAGACGTCATAACCGATTTCAAACGTTACGAAAGCGTCAATGTAGATTTGTGCGACATCTGGTAAGATAAATCCGGTACGGACATCACACCGTTTGTCTTGTCCTGAACTAACGCTTTTCCAACAGTATATTGTTATACCGTGTACCGTAGTAAACAAGTTTTTAAACCCTAAAAATTGTATAAAAAAAAATGATTTTCCTATAACGTGCATTTATCGTGTATCCCAACGAACAGAGAGGTTGTTCAAAAAACGTTTTACTTGTATACATTTTGTATTTGTTCAGAATCATCCTAACAACGACACGGGGCAGGACTGGCGGTGAAAATACTGTAAAAAAAAACTTGTACTAGTTGTGTTATGAACAAAATAATATATTAAAAAGTTTTTTTGTCAATATAAGCGTCTTGAACTGTTCTTTTTTATATTTTTCTACTACCAAATAATAAATGACTATTTGTTAAATTTAGCACATTGAAAATCAGTAAATACTTGAAATTGAAGTCGATCTTCAAAGTAAATAAACGTGCTGGATTAATTTTGTGACAAATTTTGGATTCATCAAACATCCATCTCAGTTAGGTTTGCTTAAGCCAAATTAGCTCACATTATTTGCCACCAGAGCGGCCTCTAAGCTTTAGGGCCCACTTACTACTTGTATATTTACATTTATTTTATCCTTTTCAATTGTAATAATTCTTCGCTATGTCAGCGCGGTGGGCTAACTTTTGGGGAGGGGGGAATAGTTACTAAAAAAAAGATACAAAAGCATATAAGTATGTTAAAATTTATTCAAAAACAGTCTTAAATACTATTACAGTCCTATTATAGTTAATATTTACATTAGTAGCACATCGGCAAAATGAAACTCGTGCAATACTAAAATGCAAACAAGTCTTTTGCACTATTTGAGGTAATCTACCTAAGAATCTCTTCATTAACTTAGATAATACATAGAGATACATTTAAGATGATAATATGACATATTTTTAAGATCATAATTTCGTTTGTTTGTTGTTAAAATGCAATTTTTGAGATTACAACTTTGACATTAGTACAAGTTGTGCGTTAAAAATAAACTGATATGTATAATATATTATGTTAAGAAGTAATCATATTATGAAATATCACTGTTAGACCAACATTGTTTTGCTAGGTCAATTATGTGCGTGAAATGTGATTTGATGACAAAGTACAACAAATAGCGTAACATCATCGTTTTATTCCAATACGCTTTAACAAGTTCACGAATATTCCTACGTAGAACACCTAAGCGGACTTGGAAATTTGTACTTGATCAAAGAGCTTAGTGGAGAAACATCGAGTGCTTCAATCATATAGTTTATGTTCCAAAGAAGGTTGTGAAAAATGAAGTATGGACTTGGAATAAATTAGAGCAAACAGTGTTTGAAATAAAATTATGAACTAATATTCCGATACATTCAAAATTGAACAAGTAAAAGGAATCACAAATAAGAAAGAGAGACAACTAATAACAAGAAAGGCATCTGATTTAAAAAAAAAAGTCAAGCCAACAAATGGTTTAACATCAGTTACAGACAAAGAAGTAGAGACAAAACCAGTCTTCTTAATAAATGTCATTTAATTTTTTTTTTGTTTTGGGATTTGAGTGAGATGTGATTATACTTGCTAAGCCTACATTTTTGGACTAGAAAATAGTCCAATTAATCAACTAGTCATTAGGAATTGAATAGAGTTCACGCCGAATTGTTCCTATCCTTATTTGGTTATTAAACCTAACAGAAGATGAAAAACTTTTTTTTTTTTCACTGTATTTTTTTAACTTCTTTGCAATAGTTTTTCTCTATTGTTTTACTTAGTATTCCAACCGTTTTTTCCAACTGCCTAATTCTCTCTTTTAGCGTACAGATCTCTTCGGTCAACTTCATTTCTCTCAGCGTCCTTTGCGATAACTGCATTGAAGTCTGACAAGAAAAATCACGTTTCGACGATGCTATCGACACAGACGACGGATAAGAAGATGAGGAATCTATCAGAGAAAAACAGTTAAAATTTGTATTAAAAGATATTGTACTTCATCTAACCTGACCAGTAGGTCTTGATTCCGGCAGTCATTACGTTTACATGACTGCCGAGGCTCAAGACGTCCTGGACGTGTTATAACGCTATAATTAATTTACCAGGAAACTGAAGTGAACTTGAAAGCGGCTGCAACATGCTGACGTTGGTCTTTTTTGAAAAGTGATTTTTGCCGTCCCAATATAATTGTTGTTTGAATAAAGTTGGAACGGCGAAATGCGTAAGCTTGTTTCTCACATTATTATTTAAAAACATTTTATTTTCAAAATGTTCCCCGCATACACGGTAACTTCTTGGAATAGTTCTAGGATCCTTGACGTCACTCAAATGTGTGTGGTTACAATTTTTAATCCAAACAGCGCACCTTAAAAGTACAAAATTAATTACTAATATTATATTTATATTAATGTGTTTGAAACGTTTGTTTAAGTGTGTAACATGACTTTTTTATACTTATATACTTACATTTACAATTAATTTTAAGTCAGTTCAGGGCATTATTTCAATATTTATTTTACTTAGAAAAAATTCAAATAGTAATAAAAATAATAATAATAAAAATTTATAAATACAAAAATTAAAAAAATCATATTTTATTTTAATTTGGACTAAATAATAATTTTGAACATATTTTAATTTGTATAAATTTAAATAACAAATCAAAAACTATTTAAAATAACACAGGCTATTTTAAACAATAAAATAAAAATGTATCTGAATACAATTTTATTTGAAGTTATAAAAATAATAACAAATATTTAAGTAATAATTTATTACTTAATTAATAAATAACAAATTTTTATGTGTTGCGCTAAATAAAAATGTACCTATAACTCAGTGTATCATAATGTAAACTACAATTATTCATTATTTTCAAATAACTATTTTTTTAATTTAAATATAAATCCCCAGGTTTGTAAAACATTAGTATATTACCTTTCCGGATCTTTCGGAAATGTGAAGTAACTCAAGTTCAACGTAGAAGCCTGTTTGTTTTTGCACTGTTTAACAGAACACCGTACACCAGTTTTTTTGGTCTTGATAAAACAAATAGGTATTACAAATTAAAAATAAAAATAAAACCAAGTATGATGAACTCAGTAAGCCCTACAATAAATAAGTCACATATATATATATATATATATATATGAAGGGCTGCGGAGAAAAATGATCATAGTCGTTTGTCAATTATTTTTCCATTCAGTTTTTTTTTCCTTATATTTAAATTAATAAATTTGATTATTTTGTAATTAAACTTTTCAATAAAATATATAGATAAAACAATATTATTTCATATGTGTTATCTTGTACTTTATCTATTTTTAAAGTTCTAAAACTGTAATACTGAAAACTTTGGGTACACTGACTATGATTGTTTTTTTACCGCAGCCCTTCATATGTAATTTAATGTTACAGTGTTAAGGAAAAGTAAATTTTGCATAAAGGATGAACATACAAAACATATTATATTATCTATAATTACTTACCAAAGAGCAATTTCTACTTGGGGATTTTTGGCTTTGAACAATTGATAATGGTTTGTCCTTTGGCATTTCTTTATTTTACGCATTGAAACACAAAAAAATGAGTTCTAAAAATTAATAGTAATTGTTTAAATACTATAACGTAATTTCTAAATAACTACTTAGTTAACCCATTAAGTTCTGGAGTAACCATTTGGTAACGTGAGACTTGATGTTACCAAATGGTAACACTATGAAAGAAATTATGAAAAAGAAAACATAATAAACAAAATGGGTCAAACCATTAATAATAATGAAGTAATGACGATAAATTAATTTGTTCTCAATTTTCAAACAAGCGGCAAAACAAACTGTACAATATTTATGATATATTAGTATACATAATATTATTTCATTCGGTCGAGTTACGGTGTGTAGTAATCGTAGTTACAATGCTCGATTTATTTTCTAGTAATAGTTGTCAGTGATTTTTTTTCCTACATTAGTATAAATACAGTTTAGGGATAGTCTTGAACTGTACGTACCTAAATGATTATTACGAGATGAACGCAATACTTCATTACGCTGCGGCCGATCATGTCACAATAACACGATAGGTTTAGAGGTGAAAACAATAAACTATATTATAGTGGGTCTCATGGGAAAAAACCGTAATTAATTTTGAATTTAACGTCAAATACTAAAATTTTTTGCAACAAACGGATCATGTCAATGATAAATTATTAGCACTTACGTTCAAAGTAACGACAATAGGAGGTTGTTGATTAAAGAATTAAACGAGGGAAATGCAACCAGACCGTCGTCCATTGTATGCTTACAAACATTAGACATGTTGAAACAATGTAGGTACCTGCTTAATCGTTAAAATTAAAAACAATATATTTTGCCAAAACTTAAAAACAAAATAATACTTTTGTTTTTCCTCTTGTGATAAGTGATAACAAATACCAATCATATAATCACAGAATATCTGTGATATTATTTTGAAGTGATAACATTAATGTTGTCATAGCAACGTAATTTTAATCGAGACAAAATATTATTTTAAAAATCAATAATAACGAAAATGCAATAACAATAATGGTAAATAGCTATGTAATTGTTGAGCTGAAATATCTCCAATAAAAGTAGAAAAGAAAAATGGTAAACGGTTGATATACTGCACAATGTAATTCATAAAAAAAAAAATTCTCTTAATTTATAAGAAAATGACAATTTATTTTTCTCATTTCATTTGTCTGGTGATACAGTGTTTGTCCAGAGTTGGACAAAATTGGATATTTAAATAAAATGTTAAAAAAACCGATATATTTAAATATTTAGGCCGTAACGTAAAATAAATAAACTGGAGTTCGATTCCGTTCGCCAAAAAAAAAAAAACTTTTGTAACATTTAAGCTATGCCTTAACACACGTGGAACAACAAAAGTAATAAGAAGAGCGCCTATCAGCTGTGTGTAAACTATACTAAATGGTCAAACAATACTCATGAAGAAGTGTTAGGTATTTTGAATAATAACTATCACATTCTGCCTTGGTTAATCAGTGGAGATTTTAACGTCAACTTCAGTACTTTCAGTACTCTTATTTAATTTCTAAACTATACTTTTAACACCCCCAGATAAACTCAGATAGACAAGCGAGTACTACATACAATTAGGCACAGACATAGCTGCAGTACTCCAGCGGAAATTAGACAACTTACAGTCTCGTGTTTATGTATCTTATTATAGTTAACAAAAACCGATAATATTAACGCAAAATATGTTTGTTGTAAAAGAGACAAAACAATTTATTTAATTCGATTTCCTCACATTACGCCAATAATAATGTAAGGCGGGACTAGCTTTATAAAACATAGGTACTATAACTACAAATGAAAAACAACTAAAATTATGTTCTTATATACAAAAGTTGCCTAAGTTAAAATTTTAAATATCTTTCTATATCTTCTGCGGATATCTCCGAAGGGGCCCCCGTCAGAAGGTCTTTGCCTTCAAATGTTTTCGGAAAGGCAATAACGTCACGAATGCTATTTGTACTACACAAAATCGACATTAATCTGTCAATACCTGCGAAATTAGAAAAAAAACAGCTTATAATAAACATAAAATACTATTAACATAATTTGTTTCGCATTAAATATTTGATTACCTAAAGCTATTCCGCCGTGCGGTGGGCACCCAGACTTCAACGCTTCGATCAAATGTGACATATTGTGTATAGGTATTTTAAGGATCGATTCTATCACTCTGGTTTGTAAATCGGCATCGTGTATACGAATAGAACCTCCTCCCACCTCACATCCGTTCAACACCAAATCATAATGATAGCCTTTAACCTAAGAAAACATTTTAGAAAAACCAAATTATTTCAAAAAGCGTACAGAATTATTAACACCGCTCAAGTGTTTAAATTATTATAGTTTCATATTATTATTATATTTTTCAGTATTAATACACTCATACTTTTAACAAGTTATCATCGGTTATTTGCTCCTGAGGTTGCGTGAATGGATGGTGGACAGACTGAATAGATCCTGTTTCAGAATCTTGTTCAAAAAGTGGAAAATCAACTATCCAAATAAATCGCCATCGATTGGCGTTATCGGTTTCTTGTGGAGTGTCACTTGACTCCTAAAATATATTTTTGTTAGTGACTAATTTTGATAACAATGAATTTATATAATTTAAAAATATCATCGTTTACCGCTGCTTGGTTTCTCATATCCGGCTTGTCGCTGCCATAATTTTTCATTGCTTCATCGTACGACATACGAGGGAAAGGCGTTTTAATTTCGCCCAATTCTTTAGGCCATATAAACGATAACAGTTCTTCAACAAGTCGCAAGACACCGTTTTGATCGGTAAATGACATTTCGATATCGAGCTAAAAACAAGTAATATTATAGTAAAATGCTTTTTAACAACACAAAGCGGTAATTTGTAATTTCCTACTTGAGTGAATTCGGGTTGTCTGTCAGGTCTGGTGGCTTCGTCTCGATAACATTTGGCTATTTGAAAATATCTGTCAATGGATCCAACCATTAGCATTTGTTTCAACTGTTGGGGACTCTGGACCAGGGAATAACATTTTCCTTTATCGTGAGTGGGCACAATAAACTCTTGTGCACCCTAGAAGAGTTAAGCTCGATTTGTATCCCAAACAGAAAACTTACAATTTTTAATCAGTCGTCATTAACCTACGCCGGGAGTTTTTTTGAACAACGTTGGAGTTTCCACTTCGACAAAGTTTCGGCTGTTGATTAGGAACTCGCGCATTTTCATAAGTACACTTGATCTTAAACGCAAGTTTCGCTGCATTTCTGGAAACCGCAAATCAACATAACGGTGTTTTAGTCTTATAGACTCGTTTGCCTACAATTAAAAAAATATATTATAACAATCCAAAAATTGTACGACCACAAATTGTTTACCTTGTTAAAATTTCTAATTTGAAACGGTATACTTGTTTTAACCAAATTGAGCACTTCCAATTTGTTGACGACTACCTCGATCAATCCAGTTTCTAAACTCTAAAACAATGTCTCATATAATAGCCACAAGTTAATTACAAAAGAATGCGTTTTCTCACGTCGTTAATTTGGTCGTTTGGCCTGGCATGTACTATCCCGTGACACAATAAAATCGACTCAAATGGAATATTTTTCAGGTTCACATTATTTGTTTGAGGATCCTATGACAAAATTTATAATTCTTTTCTTATAATTGTTATGCAAACTGAAAGAAATCTATGTTGGCACATACGTTTTTAGGTATAATAATTTGTGTCGAACCATAGCCGTCTCTTAGAGTGATGAAGCGACTGAACCGTGAGAATTCATACCAACCGCATAAAACCACCGTTTTGCCGACATCTTCTATCCTTAATTCGCCACACGTATGAGTTCGAAAAGTGTAGAAATTAGTCTCAGATACATCTAGAACGATATTTATTGAAAATTATAATTATTACTATTATTCGTAAGGTTAGAATATATTTTGTTCAACTCACCTGATGTATTTAAACTAGAAAACGTGTCTAGTTTAAAGGAACCTGTTACCGCTTCGTTCGATAAACGTTTTTCTTGAGCTTCTGAGATTTCCGTCGATACTTCATCTGTTTTCTTAGAATCGCCAAAGTTTTTTCGAGGGACGACAAACGTGGGTGCTTGACTACTTAACACAGGCAAATTGTATCGCATACACTGAGAACACACTCGATTCAAAGTCGAAGGATCTTTTAACAGCCGGGCAATACAAGAAGAAAACATTTTTTAAATCACGATTAACTCAATATTTATTACTAAACATTACAATTATTGAACAGTGAAATGTTATTAGGATATTATTAAAACTTAAACGGCAAACGTTCAAAATGTTCTACCATCTAGTCTTAACTTTCAAGTACTCGTGCAGGTTTTTTAAATTTTGATAACAGTTATCAGTTATCACCAACCGGAATTTTTCAACAGCTTATCAGCTTTACATTAACAGCATTCATTTTTCAAAGTAGATAACACATTACACATACTGTAGAACGCACAATATTGTAAGAACCCAAAAATGTTACTTAAAATTATATTAGTTTATCCGAAAAAATAATGAGAACAATTTTAGAAAATCGGTTACAAAAAAAAAAACAATTTTTTTTTTAAATATTTAGTACTTTAAATTTTTTAAAAACTAAATTAATTGATATTCCGAAATTACTGATCGCCATAGACCACAAATAGTATCTCCTATAAATTTGACTCCCAAGTCTAATGCCAAGCGAACTCTCATAATGGACCACTGTTACGAAAAATCTTCTAGGTCTCTATAATCTCCTCTAAATGCATCCAGTACACATTAACACTATATGAAGAAAAAAATTATAAAAGCTAAACGTTGTATCCTACAAAAAACTTTCTAACTGCACTCAATGAAATTATTAACCGTGGTAATAAAATGAGTAAAAAATGCTTTAGCCCAACATTAAGGGCTTTGAACTTTTATTCTCCTAAGACCTATAGTTTTATAAGGCAAGAATTTGGTCATTGCTTACCTCATCCACATACAGTAAGGTCTTGGTACCATGAGGTAAAGGTTGAAGAAGGATTTACCGAGCAGTCATTTAGCAATAGTAATACATTGAGTTCAGTGATAGTGGCCCAATACAAAATATAAGCCGGGTCACAGTGTTTCATAATATTATTATATTATGATAGATTTTGAGTACACATAAAAAAGTTCAACAGAAAATATTGTGGAACAAATCCAGTTTAGTTGCCCAAGCACTTCTTTCAATTTGTATTTTTATTAAAGGTATTATGTGATTTTTCTGTTTGCACAGTTATAGAATTATAACAAAAACTACTTAACATAATTAAACATAAAGCATAACACATTTTAAAAATCGCTAAAATTATATCGATACAAAATATATAAAAGCTGTACATTATTTAAAAAAAAAAAAAAATGTGAACGATAAATAGAAAAAAAATTTTTTTTTAATTTTTATCTAGTAGAATACATTTATTGCAAATTGTTAAATGTAGAAGTGTTCAATTAGCTTATTAATCCACGTATTGAAGTTTTTATATTTTACGTTGAGAGTTTTGAGAAAATTACTAAGCACACATCACACTGGTAGTATTTATCAAATATTACCTACCAAATGTGACGTGTGCTTAAAGTAGCTTCTTCAAAAGTTACATCTCATTTGGAGTGTGTGTTACAGGATACCAGTTGGTCATTTTGTAAATAAAGACTTAAAGTTCATTCCACATGTGTAGGTGTAGGTGAATGTTGTTAGTTTTTTTCACGCTTCTCTGCTGATTTTCTTGTGCTGCTTAAACAACTAATATTTTAGAACATATAATCTATAATAAGATATATCTGATATAATAAACATATGTTCATCATTAAACAAGTGAATATATTAAACAAGGGTTAATCCTAACAACTTTGTTAAAGTAAAGAAACATTAAATTTAATATTTTCCGATAACTCCAAACCGTTTATTTTTCTCTTATTCGTAAAATGAATTATATTGTTATTTAAAAAATCACGTTACCTGCGATTACTTTCGTTGAAACATTGTGGACAAATCTGGGTTTCAAACTACATTTGACAGTGTTTTCAATATAGTGCAACTTTGTATCCATTGATAAGCCAATGTTAGTATTCAAAGGTTTATTTTCTTTACTTCTGTTATGTAGTCATTGTAACAATTGTCTATTGAATGTACTTCTGTTTTAATTTTCTGCTCTTTCCGAGTTTCACTTATACTAAAAATCAAAACACATTATTGGCGGAAAAATTTAAAGTAAACATATATTTCAAAATTCAGACATTTTGTTATACACAAAAAAAAAGTACAACAGAAAATATTAAAGAAATTAAACACATACTGGTACAAAATAAAAATAAGCTGTACATTATTCATAACAAATAAAAAATGTGAAATGATAAGTAAAAAAAAAAATTTTCTTTTTCATAATGTTTATCTAGTAAAAAACACTTATTGCAAATTGTTAAATGTAGAAGTGTTCAATTAACTTATTAATCCATGTATTGAAATTTGTAAATTTTACGTTGAGAGTTTTGAGAAAATTACTAAGCACACATCACACTGGTAGTATTTATCAAATATTACCTACCAATGTAATGTGTGCCTTAAGTAGCTTCTTCAAAAACCACATCTATTTAGACATGTATAATACGGGATACCAGTTGGTCATTTTGTCAATAAAGACTTTCATAACTTTACTCCACATGTGTAGGTGAATATTTTATAGCTTTTTTTCTCGCTTCTCTGGTGATTTTCTTATGCTGCTTGTCGAATTTCAAAGTAATATGCATTGATTCCTTATATTTTATTCTAATGTAAACAATGTAATTAAAAATTCACACATTTTGTAGTACACAAAAAAACAGTACAATAGAAAATATTAAAGAACAAATCTAGTTTGGTTCCCCAAGCGCTTCTTTCGATTTGAATTTTTATTGAAGGTGTTTTTAGATTTTTCTGTTTGCACAGTTTTGAACTATAAAAAAAATTACCTAACATACTTAAGTATAAAGGGTAACACATTCTAAAAATCACTTAACATATACTGGTACAAAATACATATAAGTTGTACATTGTTCATAACAAATAAAAAATATAGAATGATAAGTAGAAAAAAAAATTATTTTTTTTAAAATGTTTATCTAGTAAAATACACTTATTGCAAATTGTTAAATGTAAAAGTGTTCAATTAACTTATTAATCCATGTATTGAAATTTGTAAATTTTACGTTGAGAGTTTTGAGAAAATTACTAAGCACACATCACACTGGTAGTATTTATCAAATATTACCTACCAATGTAATGTGTGCCTTAAGTAGCTTCTTCAAAAACCACATCTATTTAGACATGTATAATACGGGATACCAGTTGGTCATTTTGTCGATAAATACTTAGTTTATTCCACATGTGTAGGCGTAGGTGAATGTTGTTAGTTTTTTTCTCACTTGTCTGCTGATTTTCTTGGGCTGCTTATCAAATGTCAAAGTAATATGCATTGATTTATTTTATTTTATTTCAAAGTAAACAATGTACTTTACAATTCATACATTTTTAACTTACTTTGGCGAATAAAACTATGCGAATTGGTCTAGTAATTTTCTTGTTTTATGGTCACATGATTTTGTGGTTTGGTAACCTTCTCCAAATCGATAAAAATTAACCATAAATTTCATATATTTATATATTTATTTACATCAATATCATGGAAATGTAATTGACGAACTAACAAAAGATATACTGGACCGGTTATAGCTTAAGGGATGTCTATTTATGTTTTTTTTTCCATGTAGTAATGTCTTTTATGCTGATTACAATGTTAATTCTGAAGTCAGAAATCTACTGACTCTAGTTGAAAAGTTAGAGCTACTTTAACTCTAAAGTTTATCATTGTGCGAGGTATCCGTTCAATATGGTCTGTTACATCATGCACGATGAATAAAAAAATGTAACGCAAAACAACTCTGCAAGTTATTATCAACCTAACAAATCTGAACAGACCTAACTTTCAAAATAACAAGAAAATATACATAAATTACAGATAGACATAGAAATAATATTGTCCGGTAAAGCACATTTATAATAAACTTTTTTCTTACTATGACTTAAGTATGATGATTATAATTCTTTCATGGCTGAATAATCACACTTCAGTGATATAAAAAAAAGGAAACCAAAATGCCTTAATATACTTTATATTAAGGCATTTTGGTTTCCTTTTTTTTTTCTGACGACAGAATTCATTGTATTATTGCTGTACGTTGACGATTTAAAAGAAAAAGAAAACGTTAGATATAATCGACTTGATCGTCGTATTAAACTATCACAGTAATAGCATTCACAGAAATTATAAAAATATTATATAAGTTTTATACACAATGGCACAACTCAAAAGTCAGAAAGTAGCACGACTGGAAAGAAAACATAATGAATTTAGAGGCTAATAAACAAAAAACCTTTATCAATCACAGGTACGACCATGGTTGGTCCATGAACATCCGGATAGAAGACGGGCGGGTGGTGCGAGCACATAGATAATAAAAACAATATTCAATAAAATAATTGTACTATGTGCGAGTAGGACTATTGTCGTAGCAGTGTTACCACTACGAGCAGTGTAAGTTATTGTACAACGTTATTTTGTTTTGTCTCTTATATTTTTATTGTTGGGGAATCTGAAGACTCTCGGTAAATATGTGTGTAAAGATATGTATAACATGCAATGAATTTATAATAAGACTTCATAAAAAAAGTACTCATGAGTGGAATTTTCTTCTAATGTTACAATTAAATACTGCGTTACAAATTAAACACTTTCTTTTACCCATTAAAAAAAATTATACGTAGGTAAAATAACAAGTTAAAGTCCAACAGTGTAATGTCTATGCGTACCAGACCTATAAAGATAAATTCTTTATAGGTCTGTGACCATTTCTCGATCATATTCAAGATGTCCGACATGATTTTAACTCGTCCCATAAGAGCCCATGTAAAAATTAGATAGTTTTTTTTCTGTTTATTCTGTGGTTGAAATATATTATTTAATTAAGTATTTCAAATTTATATTTAAAATAGCAATAGGCAATAGCTACAAGTCAAAACATGTACTGAATGTTTAAAAAACACCATAGAAAAGTAATCTTAACCAGACTAAATTATTTAATACCCTATAAGCTATTCAAAACAAAAAATCCACTTTTAATTTTATAAATATTTTTAATTATTTTAATTCAAACCTTATTTTATTAATTAGAAATTAGAATACCTAGTTTATAAATTAATTAGTAAAAATATATACCAGATGTTGAACATGATGTTCCAAACGGTAATTTTGTTCATTTGAGATGTAGCAACTCACATTTTTCAATCCAAACTGCACATCAATACAATTTAAAATAATTAAATATTAATATCTTGATAATCATTTGTATAAATACTAAATAAATTACTATAAAAATTACTTACCAAGAAGGGTCCTTTGTAAAAGTAAATTGACTTAATAAAGCCGGATCTACTTGCAAACTTTTACAGTTCTTTATACAACATTTGGTTGTTCTACGCCTTTTAGTTAAGAAGAATTTTGTAATTGAACGTTACAACAACAACAGACAGACAGACTACAGAGTAACAGAACACCTAAGGGTAGCGCAGACAAATCACCAATGACAGTGTTACACGTTTACGACATGCGTAGATGGGTTAGACAGGTTTTGCTTACTAACAATCATGCTTACAAACATTGTGTTTACAAACAAACCATTAAAATGCATTGAACATTATGACCGTATGTAACGTTTAACGGGAAATACATTTTTTTTTACGTGGCAACACTGCGTTCACCAATCTGATTTAGTCTATTCCATGGTAATAACCACGGTTGCCTACTAAAGACAAACTAGTAGACACTAACTAGTAGACACTAGTAGTAATAACTAATAGTAGTTAAATTTATAATTAGTTAAAAATAATAACAATAATTATATTACGCTAGCTCTACACTATCGCCGAAGCTTTTAAGGTTTATCTTCAAAATCGGTTGTAGCGATAACATTTTTTATAAAAAATCCATTTAAGCTCTTTTCCCCTAAAAAATATCAAAGATATGGAAAACAGATTTAAAATTTATACGGAACATAATATTGTACCTTAAGGCTCAAGTAGAGCTACCATATTAATAAAAATTGTAATTATTGTAAGGTTTTAATGCCAAACTAAAACGTTTTACGACATGTCTTAGTTTTGTTTTGTGTTCTCTTTAGTAAATTAAAAACATATTGCTTAATTGAAATGTGGGCCTTGAACCCTTAATACGACCTCGGTATATTTCGCCGCCAAACTGAAGAACTTATTTATATAAAAGATATAATATAACATTATACTTACTACTTAGAAATAATATCCAGAAGTGGTTGCTTCGACGCCCTCTGACAAAAACCTAAAGCCACTTACCTAACACCAGTCTAGAGGTACAAACATTCTATAGCACTCCCAATGGATCGTTTTGACTTTACTATTTTATTTTGAATTTAATTAAAAGTTATATTATTATTTAATGACATTCAGTGTATTAACAAAGTGAGAAAATTAAATACTCAATAAAAAACTGAATACCCCAACTCTTTTTCAGAAATCGTAGCATACCTCTACTAATTTTTATAGCCGGTGTTTTTTAAGGGGTAAAAAAATTGACAGGTACGCTTTTGTTTTTATGTAAAAACATCCTCCATTTTCAAACTTGAGCACTGTTCATACTCGTTATAAACTGATGAGCGTGTGAAAAATACTTTTTTAATAACCAAATTAATTATTTTATACTATTAATTGATATTATTTGAACACATCATTTAACAACATCATATTTATTATTTAACTAGGCATATTTGACTAAATTTTGTTTTAATTTAACTAGGCAATTAATTATAAAAAAAACTCAGGCACCCATGCTATCAGGCTTATCAAACTAAAATTTTGATTGGAAATCAAATTGTTTGCAAGAATTTAAACAGCGAGTAGCTTTGATGAGTATTGAACTAAATCAATCTAATTCCGTCCATGAGTTTATAAAATATAACTTAAAAATATGAAATAGAAAACAGGATTAATTCTCGTTATTTATTTGTACTTTTTACTTTTATTCTTAGATAAGATTCAGTTACAATTATTATAATCTTAAGACCAAAAAAGTAGGGCGTGTTTACTTGTTTCAATATATGTTGTAGTCATTTTGCTAACAATAAATATACCCATCTATAATTTATTCTAAGTGCCAAATTCGCCAAACAACGTTTGTCAGTTTCTTAAGTATCACACTACCTATATAGTTAAAAAATAAGTAAGATATATAGGTAAGATTATTAAACGTTTTAAATTACACTAGTTTCATGATTCAACTAGTTACTCTACAAATTCAAAAAATGTGTACTTGTTAAGATGTAAAATTATATTGTGTAAACGCACAGTATAGTATAAAAAATATTTTATTGGTTACCAAAATATGAAAGTGATGCAAATCAGTATATTGGTACTCTTAAACTTAACCATCATATTGTAAACAGAAGCAACATACAAAATTAAAATTAATTTTTTTTAATCTTGAACAGGCTCTGCTTTTGTGAGAAAACATAATATGTTTCTACTTCGAACAGAACGTTCTTAAAAATAAACCGATTTAAGTTTTAAAAAACATTTGGATTCTTCATAACTTTTATATCGTGGCACGATTATTCTAAGATCATTTTTAGTTTATTATAAATTATTAATTTCTATTTTAAGTGAAAAATTACATTTATTAAGATTTTTAGTTTTTAAAATAACATTAAAAACGAATGTTAACTTTTGCCTCATGATGGGATATTTTTCATACGTAATTTTGTATCATTATTTATTTAAATTTTTTGATACTTATATACTATATTATGGCTCTTTAAATGTACTTTTAATGGTGTACTTAGTTTCTAAAAAAAAAAAAACAATAGGTATAATTGCTTACTGGGAATTGAAGCATATTACCTAATTTACGATCCGAATAGGCAATATATTTTAATCCTAATAGGTACCTACGTTAAACTTAATTGGACCTCGAAAATTGCATCTATACATCTAAAATTTCCACAAAAACTGTATGATTAAAAACAAATATTGGTTTGACCTGGTTAGGTTTACCGACCACTGTACGGCATCGAGTTTAGACGCTTGCTATAATATTTGATAAGCATTTAATAGGATTTTAATAGGTATTTAGGCATTATATATATCTAAATACAGGGTAAATTGCCGGTGGAGACGTTCAGGTGTTAAGTAGAATAGATAATACATTTAGTCTATTAAATTATAAAACGGAATGGACGTAAAAATTAAAATCGTATTAAGCTATGTCTATTATATTTACTATTTAGTCTAGTCTGTGGTTATACTACACGGTCTATGGGCACAACCGTCGGAAATTGGAAGGGGAAAAAATAACCACCAGTGACCAGACAACAGCTGCTGTTGTTACTATATACCAAATACTGTATTACGGTAATAATACTGAGTAATTATAGTATTACTCATTAGTTATTATCCCGCACCTAACACCCTGAACACGGGCCGTTAAGTGACAAGACGGCAGCTGTTGTAGCCTGTTCACACATGCTTCTTACAATCTTGCCATTGATTAATCAATGATCTCACTAAGTATACGTCCATCACTCATCAGTCGCCGGTTGTCGATAAATATCCAAATACCTAATTGATCGGGCCGATAACAGTTTTTTTTTTCTTCAATCGACAAGTAGGTACATAATATTATTATCTCTCTTGGGCGAGCAACAAGTGGGATTAGATATACCCTTTTGAGCAATCAACAAGTGCGAATCGAGCGAGATGGCCGCCAACACGACTTCCATCAAGATTTTCACCACCAAGACCGCCGTCAAGGAAATCGGTTCCATAATGAGAAAATGCAAACATCAGATGAGGTACTTCGACACCTGTTACGTGGAACAGTGGTACGGCGACAAACGGGTATTTTGCTATGTGCTCTACGAAGACGGTGTGCCGGTGTCTTTCGCTCTGTTGTCCACTTGCGACTTCGACCCGATGAAGGAGTACGCAAATCCGAAAATGTTGAACTTCATCTACACCCTAGAAGGGCACAGGAGAAAAGGCTACGCACTCCAGTTGGTGGAACACGTCAAGAAAAACAACCAGTTCACCGTGTGTTGCAACAGCGATGATTCAAAAAACCTATTTGAAAAATCCAACTGCAAACGTTTGGACGACCTCATGTACAGACATCCATAAACGTGCAATTAATGTACACAACAACAACCCACTCAATACATACGGCACAATCGACACCACGTACCCGAGGTAGGTGCCCGGATGCTACACGGCCGACGTTTTGAAAAATAACGCTTAGAAATTTAAAAGAATAGAATAGAAAGTTGCATTGCAAACACAGTAAAAAAAAATAAACTTTCCAAGTTTTACTTAAACTTATCGTGAATAAATTGACTTGAATTATATTATATTTTAGTGTAAAAAAATTTTTCAACTTTGTCTTACCAATATTATTTTAGACATCCTATCCTATATGGAATTTTGATAAATGTAAAATGTAAATTTGAGTTCTCAATAAATGTTTTGTGATTGTTTGTACTATTAGACTTTTATTTTCTTACTCAATAATAATCTAACAGACTGTGTAAAAACAACAATCACAGTTTGTCGATAAAGGATTTGCTATAAATACTATATCATAGTGGTCGAACAATGAATTTGCTTAAAAACAATGCTTAACAAGTACACTCAATAGAGATTTTTCCTTCTCCTCCATCCTCTCCGGCCAACATAATATACATTGTAGCATCAAATAAAACAAATTAGATTCTAACAAATTAAAAAGTTTGTTTTTGTATATTATGTGATGCTGGTGAACAAATAATTTTTTTATTTAATTTAATTAATTGAAATTTTAGCCAGAGCTTAATCTGGTTACTAAAAAATTACTTCAATGTAGACATAATTTTATTTGTTTGAAATGAGACACACATCAATAATTTAACGTCCATTGTTGATCGGTTTCCAGTAAATCAGATAAGTATTTAATACCTATGTATTCTAGAGATTTTATTTAATTTCCTTGTTATCAAAATTAAACTATTTAAAAATAATATAGTCAATAAACGCTAATGTTTTTTTTAAGTTGACATAAAATCACTGAAGATATGAATTTGAAAAATGTCAATACACATTTTAAAATTGCTTTTAAATTATTCTAGAAAATAGATTAGATGGAAAATGTTTACAATGTAATACAACTCAATTTATAAAACTACATTGTTATCCTTTGCTATAATATGGAATGTTTACCAATATTTAAATGTTAGTTCCAAAATCATAGTAATTGGGTATTAGAATGAATGATTATGATAATTAATGATATTTATATAAAGTATTAACATTTAAAACTATTTATTATTAAATTAAATTCAGTGGATTTTATGAGTTAAAACAAAAAGTTTTTTTAAGTATTTGACAGATCTGATCTGGCCCAAACGATAATTATCAAATGTTTTCTAACTAATTTTTTTTTATAATTATCAAAGACTTTAATATAGATTAAAGTCACACAAAGTGTTTCAACTTATTTATATTTTACTTGAATAGTATATATTATTTTCTTTCGATAAAAATCACCAATATTTTATGTATCCAATACAAATTTGTATCAACTGTTCTGCAAGAAGGTACATACGGTAGAGGAGAAGTTATGACTCATTTACTTCCATAATAAATTGTTTTATTTTTAAAACTTAAAAAAAAAACAAAACAAGTTTTCAAAAATATTAACATGTTTCAATGCATTAATTAAAAATTTATGTTAAAAATATAACTAATAAAATATATTACACTTTTTTCTTCTTTTTTTTACTTATTTCTTCCATGTTCGAATACGTTAATGGTCGTTTTTTGCTTTTACTATTAATTTTAGGTTGGGTTATTTGCTCTATCACTTCGACCCGATGGCGTTTTTTACCAGATACAGATAACAATTTTGGCGTCGGACTTTTTTCTCTAGTATTGCTAGGAGTGCCTTTTAAGCTCAAAGGCGATCCTGTCTTAATTTTACTTTTTTTTTTGATATTACTGTCGTCGGCTACACTTTTACCTGGTGAAAAGTTATCCTTCTTGCTAATAAAAGAGTTATTTTTATTGTCAATAGATTTTTTTGTTTTCAGACTTGTAGGTAGCGACTTATTAAGCATAATAGATTTGATTAGTAAATTATGTTCGTCCTCACTACTACTCGAGTCTTGGTGGGATGTTAAGTTAGTAAATTTGAACTTTTGAGATTTTCTTTTTTCTTTCACAGTCGAACTTTGTTTCGGTGATTTATGGGTTTTAGCGTCTTCTGAGCTATTACCGCTTGAACGTTTTATTGGTGTCAAAACTTTAGCCGTGTTCGACGGCACAGCTTTTGAGATCTTTGAGGTAGACAAGCTTTTGTCAACACTCAATGACTTTGAAGGAACTTTAGAAACTTTTTTTTCTTTTTTACTGCCCTTTACACGTTTGGTGGTTTGTTTTAGGATTTTATTGATTAAGGAACATTCGTCTTCTTCGCTGCTACTATCATTCGCGTCTTGACAAAGCTTTTTGATTATATCGGCCTGTGTACTATTTTTTCTTGGCTTTTGTTTTGTCGTCAAACTGTTGCTATGCTCAGACTCGATTTGTACAGCGGATTCAATCTTGTTTGAATTTTTTTTTATTTTTGCTTTTTGATTACTACTTGGCGTTTTAATCGCTTCGGTTAGACCTGAAGGTTTGTTAGCTGTTTTAACGGATACATTAGCCATGGCTTTTGTAGTCGGAGACTTACTATGGAGAGATTTCATGATTAATTCGTTTTCATCTTCGCTACTGCTACTGTCGCATTGTTCTTTGGCAATTTTTTTGATTATTTTTTCCTGTTTGGTTTTTTTTTTAGAAGTTGAAGGGGATTCCATCATTACCACATTCTTGTTTTCTTTACTTTTTTTCTTTTTGGTTGTTTTAGTAGTTGCTGATACCAAGGCACTAGTGTTTTCGACATCTTCCAGGGAAACATCAATATTTTTATGAATCTTGTTATTTGTAGATTTATCGACTTTCTTGGCAGCAACTTTAGTTGGACTTTTACGTGATAGTTTACTCACAAGAGATCTATTTAATAACTTGATTTCGTCCTCACTTCTGCTTGTCTCCTGAATCGATGTGTTGTCGACTTTGGTATGTTTAGTTTTTATTGAAGGAGAGTCCACGGTGATGTTTTGTATATCTTTCTTTTTTTTCTTCTTTTTTTTAGTTGTTTCTGTTGTTTGAATCTGAGAAGAATCACCATTACCGTCCGTACATTTATTTTCCTCGGCGGATATTTTAACTGTCGTCTTCACAGGAACCGATTTACTTATGAGAGATTTCGTTAGTAACATAGTTTCATCTTCACTACTGCTTATGTCGTGAAACGTTTTTCCGGTTTTTGAAAGTTTTTTGTGTTCTTTAATTTTGGTCTTTTTCTTTTTCTTTGATTTGCACGTTTCATCTTCGGAGTTTTTGTCGTTCAAATGATTATTGGTATTCGGCAGAACGCTGGTTGGATTCGATAATCGTTTGAGTTTTCCAGTTTGGGTCGTGTCTTCATCGCTTCTCGTCGGATCTAATGGAATTTTAGAATTCTTTTTCATTTTTTTCCCGTCTTTTGACAGTTTAGTTGAAGCACTTTTCAAAATTTCATTAATAGATTGCGTCAGATTGTCTTCGCTGTTACTGTCGTTTTCTCTTAATGTTAATCGGTTGATAATTTCAGCCTGAGAGTTCTTAGTGCCTGATGATTTCATAGTGGGACTCTTTGGACTACATTTGACATTTTCGATCAAAGGCATTTCAGATACATCACATTTACTTTTTTTCTTGCTTTTCTTTTTTCTATTTTTCCCATCCACAACATCTTGTTCGTACGGTAAATTACTAGTTGAACAAACATGATTGTCATTTTCTGTAGGGTTTTTAATTGTATTGGATACTTTATTCGATATCCCATTCAGACAATTAAAATCCCTATTAGGATCTTTGTCATCTTCGTTGCTACTCGTACCCTGCAAGATTACGTTATTTATTGTTACCGTTCTTTTGGAGTTTGAAACGATTTCACTTTCTTTCTTGTTGGTATTTATTTTTGTTGATTTATACATTTCTTCGCCTGATCTGTCGCTACTATAACGACCACTCATTATATGATTCAATAAATGCTCCTTTTTTACAGACAAGCGGTTTTTACCTTTTTTGGTCATTAAATCTAAAGGTAATTTAAAGCATTTTTTTCTCTTGCCCTCGTAGTACTTGTGAGGGGAAGCAGTGTTTCCTATTTTGTCAAAATTTTCTACACTTTCGTCATCGCTGTTGTTTACTTTAATATTAGTTTCAGTGTCATTTTTTTTCAGGCTAGCTCTTTTACCTGATACCTTTGGACTGGAACCAGGTGTGATGTTTGAAATTGAAAGAGTATTTTTTCTACTTTTCTCCTTGTCCAACAATTCTGTTGACGATAAATTATTATTTTCATTAGTACAACAATTGTCTTCATCCTTAAGGTTGACCACCTTTGAGGAAAAAGAACTATCATGTTTAATTTTTTGAGGTAGCGATTTCTTGGTTTGAGGTTTGTTATCAATTATACGACTTTGTGGTGAGTTCTTATCACTTAAAGGATTTAATAATTCTTTTTCGTCTTCACTGCTACTACTGCTAGTATCGCAAAAAGTTACGTTATTGATTGTTACTAATTTTTTAGAATCGCCAAGTGTTTCGCGAGGTTTTTTAGCAATTATCATTTTAAGAGATTTGTACATTTCATTGTCTGAACTCTCGCTACTCGAATTCCTCACATTGTTACTCCAATTACATTTGGCGTTTGGCTGATCTTTTGCGTGGCTTTGAGAGGTTATCGTTGTCTTCACAGTATTGTTCTTAGTAGTAGTCGTAGTGTCACAATTATCACCACTCGACGAATTTGATGTAACATTAGAAATATTATTATCTTTTTTCACAGTAGTCGTAGTGTTGCAATTATCGCTACTCGACGAATCAGATGTAACATTAGAAATATTATTATCATTTTTCACAGTAATCGTAGTGTCGCAATTATCGTTACTCGACGAATCAGATGTAACATTAGAAATATTATTATCTTTCTTCACATTGTCTACATTTTTGGGAGTTGAGGTCGACAGTCTTTTAAAAAATTCCATTCCACCCTCGTCACTGCTACTGTCGTTTTTGGCTGCATCTCGGCTGCGTTTAGTTCTTTCACTCAAAGTCAAACGTTTTTTTTGTTTAGCTTTTATTTTCGATGCAGATGAAGGACTTTCCATAATGTTTTTACTGTCTTTCTTGTCAACTGGCTTCTTGCTAGTAGGACTTTGATGTGACGGTTTATCGGTTTGTCGTTTCATTGGCGATTCTTTTTCCTTGTCTTCACTACTACTCGTCTGATGTTGAAACGTCACTTTATTAGTTTGTATAGGTTTGTGAAGGGTATCGTTTTTGGCCTGATTCATTTTTAACGATTCAAACATTTCGTCGTCCGAGCTGTCGGAGCTATTGTGCGAATCACTATTGGTTTTCGTCTGGCCTTTTTCCAGACTTGTTGACTGAGCCGTACTCTTTCTGGGCGATTTATTCATTGATTCTCGATTAGTTTGACTCTCCGATAGCGATTTGTTGACGAGTGATTTCATTAACGATTCGTTCTCTTCGTCACTGCTACTACTGATATTACTATCAGTATTTTTTGTTCCACTCTGATTTAGCTTGGTCAAAGCCGAAGGGGAATTTGTAGCGTTTGTACTTTCTTGGTTTGTTTTCTTTTTCAAAACTTTATTAGTTTGTATCGAGTTGGAAAGGGTTTCGGTTTTTTCTTTTTTAGCTTGATTAAATTTTAATGATTCAAACATTTCGTCGTCAGAGCTGTCGCTACTGTTCGTATCACTAGTGGTTTTCATCTGGAGTTTTTCCTGATTCGTCATTTTCACAGTCTTGTATTCATCGCTACTTGATGAATCTAAAGACACTGAAGACATGGGATTTTCTTTATATGCACTGTCTACATGTAGAGGGTTACTTGTTTTGGGCGTTTTATTCTTTGATTCTTGATTGGTTGGACTCTTTGTAAGCGATGTATTGATGAGCAACTTCATTAATGATTTGTTTTCTTCGTCGCTGCTACTACTGTTACTGCTGTCAGTATTTTTTGTTCCACTCTGATTTAGCTTGGTCAAAGCCGAAGGGGAATTTGTAGTGTTTGTACTGTCTTGGTGGGTTTTTTTTTTCTTACTATCTGAAATTTCTCTCTTGGACAGGTCATTATTTATATTATGATTTAAAGAGGTGTTGGTCAGTTTGAAGGAATCGTTAATAGCACTCTTTATAGCTTTGTTAGGACTTTTTGTCATCTTGGTGGGACTGTTTGTATCTGATACAAACTTAGTTTGATCGCCTCCCTGTTCGCTCGGTTTAATAAACACTTGTGATTGTAGCTGACTGGCGGTTTTCTTCTTTTCCAAATGTTTTTGCATTTGTTCGAATCGTTTATGTCTGGTCACACTAAGGCTGTTCACACTGTGTTCGGATCCAGAAACATTCTGAGTAAAACTGGAGTGCAATGGACTACTTGACGACGAGTTGGGACAACTTTTCATGATTACTTCAGTTTCTCTCTCAGTATCGCTTTCTGATGCTACTTTGGAACTGGCTTTTGTTGAAAAAAATTCTGCTTCACTTTCAGAAGCGGCTCCGCTATCACTCAGTAGATTGTCACTATGAATAAAACGCGTTAAATCAGAAAAAAAAACCAACAGTCTTGTACAATTATATTCATTAATTGTAAATAGTAGTTATTATTAAAAAGTACTAATACCTATAATAATAATTACCTATTGGACACTATCTCTCCGGTGATGTGAGGTAGTTTTTTGGTTGTATCAAAAGACAAAATTCTTACGTTAATCTTGTCGTCTTTCTTTACTTTGGAACCTTGCCAACAACGGTAAGGTTTGTTTTCTGGCCGTACGATCGAAACATTAAACAATTCAAGCACCAAACAGCCAACATGGCTCTCGCTCACTTGATTGACAACAGCTAAAAAAAATAACATTTGTTATTCAACAATGAATTTGAGTTTTGAAACATTACAAAATTTAGCTAACATGTTAATTAAGACATAGAAATATAACAACAAATAAATGTAATGTCTGTTCTTTTATTAATTTGTTAGATAAAATCTAACAGTTGTAGAAACTAGATTCACCGGTAAAATTGGAGGAGACTCAAATTTTAATTGAAATTTACAGAAGTCAACATGCACTACTAGTCGAGCAAAGTTTCAACATAAAATGCAACATTTTTCTAATTTAAACATTTTCTATATGGATAATAGTATTTGAGTTATAGGTTATTAAAAATCACACGTTGTATATAACGTTTTATTATTTAGCACACACCGATTGATAACTTTAAAACAACTTTTAATATAAAGCTACAACACTCATTTATGCATTTTTTTAAATTTATTAACTTTTAATTAGAGTTCACTATTTATAAACTAACAAATACTCGTACAGTTCAACAATTTGTTTTAAATTGGCAATATTCTATTTATTTATTTTACTTAAAGTGAACAAAGAATACAATACAAACTTTAAGGATTACCAAAATTTGTTTACAGGGTTACATTAATTGGTTTAGTTAAGACTTGGAGAATATACCTTTCCCTGTCTTTTAAAATTATTATTTATCACTCATATCAATTTATTTATAATTAAACGAAAAACATTTGTAGCAACCCTTTTTTGTGATTACACAATACCTGTGCAAGCGCAAAAATTTAAAAAGGTTAATACAATTGTTTATTACGCTTTTATGAAATCCTTGATATCATTGAACAATGTAGTTATAACCACTAAATGTAGTTTTGAAACAACTGTCTTGAGAATTTTATTAATTTTTGTCAAATACACTAAAAAAGGCAATGTATATATAAAATAATTTAGTAAAAAATGTTTCATCTGAAAGCACTAAAAGCATTATTTATCACTGAGAAAAGGTCGATAAGATAAAGGATTAACTATTTACTCTTTTCTTCTTCTAGTGAATAAATATTTCATACAGTATATAAAACCAACAGTGTTTAATTCTAACTTATATAACTGAATAATAAAATAACGAGAAATAAAATATATAGTTGCATTGTGTCATGTTTTCAATGGTAGAAATTAAGTATTTCATCTGTTATGATTCATTTTTATAAAACCAATTTTTAGCACACAAAACCGTTCTAAAAACGTACATGACATACGGTTTTGTTGTGTTAAGCGATAATGAAAGAAATGTAATTTTTTAAAAATATCAATTCACACTTTGAAAACTAATATTATCGTAACAATGATTGAGTGTTATTTTATTACTTGTAGGACAATATAATATTAAATTTTTATTAATAAAACAAATTTAGATATTCTCTGTTCAAAATTACATCGGTACAGGCGGCCACCTACTGCGCATGGGCGCGGCTTTGTTCTGCGTACCAATCTCATTTTGAAAAGAGTATAGATAACATTACTTGTTATGTTGTATGTCTTAGCAATAACACATTTTGTTTGCTATCCTTATGTCGCTCTCGATGACGTCCAACTATTTCTTCAATGGCTCTCTCTTCTTCTAAATTAACTACCATTACCCGCCTAAGTCTTTCTCTCCTCATAGTTCTCATATTTAATTTGGAAATATATAGAACTAAATAACTTATAATAATATTAACCTTCGATAACTGATCCGATGGGTGGTCGGAAAATGTAAATGTCGACATTAACCGATACGTTGATGTTATGACTGTAATCTGCTGGTATCACTTGGTTGGAACTTATTCGACCAAATCCCATAACCAATCCTTTTAAACTGAAAACAATAAAAATTATGTACTAAGTATATAGTGAAATATAATTAATTAATTAGTAGATGTTTGTTAATTTAAAGTACTTAAAATGCGTTTTTCCATAAAGCCTTTATTATAGTTTATAGTTTGAGGTAATTTATAATTAAAATTGAAGTATATTATTGATGAAATTAAAAAATGTCTCTTCTTGAACATTATCTTATTTAACAAAAAATTGACTATCAATTCAGTTAAAAACAAGTTTTATAATTATTTCCTAATAATGTATGGAATGTGCCAAATTTTCGATGCTATAATCAATTAGCCAATATTTAGAAGGGATTTGTTTATTATTTTATTTGAAATTTAGTTTTGAAAGAAACAAAAATATGGTTAGAGAAAATTTTGAAAGTCCAATGAAATAAATAAATTAAATGAAAGAAACTTTATTTGTAAGATTTTATATAACTACTAAGATATAATGTGTTGCTTATACCTATTTTGCTAACTCCTGGAGCTAAAACCATTTTGATCTGTTAAACATGTAGTTGATTAATGTAATTTATTAATTAAACTTTAAGCCAAACTGGTGAGAATGGGCATTATTTTCATAACAAAATATTCATAATGATCGGCTTTTTTTTATAGTTAAATAAGAAATTGTGTAAGTAACATGCTTTGTTTTGTTTGTATATTTATCTATTGTTTTGCATACAAACGTATGCGAGCCCTAGTTATTGTCCATCAAAATCATGTTCCCGTTTGTATTGTCGGCCATATATTTTTATTGAAAAACGAGAAATTTACCATTAACTTGTGTACTTGATGATAGTGTTTTCACAAAAAACATTATATTAGCCATTAAATTAATTAATCGTATAAATACTAAATATTTTTACAATATAAAAGTTGTGTATGTAAGTAAAGTGTGTAACACAAGACCAAAAATATTAACTGTTTTTGAATTTTGGATTTGTTAGAACCTGAAAGCAATTTATCATCAAGATTGTTTAAAAAAAAAACATAACTAAAAAGCTATTTAATTAGGATACTAAGCTAAATATTGTACTAATATTAAATATTTAAACAATTTTTAAATGGCTAGTGTTTTTTTTCTTTGTGAAAATCCGAATTTTAGGATTCCCATCAGTACTTGATAAGCAAACCGAGATCTAATTATTATTATAGAATTTAGTTTTCTAGCTATGGCTAGATCATAATATTTTCTCCATGTAAAATGGAATTATTTCCATGTTAAACTTTAGTTTTCCTGATCATAATATTTTTTCCATGTTGACAACACCTATGTAAGACATACTCATTATCATACATTGTACTATGAACGCGTGTACTTACTCCGAGTTGTAACTGTACTTCAATTTGTCGAGTTCATTCCTGACGGTTTTCGAAAACAATTTCGGGTTACTCGGCGCCGCGTAGAAACCTAACTTGAGTCTGTAAGTGTAATTGTTGTGCAGGTACACAAACGGCGGTAAACTGTCTGGTTGCATAATGCATTTATGAAAATTATCACATGTACACCTTAATCATTATCATCATCAACATAATCATTGTTCATTCAGTCGCATTATTAAATAATAATAATTTGAATGCCGAATCCATGCCCTCATGGTGTGTTCGCGACCATGCCGTACAAACCAAATACCATTCTACACTTGACCAATTTGTATTTTTTTAATTTATACCATAAGCGCTGTGTGTGAACGCTTATCAGATAAACTACGCTCATATTTCACAATTTGACGTTGATACCGACATATTTTTCCCGGCGAGCCTCAGCGATACTACAGTAACCGGTTAGGTCGTAATATGGTTCACCAACGCTGGTAACCGACTCCAGCCTGGTAAGTGATGGAACGAATTGATAAACATAGTGATTTGGATTCAGATTAAAATTTTTCAGTTTTCCATAATTTTCGTATTTCTCAATGTAATTTTACTTTTAAGTGTATCTGTTTTCTATTTTAAAAAGACCAAGGAGGGTCTATCTCTAATATCTCTCCCCTCCACCTGTAAATACGCCACTGATGTAATATTGTGATTTTTTAAGGAATTATTTTTATTCATCACAATATGTATTTTTCATGACAAAAACGATCGTGAAGTCAGGTTCGGTCAAACGGACATACTTTTTAAGTTAAAAGCCAAAAACTTACTCAATTTTTTGTTACCTGCTCGTTATTGGATTTAAAAAATTGTGGTAAAATCAGAATTCACCTAGTGTGGTCGTATTCTGGTTATTAACTTGTTATTATGCATTGTAATTTGTATCGTTATTCGTAAACTGATAGCTGATTTAGAATACTTACCTATAGTGGTAATTAGTAATAGATATACAATATTACTAATCTGACAGTATTATTTTCATTCACAGACGTTTAACAAGTTGCGTCCAAAATGGTACTGCCATTGGTATAATATCTCCTCTCTTATATGTTAACTATGAGTAAAGTATATAAATTGTATTATAATTTTAGACTATTTCAATAAATCATTAGACATTTTTTTGATAAAGCTTGGGAGGCTTTAATATCATCGGTAAAGATAGAGATTATTTATATACAACCCTGCATCCTACTTGGATGGTTTTGTTTGGAGATATCGTAAAATATCATTTACAAGCTTGTATGTGTTAGTAATACTTTTGGTACGTGGGTATAATTTAATTTGTTTTTAATCATCATGTTAGAGATTTTAAAAAATGTATTCTCTAAATAAAAAAAACCCAATATAGTATCCATAAAAACGGTAGATTTTTTGAGAAATGGCACTCGACGATGGCTAAAATAATTTTATTTACTTTAAAAAGTAGTCCACAGTTTGTAGACTAATAGGTGTCACAAACATTTGAAAACTTTAAAATAGAACATTTATTTCATGAAGAAATAAACTTGTACACTGAACACATTAAATTATAATAGCGATTTGTGATTACAAGTAATAAAATAAGTATTGGAACGAATGAAAAATAAAACAAATACTGTACTTCAAAATATGCTATTAAAATATTGTAAACGATATTGAACACATTTTATTTATGGTTAAAAAAAACAGGAATGTAAAAGAAGTGTTTGAAATAAATTCATAAATATATGTAAATAAAATGACAAAAAAACTAAAAAGCGTTTGAATATTAAACTATTGTTTATGTTGTTACCATAGTTATAATATTATAAAAACTTTTAGTCTTATAACCTTATTTTTTCTTAGTTTCAAATAAAAATATTTAAATTATTGCAAAATATATAATTTAAAAAAAAAATGTTTAGTCAATCGAAATGATATAATATATAATATGTATATAAATAGTATTAAACAATCAAATTATTGTTTTTAAAATATAATACACTGTTTAGTTAAGACATAATATAAATATAGAACTGAGCGACATTAAAAGATAAATACGGTTGTATTTTAACAAATGCAATTGTTAGGTTGAAACTTCAACCAGCGAATGAAAACAATGTAAAAGTAGAAAAATAACTTACAAAAGTAGTTTACATCTAATTCTATGTTTGACTAAATACTTGAGTAACTTTGAAAATTTTTATCACACTTTATCATGACATTTTTGTTGACGTCATTTTAATGAAAAAAAAAAACCGCAATATTATAATTGTTATTGAAAATTCAACCTATGAAATAAAAAATTAAAACTTTTTTTTATTAATTGTAACACAATTGATTGTTAATGAAAATTCACTTCATTAAAATTCTATCCATTTACAAACATTCAATTTAAATGTTCTTGAGAATTCTATACATATAAGTTATTTAATTAAATAAATTAAAGAGTCACAAATTAAATAAATCTTCAGTTTTCTTGAAAATTGAATTGACATTCTACCGTCGATACGGTAGGTACGCGCGCATGCGTCTAGATAACTAATATTATGGCGATTAATCGAGCGAACAACAATAGTTAGGATCGCTAAATTGCTTTCGATAACTATTGCCGTACGACGATTGTACTAAATACTAAAATTGATTGGTCGTTTTTGATTAATATTAAAAAATTTAGAAGTAATGAATAGTAAACTATTTAAATGATAATAATAATGAATAGATGTTTTGGATCTAACGAAAACACCACATAAATAAAACACTTAAATAATAATAATAAAAATAATGATAATAAATTAGACTTTGATGACAATTGTTTTAGACTGAGGAAAAAAAGAAGAATCTAGCAAAGGCATATAGAATTAGTACACCTTTTGTAACAATATGTATTTATAGTATTACACCTATGATTACGATCACAAATTCGGTGAAGTCAAATCGGCCTTTGTCGCAGCAGTAGGAAAAGTAGTATTGTGCTTGTTTAGGACAAAATAGCGGCGCTCTTTCGCGTCACTGCCTGACTGCTTACGTTGTCCAGACTGGACCACTTCTTGATGCCGTTCTTCAAAAACTCTGCTGTTATCTTATCCTCAAACACACGCGACATGGCTTCAAGTTTCTTCGCTCTTTCTTTGCTCAACGGTTCCGCGGGGAATGTTAGTTCGTTGTCTTCGGCCAACGAACGAAGGTCAAAATAGTACTTGGCGTACACGCTGGACGGAACGTTAATGTTGAACTGGAGCATTTCGAGGAATTGACGTTCCAATTCGTTCCTGTAAATGGTAATCGAATTTCTTCAATAATATGTCTCAAAGTTTAAAAGAAACTATATAATATATACATATAAATTATTATAATAAACGAAATATTGCGTTAATTTATTTCTAAACAAAAAATATATACTTAACAATATTATTGAAAATATACACTAGTTTACTTAGAACTACTGGGGATGTAGATTAAAATTTTAAAATTTGTCTTAGCTCGATTTGTTGTGTTAGAATAATTGTGTTTAATATTAGTTGATTGTCAATATGGGTAATGTTATCTGAATCATATAACTTTCCACCTGTTCAAGGTTTTTCAACACTGCTGTTTTTAAATTCAACTATTGTAATTAGTGATTTAATTTTTGAAAAATGTATTGACTATTGTTGTAAAATTTGAATTTTTTTTTAACCCAATTAGGACAGTTTCAAGAATGTACAAAAAATTTAACTCTGTCCGAACATATTTGGCATTTAGTATTAACACAAAAAATTGTTTAAATGTTACCTTATATAAGACAATATTTGTAATAAAAAAAAATTTAATTAACAGCAGTAACTTGCTGTAGACATAGAAATTAAATTTTTGATTTGGAACAGATCTGCTAATATTCTAGTAGAATTTTTTTTAAAAAATGTACTATGTTATTTAATGATTTTGTTAGTAAAATAGTTAAATGGAAAATATGATAGAAATTTTTATTTAACTTTTAATATTAAATCAATCCGAACCACATCTTGAAATGAGTTTAAAAAACCTAAAAAAAAGATCAAAAATTATCTTTTTGCTTACATCTATAAATATATTGTCAAGAGAAAAACAAAAAATAATAAATTAAGGTTTTTTTGAACCACCCTAATATATGTATACCTATTAAATAGTCGACTGTGAAACTGTTTTATTTAATTATTTTCGCACATTTGTAAAAATGTACTCTACTTACATGTCTTCAACCGTAATATCTTTGAGAATTTGACAATAGTCGACATTCCATACGGCTTGGTCATCCCACACTTTTGATGCTAATAAAATAGCTCCGAGTACAATTCTTTTCCAATTGGCAGGCGTTATGTCAATTTCAGCATACGTCAGCAATCTATAATGGCGTAACAATGCTATTGTAAATAAATATATATATTTTTTGTCAACCAAATGGAACAATGTTACTTACCTTTCTAAATAAACAAGTGTGACAATCGCACATTCGGCAGTCAGTTGTGCAGCGTTAAACAACGTCCGAACAAATTTATAGATTTGGCGGTGTTCTGGACTTTGAATATCGTAATTATCAGGTACACGTTCTCTCTAACGGAAAAATATTTGTTGAGCACAATAATTGAGTAATTTATTTTGTGTTTAAACTGTTTCGTCAACACCGAGAATGTATAACTTGTTTCTCTACTCACCGTTAAGGGATGTGATTTTTCATCAAAAATATTGATTTGTCTCTCGGATGTTCTATTTTTTATATGGTAGTAAATAGCGAGTGCTACGCATTTGACTGTATTCTTAAGATTAGGTTGAGACACTGTACTATCGTCCAAATAAATGGTCGAACATGAACTACTTTTTTTCAGAGATCGGAAGTCGACAATCTGCAACAAAACAAAACGTGTCGAGTATACTTAATCAGTTGTGTACAAGAACATAACATCATAAAGACATGTTGTTGACATGACAAACCTGCGATTGACTTTGTTTTCTCGTTAAGCCATCTGTAAAAAAAAAAAACAACAAATATTAATAACATTCAAGATAACACCCAACTTGTCGCAACCTCGTGTCAAGTGGTTAGGACATTGAATGTATAAAAACAAAAGATTGTATACAATAAGGTATCTTGGGTACAATATAGGCAACCTACTTATGTTTCCTGACCATAAATTAGTCGCTGACAAGAACATTTTGAAAAAAAAAAATTACTTCAAATCATGAGTTGGCAGCCGATTATTGGTGCATTTATGTATTTTTTGGGTCACTAACTCCAAATATTCTAATTAAAGCATATTGTAACTGTCAACCAGGGCATGCAACAGTTGTCTAGGGCAGCAATATTTTAAGATGGGAAACTTTTTTGTAGACTATTATATTTTCTTTTCAAGTTTAAAACTACGAAAATTAATTTATGGTGAATGGTGAAAGGCGTAAAATTTTAAAGGCCGCCACCAATTACTGTAAAACAGTCTAGTGGCTTTCAATAAAAAAAAAAGTTTGCCAAGATGATAATCGTTTGAATGTTTAATATTGATTGTTGAATTATTTTATTAAAGAAAAACTGAGATTTGTCAACTTACTACAAATGGGCATATAATACACTTTATTAACAGTATAGTCTTTAAATAAAATGATTTTATAGCACTTTGTTCTATGACAATCTGTTGTTCAATACGTTCACCCGAATAAATACATTTTGTCACGCCCAAATTGACAACTTACTCTCAACTTTGGACCGTTCCAAAAAGATGGTCGCTACTTTCGGGTGGCAGGACGGGTCGGTGTTCCAATCGTCCTGTTCGCGTTCGCTGATGTGCTGTAGGTTGCCGACGCTCTCTTCGCCCTCTTTGGGGAATTCGTTGGTCACGCCGTTGACGTCCTTGCGCCTCGGTATGGGGCTATTGTACGAACAACAGCTGGTCCAGTTACCCATGATTTTCGCAAGCCTATCGATAACACCATGAATGTCGCGTAAGCTATAAGTGGACAGCGCGCGTTACTGAGTTGCACCGCGACGAACAGCCATCTAAAGCAAGCGTGTGCCGGCCGACAGTATCTTGACCGGCAGTTTATCTAGAGACTAGATTAGTCGACTAACAAAACAAAAAAACCCCGTTTCAGTCTGAAAACAAAATACTTGGCTCTCGACTAGAAAATGGTAGACGAGTGTAGTAATTCAACGACAATGCCGCTTTGCCAAGACGATCCATTCACTGCGGAAGTGGTCGCATAACATGTTTACAATACACTTGTGTTTGTTACACGTCCCGTGGTCGTGTGCTAGTTGTAAAAATGTAATTATTATTGTTATTAATATTTACGACCGGCGGCGGCGGCACTCGAAAACTATGTACGACATACGATCAACGGATCCCATGGGGTGTTGCCTAAATACCGTGTAGAGTCGCCTTCTAAGTTTAGATGGACAATATCGGATTTTATGTTATAGCGTTGAAAATAAAAATAAAAATGATGTTTATATCCGGTCGGCGGCGGTATCGTCGTTTTGTAATTCGGAATGAATTGGGCAGTGAATCAAAAACGAACACACGGCACATAACCAACAAAATTTCGGTCACGGCAGATAACGCACACACACATAACCGCGGCACACACCATTAATCAGTCAACTCGATGGTTGATTACACTGATAATACTTGAAGAAAAAAAAAATATATATATATATATATATTAAACATTTTAAAAGCTAACCGAAGACAAGTAAGTACGCCAACCCGTAGATACGTCGACAACAATGTTTTGTTGGGTAACTAAAATTCGTATTTTTAATAAATATAACGATAGAAAAAACAATTATTAATTACAGGCCTACAGGTAAGTGGTAACGTACACGAGTGTTTTGTATTTCTACTTTTTAGATTGCAATATTTTCGTTTTTTTTTTATTTTAAAACATAATAACAATAATAAGTAAAATGTTTTTATTTACAAAATGACAACACGAGAGTGAGAGAGGAAACCGTAACAGAACCTCGGAATTATTATTTTTACCAGGCTGTAACATTTTATTGTAATAGCTGGTCTGTGGGATTCATTTTTCTGTAAACGGCGGGAGACAATATTTGGTGGTAATGTGTGGGAAGACGCGTGTGTGTTAATGGAAGGATTGGAATGATATGTTAATTTTGAGTGGAATCTCTTGTAATGGTTTTTGTACAAGTTCATTATACCGTACAGTGTACAGTGGAGGGCAACATTTGGTACTGTAGAAAAAAAAACATTATCCCATAATCTATTTGATACAATAAAAAAAAAAAAAACCGTCAACAGACAACAACCGCGGTCATCTGCTGCTGTAGGCTGCAGCGCTCAGCGGGTCGACGCCGGACCCAAGTTTTGTTATCAACAATTAATATTGTTGTTGATTGATAATTATCATATCCGTCATGTTGGACGACGACGACCACCACCACCACCACCAGAAAAAGGTTGGTCGCGTCCGGGATCTTTTGATATAACATAAATTGTAATATTATTATTTTTGATAGCGTTTTTTTCGTTTTTTCCGACATAACTATTAGCCACCGCAGCGGCTACTGTAGTGTTTGCCGTTTGAAATTTTTTTTTTTCAAAAATCCCGTCCCGTCTTAAACGATAACCGCCGACGTCAAAATCGGTGTCTAGTTTTTTCCGAAAACAGTACATTGTGGTAAGTCCTGCTCGTCGACCGCGTATTTACGTGTTTTTACACATAGCCAAGTGTTGAAAATTTGTTTGAATTTTGTCGAAAACCGTTTTGCAGGCCTCGTGAACATAACATGTAACCGTTGGACGGCCACTGCCACTGTTTGACTTGGGACCGGACGGTCTAGTCGTACTGTTGTCGTATTGTCATCGCGGCTGGACATCGTCGACGAATGATGAAAATGAACGACGAGACACCCGTCAGTTCTTTAATCCTTCCGGTCCTCATCAGACCGATTTTGTCGCAGGTATGTGTGTGTCACTATGGATCGTATTCAAAAACAATACCTCGTCATGGTAGTAGTTGTGGTGCAATATTATAATAATTATACACACTTTGGGTATAAAAACTAAAGTGCATAATATTAAACTCGACAGTATAAGATTCATATTAGGGTCTCGTGTCGGGAAATCGTTTATTAATGATGAAAGATGTTGGTTGTATGAATATCCTCCACAACAAATAATGTCTAATGTAAAATAGTCGCCATCACTGTAATTGCCCGTGACTCAGTTTGATTTACCCGATAAGATATAGTTAGATACAACATGAGTTACGTGTATTAGTTTTAATTTAAGTCGTTGGACAATCAAATTCAACACACGTAATGCATTTATTTTATTGTATTTTTATTTTTTTACTCCATTCAAATATTTTTTAATGTAAAGAATTGACATAACCTAAAATTAACAATTTAGTTTTATAATTTAAATTTGATCTCTGAAATATTTACAACTCTTTTTTTTTTTAACACTGATAATACATGTTTCATTAAAATGATTAACTAGTGGTGGTACAATACGGGAATTAAATTAACATGATGAACAAAACAATCAATATAGTGTGTCGATAAACTTTAATTTAGTAAAATCGATCTTTAAATACATGGAATACGTTGCCAGTTGATCGCTGTTTTCACTTTTTTTTAGTAAATGATTTAAATCACATACTTGTTATTTATATGCTTTGTGTTTATAAATCGTAACACAATTATGTAAATTTATCATATTTAATAAAAAAAAATTATTGTTCATTATTATGGCTATTTTCATCGCTGTGATAAACACTTGATGTATGTTTAATAATCCAATTAATCCGATGGTTTTCAGTTGGAGAAGCATAATGTTTCGGCCTCGCAAACGCTAAGGTCGGCACTATTCAAAACCGAAAATGCTCATCCAGGGTTTGCGTACAATTTGGTTGCCGGTATAATGAAAAAAAGTGATATTAGCATAAATATGAACGAGAGTATTCTGAGGCTCCAAGGCTCGGTGTCGGATCACGATGGTTTGTATTTTATTGTTGTTATAAAAAAAAAGTATTACTTATGTACCTACCTACCTATTAGCATTAAACCTACTACTAAATATACTAACTTACCTCTAAATTTAGTAATTAGTTTAAAAGCTTTCGAGTGTTGAACGTTTATTAGTTTTTTAAAAGTAATATAAAATAAAAGTAAACAATTTATTGAAATTGATAAATGAAGGTTGATATGAATTTTTAACTGAAAAAGTATTGGTTTTTTGATTTTGTGTTTTAACATTTTTCTTTTAAATTTTCCTCTTGTTACAACGTAAAAAATATTTCTGCCGACTTGGTATAGTTATATCTTTGATAAATAATATAACATATCACAATAATATTTAAATTTCTTCAAATCTTATCTCACAGATAAAAGTGTTTAGGTACCTTGGACTTTGTACATTGGTTGCAGTCTTAAGTGTGGTAGAATAGAGTAGACTAGATATAATATACAGTTTGATGTTTCATAAACTATTTTTAATAACATTTAATTTTGTTTAGGAATCGTCCAAAAAACAGTTGATCATTGCTTATGTATTGTAATTTAATAAATTAATCGGATTTTCTGTGTCTAAATGAGAATTTAATCAAGTCTAATAATTAAAACAACAATTTCGTTTAATTTTATAATTAAAAAAAAAGTTTAGTGAAAACTTTTTAATTTATTTATAAATTACCAATGTGTACCTTGTGTGAAAATAATGCAAATATAGCCATTATTGCTTAATCTAGATATTATGTTAAAAATGCTTTAACTCCGTTAAAGACTCATCTCCGATATTAACATAAAATTAAATAGTGTTGAATTGCCTTTAAGAATTTTTTACTTTTACAGGGAGTCCTGAGTAGATATTGGGTGTTCTATTTTGATTAAGCAATTATACTGGTTGTTTTTTTAACACGATTGTAATATGGTGTGTTTAATGAACTCATTTTTTTTTTCTCCAAATTTGATAATAACACAATCTGAGCATAAACAGTAATATTATATTCAATAGATTTATATTGACGCGGTCTAGTGTCAAAAATTAATGTGTTTAATAATAGCTGGTTAGGTTTTATTGTTTTATGCAAAAATCATGTGTAATATTTTATCATCATAAACTTGATTAATATTTTTGACCATTATAATTAATTTAAACAGAAATTATTTCAATGTAAAAAAAATACTAGTTTAAAAGAATCATGTGGGTTACCCACGTGTGTTAAATTTATTTAAAGCTATTAGGCAGTCAAATTCAATACACAAACGGATTTATTTATGTATTTTTCTTTTAACACAATCATTGTATTTTTTTAATGTCAAGTATTGACAAAACCTAAAATTGCCTTTTTTTTGTAATTTAAATTTTACTTGTGTATTATAATGTTTACTACTAATTTTTTATACACTCGACTAATACTCGTCGCGTGTGTGAGTAGTAGAGCTGTATTTTAACTGTTATTACTTTGATTTATTTCAGGTGGAGAATATCGGCTGAACAGATCCGAAGATGCTTTTCAAGAACTCAACAAAAAATCAATGGCTCTAAAAAGGATTTTAAGTCGCATTCCAGATGAAATAACTGACCGCAAAACCTTTTTGGAGACAATTAAGTAAATGATTACGTTATTTATTTACTATATATTTTAAACAAACACATTTAAATTCGGAGTGGATACTGATTGAAATTTTTATATTTGTGTACATCACTAATACCATTCGGGGTAAAGTGACCTTGAAGTAAATTTGTTTTGGAAAGAAGGTATGATAAAATGACTATGACAATATTGACTACTATAACATTAACAAATAGTTATCTGTTTAAAGATTGTGTAAAATACATATTTTTCGGTTATATTCACTCGCACTTAGTAACTTAGAAATTTACTACAATAAATATTCAAATTAAGAACTATTTTTATTTAAATATTTTTAAAAAAGTTATCACAATTTCAAGTTGAAAAATATGTAAATATTTAAAAACATTTGGAGCTTTTTACTACTCGCTTTTTCATCAAAGAGTTAAAATTTGATTTTCTTTAAAACATTTTAGAATACAAAAAAGAAAATTTTCCATCCTTTCTAGGTGAGTGTTTTTTTTTTTATCTTTTTTGTTTTGTGTGTGTACGAATATTGGTAGTTCTATAACTCAAGAATGTACCATACAAGTTTGGAAGTAATTAGACTACTTTTTAAAAAGTTATAGTGCTGATGGTACTTTATAAGTTGAAAAATATGTAAACTATTTTTATGAGAAGGTTCTCAGCTCCACATCGTAGCTAAACGTTGATTAAACTGAAGTTAACTTGAGAAATTTGATAATTTTGTAAATAAAACCACAGTTGTAGTACAAATCATTTAAAATGAGCAACAGAAATTCAAGTTATTACGGTTTAGAAAAACTATAGTCCTTATAGGCTAAAAGTCTATAGAAATACAGTTCTATTGACATAAACAGGGATATTTCACTTTCAATTATGTTGTGTAAACTTTGTAATTTTATTTTTTAATATGATTTACATGACATAAACCGTTATCAAGAGTTGTGTGTGACAACTAATAATTAATTGTCATTTATGTTTTTGTGTTGTTATTTCAGAGAGATAGCTAGTGCAATAAAAAAATTACTCGACGCTGTAAACGAAGTGTCTGGCTACATACCTGGACCCAGTAATAAACAAGCGTTAGAACAGCGAAAACGTGAATTTGTCAAATATTCCAAACGGTTCAGTAATACGCTTAAAGATTACTTCAAAGAAGGACAGTAAGTGAAATACTTGATTAACCAATTCCATATTATGTGTATTATAAATAAACAAATACTACCAAAACCTAATACTCTTCATGCAAGTGTAATTTTTAGTTCATTGCACAATCTGTGTCGTCGTATCGCATTACATTGGACTTATTGTACAATTGACCAAATTCTGTTATTAAAATTTACAAACAGCTGTGATTGATGAAATAATTAATTGAATAGTCCATTATTGTTCCTACAATAACAGATAGTAATGCTTAATACATTAGAGCCACACTATCTATTTGTTAGGGAGTAAAATGTAAAGTTTATGCAATTATATAGTTTATAAAATATGTTTATAATTTCCATTTAATAAAATATTTCATTTTTGGTAATTACAAAACAATGTAGTTATTAGACATTTTTAAAAAAAATAAATTACATTTTTTATGGCTTACACATAATTTTTTTTAATTACATTTGAAAGTATTTTAATCTGTCAGCGTACTATATTATATATTATCATATTAGTTTTCAAACTATTAACTCTTCCGTAATCAGCGTATAATCGACATTTCTTAATAAAGTTTTCAAAATATTTTTTTGCTTCTTTTATTTTTTAAAAAAAAACAATCAAAACGTTTTGTTTCAGTGCCAATGCAGTATTCATTAGTGCCTTATATTTAATTCACCAAACCAACCAAATCATGGTGACAGTAAAAAGCAAATGTGAATGAAATTGGTTTTGCTGTTTCAAAATAAACGTCGTCGTAGTTAGTCGTCGTTATAGAATATATTAATATTATTATTATTACTATTATTTCAATTATTATCATCAACATCAATATTATATAATATTAACACAATACATTCCACTACCAACTATTATTATTAAATAATTATTGTTCTTTTATAATAAAAAAATAAAAAAATATTAATGTTATGTAGTTTTAAAACTAATTTAAATCGATCGAATTATGATATAATTTATAAAAATATTACAAATAGAAAAAATAAAACAAATTATTAGTATCTATTTTACGGGGAAGCAATCACTATAGTATATTATTGTACAATAATAAAAATAAAACAAATACCCGTTTATGTAAACTTTACTTTGACGTTTTCTTGTTTTATTTTTAGAAACAATTTTGTTTAAATTAATATACTATGTTTTTTGCACACAAATTTAGCCAAATTAATTGAAAAGATAATTTTTTGTTTCATTATTATTAATAATTGTAGTACACGATAAGCATGATGGAAGAATATAATATTACCTACATAGAACAACATTTTAATATTTCTTAAATAAAACAAACTAATTGTAATAATTACTCGCTTTTCGAAGTGTTTATATAGAAACTATACACATTTCGTGTATCTCACCATGACCGTGTAATTTCATTGACGTAGTTGTATTATAATATTATATAAATATTTTTTTTTTTTAAATGTTGTTAAATTGTTAAGCTAATGCGTATCGTTGTTTTCGTCAATTTTCGTACAGTATTATAATGTAATAAATAGTAAAAATATATATACATATATATCCAGTAAACGTGATTACTTATAATACATATTTACACTTGTGCGTGTTTATATATATATATATATATATGTGTGTGTATAAATAACACAGTAACTTGTAAAATAATATATTATTGTAATGGACTGAGAGCCATATGTAGTTATCGTATGCCGATAAACATATATTAGGTATATTAATTATTACCATGATTTTAAATGTTATTACACATTCATTTATAATATGTATCATCATCATTATTATAATGTTTAGACTTGTGTAAAATTCTATTTTTTTAAAACTTAAACGGATCGTTGTTAATTTAAATTTGTAAACACATATGATATTATTACTATTATGTCATTATTAAAATGAAAAATTATTAACTCTTTACAAAAGCTGATTATTTATATTTAATCACCCATGATCATTTCTTGCGGTGTCACAGCATTCAGCAGGTATCCATATTCCATGTACACCGTAAACGCATAAAAGGCATAGCTGATATATTATGACGATACACTATTGTGCCAACTACCATGTAAATTGTGTATTCCTAACGATAACGAGTGGCGGCGTGTCACTTAAAGACACATACATTTCTCCTTGTGGTATTTGTGTTGCGTTTTATACGCGTAAGCAAATGATTTAGATGGGCTTAAATGATTACCAAATAAATATAACACCAATAAAATAAATTTTGAATTACTGTAATGTAATATGAGAGAGAAACGAGAATACCACATCGCAATGATAACTGAAATAAATGAGCTTTTTTTTCGTACCTACATACATATACATCATTGAGTATATATTGTAGTAATAGTATATTCACAACAAACCTTGGACAATGGACATTTATTTCAAATAGAAATATTATAATTATACTACAAATATTTATATATTAATCACGTGACTTGACAAATTGTTAGTTAATTTAGCATAGTTACATGCTATGATTGGAGTTTGATGTCAAAATTTAAATAATTTCAACATAAGAGCATAATAGATATAAGGAGAATAAGTATATTCAATATAAGGTACCATAGTATAGTAAAGTTGTCTGTATTTGGAACTTATCGCGGTATATAATATTATAAACTCTATGGCGGTCGCACTGGTATGATCGTGGTCAAAGATTTTGGTCACGGTTGGTGGTAAACGCACAATAGCCAAATACCTATGATGGCAATCGGTGAATGTTTCTGTAGGAGTAATTGTTTTGATATAAGTGACCCTGCAGGTGCGGGATAGAATGTCATCGAAATAGTCGCAATAAATAACTAGGTACTTTAAAAATACATTAATTATTATTATATACTGCTAGCAGCCGATATGACGACCCAGCTACAGTTCACTACAGCAGGTATCGTAGTAAATAATTTGTTGTTATCTTATATTATATTAAAATTCTTCGACAGTAAGATGGCCGTTCTAACCAGATTGGCTTAAACGTTAAAAATATAGTCAACACAATATTAAAATTATAGCCTAAAAATAAATTAAGCCGAACTGGTGAGGATGAAAGCGGTGTTAGACATTAACTATTACTATATAGATAAGTCAAATAATATGCGAAAGTCGAAACTGTACGTTTAAAGTTTTACCATAACATTTTTTTTCATATCTTTTTGGAAACTAATAATGGCAACTACTTGCATTTGTGGTTTATCTAGATGAATTGATATACATTTTATAACTATAAAAATGTATTATTGAAAATTTGAAAGGGAATAGTGATCTGATTTTTGTTTTATTTGTTTTATTAGTTGTTTACAACGTAGGTTAAAAAAATGTGTTAACGTTAACAAGACGGCTAAGCAAATATAAAACAAAGTAACCTGCTTTTTCTTTTTATTAAAATTAATTTTTTTGTATACTCCTTGTCACTAAAACATACCTAATGAAGTTTTCTATCATATAATCTTTGGAAACAAACGATTATTTTTTAATGAAATCTCACAGAAAAATAACACAGAATATAGTTGGAGCCTGGAGGCCTGGATCATTTTACAAAAAATGGTTCTCGTTTGCATTGTATGACCACTTTATTTAAATTGAACTATCCATAATTATAATCAATTTTATACCGGAAGTATTTACAATATATAATTGATACTTAAAATTTTATTGCAATAATTGAATAGTTTTTACTTTTTTCAAAATACTTTACAACACTGTGGGTTTCTACATGAAGAAAACGGTTTCTTAGTAACCTCTAGGTTTGGAAGATATCTTGAGTCCAGAAACAAAAGTTTTATGTTAGCTTTAATAATATTATGCTAGTCTACACTCGCATCGTGTTCTTTGACTCTAAAAATAAGGTCAACTTTTGGTATAAATCGAAATTATCACTATACTCTCAAATAATTTCTAGAGGGCTATCCTTCCTGTCTCTATTAGCCGATTAGCGCCATTGTTTGCGCAAATGTAATCTAATAACGTGTGCCCTTGGCGAAGCTGGGCATCTCGGCCACTGTATAAATAGAATAAAATGATTTTGGATGAAATTAGGGTTGTGCGAATAACGATGAACCGAATTGACCCGAATAAAGTGTTCGATTCTAAAAATAAATATTGTGCAGTGAAGGGTGGTTAAAAACTGTTTTAATTTCTTTAACTACATAGCGCGCTGCGCGAGCGTTTTCATTTTGGAAACGGGTTGACGTTTTTAAACCGTTTTAAAGTGTAATTACACATGACGAGAATGTGTTTTAATTCCGAACCGTTTTAACGTCATTATCGTATTAAAAGTACACTAATAATTGCAATGGTGAGTTGATGAGTTTCAGACACAAACGGACGGTTAATCGAACCGATCAGTACTCCGGTGGCGGTTAAACGCCGTTTATTCGATGACGAAAATCCGTTTTGGGACAGCGACTATCAGAATCTTACGGGTGTACTGCCGTTGCCGGAATTGGCAGGAGACAATCCGGAAGACCGTCTTCGCGGCAGTACTTGCACGTTTACCGACCTCACATTGACCGACAGCAGCCAAATATCTGTTACCAGTAGTATTGCTATCGAAAAGACACCCTCTGCGGCAAACTCGGTGCAAAAAGAACCGACCGACCAAACTTTGACGCAAAAACATTTGGACGTGACCTCCTTCTACGGACTACAGGTAAACGGTTTACCTGCAATTATAATTTAATTCTTCTAATTTAATCACGTTTTTTTCTATCAATAAAAATAAACAATATTAAATGTCTAGTAAAGCATTATGAAGGTGAACGTGTCACCTTTCAAAATATTTTTGTAAATTTAAAAAATATTCATGGTTTATAGTTATAACGATTTTAATAAAAAAATATTAATGGTATTTTTCAAATGACTGATCAATTAAAAAATGCCATCTATGTGTATAAAATAAAATTCTTTTAAAAAATCAATAATAGTTAATTACATTAAAATGCAAAGATTTCATTTTGCTCCTTATTGTCATTAAGAAATAATATAATACACCTCTATTTGTTTTTATGTCTAATAACTGAATGATTCGTGAATTTCTTTTCTTGATTTCGGCAATTTTGGATAACAATGCATTCTTGTATTATGTATATTTCTTGCTGTTAGTTTTACATCAAATGAAATCAAATTGTGTAGAAACTTACCATTTCCAGGGACCAGATTATTCAACTGGTAAAACATTTACACAAAAATTCACAAGTTTTTTTTATAACTCCCACCAAATATTTGGTATCTATCCAAAAATAATATGAGCTTTAATTTGTCTGCGGATTCACTTAAAAGAACGTGACCGGAGGCAGACTGGGTAGTACTTGGAACAGTTGAAGAACTAAACAATCGGCCATTTACATTTCACTATTCGTCCTACGCAGGCACTCAGCCAGAGATTTTTTCGGGTAACAACTAACTAGTATACTTGTGTATACTATTTTTAAACGCTTAAGACAGTTTTTTTTATAGCAAATTAATATTTATTCCAAAATTATTGCGTCGGAAAAGCATCCGTACAATAGCAAACAAAATAATTATTGAATGCTGACTAATATACATATGGGTCGTTTGTTGTAAAAGTAATTTAACTCCATATTTATAAAATATACATCTTTGCTTAACGGAGTCACGTTTAGTCGTATCTTTCATTATAAAAGAGAAGCAACTTCAAAAAATAAATAAATATTCGAAAACTTGAATTTGTTTTGCTACACATTAACTTACAATAAGCTCATTATTTCAAAATTAAATTATAACGAGATAATTCATTTTTACAATGGACGAAACGTATAATGCTCAGGTTTCGCATAGGGTCCTAATAGTGATGTTTGCCGCTTATAACTTATTTTAAAAGCTCAAGTTTCTTCGGTAATTCAATCGGGTTCGTTAGTATTGTGCTGTTTGTTTTATTTGTATTGACTGTTGGACGTTTTTGCGTAGAACTTACTTTAGCATTTTAACAAACACAGAACGCCGATTAAGGGTTAAGCAAACGCGTGCCTCCAACTATTTACCGAGTTTGAAAGTTCAGCATGACAGATAATTAATAGTTAAAACGCATGTGAATCAATAATACAAAAATGTAATTGAATACATTTATAGTTGAACAATTTGGATGTACCTATTTAGGGTAAATATTAATGTAGGTATTTAACATGCAATTACAGCTACCATTGCTACTATAGTTTTTATCGTTTAGAAAAAGTATAGATATTTTGTACTCACAATAGTAAATAGTGACATTATAACGTCTTATAGTATATTAGAAATTATTTTGTTATACATATTATCCTAAAGATTATGGTTACTTTAAATTTTATAATCCGACCGCAGTATGAAAGTTTTAAATTGATTATATATCATAAAATAGGTGCTTACTGCTTACATTCTAAGGTGAGAAAAGTTACTTTTTTAAAACTAGTTTATTAGCTAATTAAAAATAAAAAAAGTAATTTCGTTAAAAGTTATAAAATAATAACCTTAAGCTCGCAAAGTTAATTCCAAAATTACCATGGTTTTAAATTTTAAATTGTTTTAATAACAATATTATTGTGTAATGTTTCATATTAATTATTATCTTATAACAAGACGAACTTGATAATAATAATAATAATATTATGTTATAACATGTTTTTATTACAAATAAATAATGAGCCTTTTTTTCGACAACTTAAATTTTTAATTGTTTTGCAATGTAAAACAACCCTGGTAATCAGTGTGCATTAAATGAACATTTGACGATTCGAATAAAATTTCATGATTTCAGGATGTTAGAAAAATAAAATTATTCAAAAAACAAAAAAAGTTGTAATAATTGGTTGGTTTACCAACACTCGAATTAGATACCTAAATCTCTGCAATTTATAAGCTAATATCAATCGATTTCTGAGCTGTACTTGTTACTAACAGAGATTTTTTACAATAATACACAGTTTTAATGAGCTGATTAACACTATGATTTATGTTAACTATCTAATCGTTAGTGGTGCGTTGTAGTTGGGACATTAGTCTCGACATGACACTAGAGTTATTATAATAATATAAATTATTTAATTTGTTTAAAACCAAAGTGCAAATTAGAAATATTGTTTTGAACAATGATTGAAACGTGCGTTAAAAAAACGTTTGTTTTCATTAGCCAAAGCCTAAATGTTTAATGTTGTAATTTTTTTGCGTAGAGACCGAATTGCACGTTGAAAAACGTCAAATGGTTCAAACGGAACGACGGTAAACGCCAGTACAAAAATACCAAAGTTTTACGAGCCAAGCTCAAGTCGTCAATTTCCCAGCTAGGTCGGAAAATGCGGAACAAGTTCATTTTTTTCAAGGCTGCGGATAGCAAAAAAAAACCGAAAACCTCTAGGAAAAGATCGGCTAAAAAGAACTTGCCGCCTAACCGGTACCCCTTGACAGAATGCATTCCTATGTTGAAAACGTTTGACATATGCCACCAAAAAGAATCGTCAGTAAAAGTCGAAAACGCATCGTTCGAAGAGAATTGGACTTTTTTCAAGTAAGGAGCCAAATTATATTGCCACAATGCCACCCTCTCACCCCTACCACTCCTCTGACCCATCTTCGTGTCTAGTCTAACTTATTCTCTCGTGAGGGATCCAAGGAAATTTAGATTTAATGATAATGCCTAATGAATATTCCATAAAGAATTTTAACGGGACGTTGTCCAACCGTTTAACCGAAGTTATAATAAATCTGAGTTGAATGTTGAAAAACCGCGCAAATTTGTTTGGGGATAAAACTGTTGTCGTTATCAATTTTTGACCTACCTAAATACCAATCGTAAACTCAACAACTTGGTACGTGTAGGTAGGTATACTAGCTTGGATACAATAATAAAAAAAAAATAACATAACATTTTTTAAGTTTGATAAATAATAAAATAATTACTTAACCTATTTTGATAAAAAGTAGCCTGTGACCTATTACCGAAAGGTAACGATAAGAAATCGAACAAACATTTTTTATCGAAATCGATTAACTAGTTTTTGAGAATTTCGCTGACATAAAAACAAACGTTTTATCTTTATATTACCTATATAAGATATATACCTAGTCGTCCATCATACCTTTGATATTAAAGTAATTTTCAATTAGAAATTACCAACTTAGGTACTTACTACTGTTTCCAAACCCTAAAAAAATATTTGTTTACCTATATATTTTTTTAGAAAACTCGTTAGCTTTATCAAGTTTAATTCAGTAAGCCGTATGGTACAAAAAATATTTATAATATTCCTAATCAAACTGATTGATCTTAACCATTTAATATATTAGGTACCTATATTATAAGTTTTTAAGTACCTATTGTTGTTTATTGTGTTTGTCACGTGTTCTATACAATAAATAACACAAAATGTATTTAATCAAATAATTAACTGCACATTTTTTAATTATAATATCATCGCTTAAACAAATTAAATTTGCTTTAAAATAAAAAGTTACTGTACTTTGTCAAAAATATTCGTTTTAAAAATATGCGTTAAAAAAATTTTTCCTTAAAAAATGGTCGTGTATGGTAAATAATTATAATGATTGTATAATTACCTACTATTTACTAAAAGTGTAAAATTGACTAGTATTGTAAGGCTGTCACAACTTAAATGTCGAATTTTTATCATCATTTCAACGTAATCCTCGGTAGTATAGTGGTAAGTATCCCCGCCTGTCACGCGGGAGACCGGGGTTCGATTCCCCGCCGGGGAGGAAATTTTTTGCAGTTTTTTATTAATATTTTTTTTAAGCACATTTGTTCCCGTAACCTTGGGCACTATTTGCTCAAATAGTATTTTTACTATATTAATCATTAGCATTAAAAACGTTAGTGAATCTACTACAACTGTATATAATATGATTTCTACCACCTCGCTCCCGAACAATTTACTTGATAAATACATATACAAATCCTGAATCCACGTCTTTAATTGGTATAATCTAAACGCAATTGTCCCTTCCTCTCCCAGACATTTTATAGATGACAAAAGTATTATTGTATAGCGTGCGTACAAAAAGTCCAAAGACAATATGTGCCAGACCACTGTGCCTCGGTTTAAAATATATTTTTTTTATTATCATTATTCATTACTAATGGGATTTTTCTTTTTTAGTTTACCCGGACCAAGCAAAGAGAATACGGAGGACAACGCTTTTTGCGCGTACGATCCGCTGCTAGACTGCGATTTTGCGGACGAAGGTGATTATGTTATTATAAATAATGATAAGCTTGAAACTCGAATGAACCCACTAAGACAAAATGCTGCCCGGTTTATCAATTGAAGTAAATTTCTTTGGAAAACATGACCACATAGTTTTTTAAACCGCTAAAATTTAAAATCTCAACGATGATTTTATTGAAAATTGGCCGTCGATTTGTGTTGCTGTTTTGGTATATTTTTTACATTTTGGGGATTAAGTACCAGTTATGTTTATTTGTCAGTTAATTGTTATTTTATTAGTGACAAACGGTTTAATGGGGAGTTTGTTTTAATTAAATTAGTTAAATAAGTTTTACCGCCAGTTGATAAATACCATTGATAATTGATAAACCGGGCCTAATATACAGGGTGATCGACAAAAAACTGTAAAAACTATACTGCATTTTTTATTATAAAATCATTTTTTCTTTTGGCTAAAAATCGTAACAATAAAATAGTGATATTCTAAAATAATCAATTAGAAGCCAAGTCAAAAATATGATTTAAAAGGTAGTTTTAAATAGTAAAGTCTATTATTTAATTTATCTATAAAAAGCGGAGTGATAAATGATCGGTAACCAGCTTTAAATAATTTATTTTTGTGTTACTGAAGTTTAAACCTATTAGAGAGGCAAGTGTTGGACTGTAATTTTATTTTCATCTAACGCACTTGCACTCTTTATGCAAAACTTTAGCTTGAACACTAAAAACTATTTAAATCATTTAGTGTAGGCAATACAGATTTACTTTTTTTTTTTTAATTTTTTTAACTAAAAAAATTATTTCACAGAAAAATTGGTTGTAACGTAAAATTATGATCACCCTATATGTTCGATTGGCCTTAATACTAATTGTCATTGTCTGTACATACATATATTACAATATTTATATTTAATTAAATTTAACATTAAAATATTATATTATAACACAGACGACGAGTTCGACAACATACCGTCGATCGATGCCATCATCGAGAGTTTGTTCAAAGACGAATCGGATTGGCACCAAAACGACGACGGGTTCGCTTTCGATCCCAGTTTCTTAGGCGAGACTACAAATGGTGGTCAGACAATAGCATTGTCGTCGTCGACCACCGAAGTCCTTACTGATGAACTCGAAGAATTACAAATCGCAAACGCGTACCAAGTAAACGACGATAACGCGCCGTTGTCGGATGACTTTTTAAACTTGTAGGGAACAAAATAATTAACCGCCTTTTCTAACAACCAAAAAAAAAAAAAACTGTTTATTTGAAAAATCGAAAAAACATTATTAAAAAATAGGTTTTTTTTTAGTGTGTAGATCTTAGTTTTTTTGTTATAGGTAAAATGTAAAATGCTAAAGTGTTTTGAAAAGCGGTTTAACTTAAAATTAATATGTAAATTAAGGTTTAGTCTGTGTTTTTTATACGGTGTCTAATGTTAATTGTTTTAAGGGAAAATGTATTTCTTAATAATTACTACTACTTACTATTTGATATAATTTTAATGCCGGGAAACTATTTGTATATTATATTATCCCGATGCTTTGTTTTACCATTGATTGTAGAATGTACTATAATTTAGTCAATAATAGTGAATTAGTAAATCATTTTATTAGTACACTCTATAATCAGTGGTTTCGTTTAAAGGCATCACGTCATGTAATTGAATGTTCCTTTATACAAATAGTCGTTATTATAATATAATATTGTATCGGAGTACTATGAATTGTTATATTTTTAGATGATTTAATATTTTAAAATATATAAAGATTTTATTGAAAGTTCGTTTTATTTTATTTACTAAGCCGTCCCTACTAAACTAGGGACGGGGAGATCAGAGCTTAGAGGATCTCTGGTGTATCCTAATGTGACTTCAAGCCCTCTAGATAATTTATTTATTTTTTACTGTATTTATTTTTCAAGTTATAGAAAACTTCATTAATACGAACAAAAAATATAGGTACTGTCAACATTCAATAGAAATTGGAAGCGGACAAGGTTAAAAATCCGAGTTACATATAAGAATGTAAATGATAATCCTAAAAATGTTATAAATAATCATTCTAGTCTTAATACAAAAAATAAAAAATAAATTTATTATTATTTATTACACTACAGCAATACGTTGATTTTAAATTATAATACTTCAAAAAGCCTCTATAAAAGTGACTTTTACTTTTTTTTTAATAACATTTAAAAATATTTAAAAACAAATTATGTTATTATTAGATTTAAATTATATATAACTTATATAAATTATATATATTTAATTATAACTGATTATATATAACTAAAAACACAAGAAGACTTGGAATATTGGCAACGACTAAGACTTTTTAAAAACCATTGCAGCAAATTAATCTTATCCGTTAAAGAATGCGCTAAACAAAGGAAAAACGTAACGATATTAAAGATAAACGAAGACTTGGCATATTAGGAACAGCCAAGATAGAATACTATTAACCTGACTGAATAATCTCAAAAACAATATTTAATATATAACATTATATTATATTATTAAAATATTATTATTAGACTATACAGTCAGGTTAATTTTACTCCCGTCTTATTTGTTCCCAACATACCAAGTCTTCGTTTGTCTTTACTATCGTTACGTTTTTCCTTTGTTTCACGTATTCTTTAACGGGTAAGTTTAATTTGCTGCAGTGGTTTTTAAAAAGTTCTCTAAAAAATTGTAAATCTGCATAATCTAAAACAAAACAATAATTTAAAATTTAAATATAAATAATATATTATTAATATTAATTTATAGGGGCATGGTGTGATGCAGAAAAGATGAAACAATTTTCTTTAGCTTCGATGTGCAGCTGAAAAGGTATTTTTTGATCACTTTTTACATCTTCCGGACGGTAATTGTTAAACACTTTTAAGACGCAAATTGTCATCAAATAATTAAAAAGTTGTATTGTTAAAAAAATAACGAAAGATCCATATTTGAATTTTTACAAATGCGAATGAAAATAAATAAAACCAACTGCTTTTCGGTTTAGCATCGAAGATAAAAAAAATATTATCAGATGATATGTAACGTGTGTAGTTAATGTTGTTTACTTTATTTTTGCTTCGCTTGTGGATGATCTCTTAAGTGCGCAAACGTGATATCAAAGTCTTATATGGTTTAAGGTTTTGTACCCATGTACATGCAAAATTGATACGTTGAAAGGCTATCAACATAATATTTTTTATATCTGATGCTGGGCTGATTCATTTTCAACAATCGTTGAACGAAAATTCTATAATCTGAAAATGTTTTAAAAGTACAAAAATTAATTCCATAACAAATCCGATATTACAATTCAAATACGCATAGACTTAAATATACGTATAACTTGCATGCTTTTTAAGAAGCAATAAAAAAATGTATAATATATTTTATGTAAAATAATACATTTGATGTAGGTAGGTATTATTGTTTTTTTTTGTTTTGAGAGGAAATTTATTTTTTTACTTAAAAAAAATATATATTTATTACTCGAATTCTAAAAAAAATTAAACCTAAAAAATTTTTTTAATTTTTTTAAATTAATTTAGCAAATATTTTAATTGTAGTAGCAGTTAAGTCAAGAATACAATATTATTATTTTGTTATTACAAGCCTAAATGTTTTATTACCCTAACCAAAAAAATAAATAAATTCAAACATTATGTTTTTGATTGCTATAATATAACACAAATATACTTTAGCCGTTCAAAAAAAAATATTACTATACCTAAGCTTTAATGTTTTAGTAATAAAATTAATAAATTATATAAAAATGTATCTAGACATTATTTCAATATATTCTATATAACATAATTGTATTTGAATTAAAAAAAAAAAATTATATATATATATATATATATATATATATTATATATTTTATTTAGAACAATTGTTTATTACGTTCGGATTTACAGATACCAATAATTAACTATTAAATCAAAGAGTGATAGAACTTAATATTTAATAATTTACAAAGTTGTAAAATGGAAATATTTTTTTTGGCCTAAAAAAGTTTTAAGATAAGTATTAATTATAATAATGAATAAATTTGACTCAAATGATTAAGTTACGATTATAACTTTAATATAATATAACAATACTAACAAACAATATTAAAAACTTATTTTGATAATAGATATTTATGAAAATAATTTTATTTATAATTCTTTAAGCTAAAATAATAATAGTTTCCTAGATAAGAATTGCTAACCTAACCTAACAGGCTAATTCTTCCCCGGGGCTCTATGGATACATGGACTTTAATAAAAAAAAAATAAGAATGGCTACTTAGGAAAATTAATAATTTTAAATGATTCAACAAAACTAACGAAAAAAACCTAATAGTTTAAAATATTAGTATAAATTACTTCAGCTTCAGTTTCTCTTTAGATGCAGCTGGACTTGAAGGTTGGTCCGGATGAATACAGCTAGCAGCTTGGATAAAATATAGTATTATTCTATAAACTGTGAGACAAAAAGAATGATTTCAACCGTCTTTGAATGCTGTTTTATGTATAAATGAAATAAAAAAACTAAAACTATACTAGTACATAAGTACATAAGTATACCAAAAATGTTACTATTGAATTTCCTAGATGTGACATTATTATGTAAGCTGCATATTTGCACAACTATGTAAATAAGTACACAAGTATATTTGCTGTATAAAAACCATACAAACATATAGGTCTTTAACGAAGAGGTGTGTAAGTGTTTTATTTTTTTATTTTACAGAAAATAGGTTAGGTAAATTGTGTACTGCAACATTATTACATATATTTAACAATCTTCCATGTCATCAAATATCAAACTATGCATCTCTGGGTTCTAATATGTATTCAAAATGTGTAGAAGAATATCAGTTATCTATTGACATACATTAGTATTTAATGCTATACTTTTAATTTTTTAATTGAGAAACCCCGCTTAATAGATCTTCCTGGTCCTGGATAATCATTCCTATTATTATGTCTAATCTTGTCATTCTGCACATCAATTTCATACTCTAGTATATTTATTATGTTGGTAGGGATTTGTTAATATTATATACTAACAATTAAAAAATTGAAATGACCATTTTAAAGAGTAGTTTTTTGCGGTGGCCATCAACAAATAAAAACAATAACTACTAACTATTATTATTGTTAGTTAAACCAACATTTTAGGGGTTTTTACTCATTATTAGGCAATTGTACATTTGTCAATCCAACGTCAAATACATAATGTATGCATATCTGTTTTAAAACACTGCTTTTAAATTATTTCAACCTATAACATCATTTCAATTTGGTTTTTTTTTTGTTTGGTGAGGACTTGTTACAATAGGTTACAAAATCGATGGTTGTACTAGTAGTATATTACCTATAACTTATAGGTTGACGGTATTCTCGAATCAGTTATACTTTGTTAGGATTTTCATACACAGATGTGTCAATATGTTTTTATTTCGACTGCGCTACATCGTTTTTATTATTTACAAAACAAAATGTAATAAAATTTTCATAAATCCCGTGTAAAATGTTTGTTTGACCTATAATAGAGTTCAACTATTATTTTAGTTCCGTTTTAATTACTCTTTTATTAATTATTTTCCTTAATTAATGCTTCGTTTTAGTTACAATTATTGAAACTACCTACAATAAATATTAATTGAAGAGTAGGTTGCATAAGTCATTAACAATAGGTAATATAATTTAAGCTCATGTTTTGAAAAATAATCAATTTTCCTATGGCTCAGACTATTTAGTTTAAGAATTGAGGATAATGTCATTTGATTTTAATACCAAAAATTCTATTTTGAAAAAATAGTCGAGTACGCTCTTTTGTACTATTATCTACGTTCTACGATGTGGAAAATACATTTAAAAATTAAAATAAATGTCCACGTTTTGTTACTTATTATCATGTGTATATGTTATAGGCGAGAAGGAAGTATAACTGTTTAATATTTCTCGAATAAAACAAAAAAAGTCACTGATGTCCAGCTTCCAGGTGCTTTCAACCTCAACTGTATTCAATATTAATTTTACTATTGTTTAGGAAAAATCTATTTTTATGGTCTATTGTTTTTCTATTTCTAATTGATCGATTTGGTTTTTGTCGAATGAGCAACTGAGCCATCTAAACATTTAGTAAACCTTTTTAGCGATTTATCGGAGAGAATGAGGAAGTGATTAATTTAGATATTGTTATTTATTACATGTTTTACTTTAAACCGTTTAGTAAATAGGTGCCTAAATAGTCTTAAACGAGTTTTAGTTTTTATGGCAGAATGTTGTGAAAAATTGTCTTAGCTACCCCTGATAAAAATATGATTTTTAAGTAACATATTTTTTAATTAAAAAAAAAATAATCAATATTGTGTATCGAATATTAGTATTAACATACGTTGAAATTAATTAATTAAAGGATTTTCAAGTTCCTTGCGGACTTTAAGTATTTGTAATTTTATTCAATACAATCATCGAACCGTCCAAGGCTGCTGCAGTTGTTGTACAAACAACGAAACGGTAATAACCGATATGTTTTGTTTAGTATTGTTGTTATTAATTTATTACTTGAGCAAAAATTAGATTGATATTGCGCATAACCCGTTGGGCATGTCACATTGAACGTACACGTGATGAGTCAACCAAGCACAACAGTTAACCCGTGTGCGCAATACGACGTCACGCCGCTCAGCTCAGTCAAACGCCGACATCGTCCCAAAGAAAACGGCATTACCCTAAGACTTTTTATACACACAGCAATGGAAGGGTGATCCGATATTTTGAAAAACGAGTGAAGACAAATTTTGGAATTCCGCCCAAACCCAACGGGAAACTATTCCGGAGGTAATAATATTATAATAGGGTAGCGACATCAGTTTTTGTCCAGTTGTTGGCAATGCAGTTTTTTTTTTCATTAGATACAATTTTTTTTACATATTTTTCAATGAATTTTTTTATAAAAATGTTATTTCAACGGTATAAAATCTGATATTAACACTATATTGCTAAAGCCAAAAAATTGGGGGGGTAGTGACAATCACTGGTGCCGTTACTCTAATTATTTTTCATTTTTTCAAGCTACAATGCGTTAGCTGAGAAATATTAGTTTTACAATTATGTGTTTTTTTTTGTGTCTTTAGTCACAATGACTTTTTTCCTGTGAATCGATTTGCTCGATTATCGATTCTATTAATTTTTAATCGCGTGCAATTATTGGTATTTGGATGAGCTACAAGTAGAGAAGTTCATTCCTACCACTTCAAAATCGAGAAAAACCCTAAAAAAATATTATATACTTTTATACTTAAAATTACGGAACACTTTTTTAAAAATATATTCGAATTAGTTACAAATTTGTATTGAATATTCTTCAGAAATATTACAACCGATAAACGTTGACAAACCAAAACAATCATATTAAGCTCTTGTCCTTAAAAGGGGTAGACATTTTTACTTTATTTTGCTTTTACAAGTGAAGTTTTAGGGCTTAAGGTCTGAAAATTAGACCAAAGTAGAATATAGTAAAATATTAGTACTATATCATCAGTTATAGCTCTATCGATGCGTACATAGCCCGTACATACTGTACAACTATTGTATGTGCAACGTGATTGTAATTTGTACTGTATACCATAATAATTACTACCAATTTGTTTGCATATCAAACTCCAGTGTTGTTGTTTTTTAATTTATTTATGTACTAAGAACGGTGATTGACATTCATAAAACCGTCTGCCAGCAGCAAGCTGTACACGGTACAAACTCCAATGTGGGCACTTTCATAATAACAATTATTAAAAAGGTAGTCATATAAATGTTTTTAGGTCATTGACGCTGCATAGTATTTTTATGTATAGCTGTATCGTACAATTTTTGTTAGATATCTAAAATACTAATTACACTAGTATACTTATTTACTTATACGTGTGGTGTAGATAAGGGATCAAAAAAAAAAACCGAGCAACCACGAGAACAATGTTAACGGCTTTTAAACTAAACATGGGTCATTTTATTTAAAACAATAGAAATTACTTGCTAATAATTCGTTATTCTAAATACTTTTTTAATTACCTAGTCAAAATGGTAGTACATTTTTCTTATTAATTTATTATTTAAAACTTATGAACATTCATTTAAATACATTTTTTATGATAATACATTACTTTAATGAATAAACTAATTTTTTGTTTAAATACTCCGTTCTTAATAAAATGCATAATATAAGGTATTCAAATTGTATGATTTTTTTTTTTTATAAAATATTTTAAAACGATAAAAAAAAAATTAAAATGAGTTTTTATGGTAAATATGTTATCTAACTACAGTTTGTAATGATTGTTGTCAATTCGTATATAAATTAAAATAATAATTAATGTATATTTGATAGTTTTCCGATTATACAAAATAATATCTCAGTCAATGAAAGTTCTATATGTAAGTAACAATTATTAGTCTAAAAATACTTTTAGAGCCTATTTTTTTTTTGGGGGGGGGGGCTATTACTCGGATAGGTTTCTTACACATTTAACCAATAATGATATCATACATAAAAATGTATATGAAACTATTATCTTTTAATAATTATAAAAATATGTTTTTAAGCTAATAACATTTGTAGTTGAAGAATAAAAAAAAATGTATACGTTTAGATTATTTGAGTTGTTACTTAAATACATTTATATTAATTTTAATAATTATAAATTATAATTATAATTATTTTAATTTGTATGTAATTTTTTAATTTTAATAAAGGCCCGGTTTTTTTTTTGATTTTTCAAAAGCCAACGCCCAATAAATTAATATTGTAGGACCGCCTAGCTAGCGTGTGTGGCATATAGTTGTCTAAATTCTAAATAAAAGAATCAGCTGCCTTAAAGTTTTTTTACTTCTAAATTCGGACTTTTACACACTTAGATATATAAACACGCTGTTATAAAATTTGTATTCTTTGTATGCACTATAAATACTCATCAGATCCTTGTGATTAAAACAAAATATGATACATTCCGTAGAATGGTGAATTCGAATAATATACTAAGTTTGTCAACTTGTTATTGACCTTTATTATTTTGTTTACTTGGTTTATTTTATTTTCAATTATGTTTATTAATTAATTAATTTTTATTTGTATCACAAAATAAAGTGATTGTATTAAAAAAGTAAATATTCCTAATTATTTTGAATCGATCAAATTTAGTTATTGTCAACGCGTTTTTAGAAATACATTAGTTTTTAATTTTTTTCCAATTCACTATAAAAAATCAAAATCATAACTTAATATGCAAGTATTACACGGTTATAGAGGTAGGTAATAGTAAATTTCATATAGGTAAACAATTTCAAAGGAAATTTAGACTCTAGGCTTTTTTTGTTTCTTTTTTTACAGAAGTTAATTCGTTTTATACTTTTTTAATGGTCGATTTCCGATCGGTGTACTTTTATTGAAACGTTTATGTAATAGTAATCGATTACTTATATTTAAGGTATTCAGTTGATATTTTACATAATAAAAGAGTTGTCCGAGTTACAAAGTATATATATAATAATTCAACTGTGTTATGTAACAGAAAATCATGTTCCTATCGTATCCTCGCCTTTGTTTGGCTTACGCAATAAGAAGAAACTTGATTCCTTTGGCAAAAGAAAAAAAAAGTCCAAAGGAATAATATCTAATCGTTTGTTTGCGCAGTTAGAATAAGCTTTAGGGCATATTTTATTATTTTGTTTGAGTGTAAATCAATCAATGAAAACAGGCAAACCCCGTTTTATTAATTACTTTGTTGTAGAAAAGAAATTTGATATTTATTAGATATAATAAACACACTTGAAAAATGTAGAAGAATGTTGGACAAAGGGGCTTACCTTAGGATTTATAAGTTAAATGTATATTTTATTTTTAATTGACATATATTAAAATACTTTATTACTTTTTTAAAACCTTTAAAATATCGTTACAAAGACTGCGCACAATAAGCAGATTTTTCGGTGCAAAATAGTATAGCTATGTTTTTTTGGAAACAGATAGACCAAAAACTAAATGTTCCAAAAAATTATAGTTAATGACCAGTAATCAATTGTGTGTTTTAATACACAAGTTAATGCATTATTTGAATGTTTTTTATTTATCTAGACAAAGCGATAAAGAAAAAATTATTTTTCATTTAATCATTTGTTACTTGCTATTTATGACAAAAATATTTGTTTGTTCTTTCTTATTTGTTTCATATTATTCGTTATCTTTTATTTACTATTTATTACTTTTTTATGAATATAATTATTCATAAAGCATTGTGAACAGAATTACAAGTTGTTTGCTTTCGCAAGATGCTGTAATGACCTTTTGGGTCTGATGTGAAATCGGCACGTGTGGTACATTTATATTTAGCAATATTTAACAATGAGAAGTTATATAATATAATATATAGATATATGTATATGTTAGTCCTGATAAGTTGTACAATGAAATATACATATATATATATATATGAATTTGTTAGCCCTGAAAAGGGGGGGTCCGTAACAGCATTTCTAAAACTGAGTCGTATAATATAAACATATATGTGGTGATATTTTAATTTTTCAATTTCAAGAGAGAAATTTATTGAAGTATTTTAAAAAATACATGTTTTTTTAGTCAGAATTCTATATGGTATCTAACTTTTTATAAAGTTATTGGTATCTATTTTTTTAACTTGGAAAATTGAAAGGCGTTGTATAGCACTCAACTTTTGACTAAAAAAAAGTTGAATTATTTTGTTTAATCATCATAGTATATTATATTAGATAAATAAAAACTAAAAATAGTTTTTATATGCGCTGTTTTTGCAAAAAAATGTATGTTTTTTAATTTTAATTAGTTTTTATAGTTAAATTAATGTTATCATGAGCATTTTCCCTTGTAAATTATCAGTATTTTGTAACTGTAAAATATGATTAAATACCTGATTTATTGTTATTATTTTGTTTTACAAAAAAAAAAACAGAACTCGTAAAAGTTTTGCTTTTGCATGATAAAATATGGACATGCCAAGCTATTTGCCAAACGCTCAGGTGCAGACCATGTTCGCTCAGCTGGGAATGGTCATTGGAAACGAATACGTGTTGTCTAAAAATTGTTATGGTAAGTTACATAATAATATTATATTATATCGATATTAAGATGTCATAAAAAACATGTAACATATGTTGAATTGATTTACTCTGGTTTACAGCTATACTATTGCAGATACACACACAGCTGGACACCGAAGATCCTAATCAAAGAAACTTTCGCAAGATAATTGGATTCTTGCAGCTTATTCAGAAAGTTAGTACTATGATCACACATGATCGAAATTTAACTTCACTCGTTACACTCACAGCTGACATTGTACCCATCTGTGATATCCAATATTGATGTATTTCCCCTCCTGTTTTGTAGGATCTCATACCCATTCTGATCAACGTCGACAATGATGAGATATTGGAACTTCTGGTCAAGTGCGTAGCATCCACGGCGTGGTCGTCCTCTAAGCTCTCGAATCGGTCACCGCATAAGCGTTACCGCCTATACGCTGTGCGGTACGATTTAGTTTTTGTTAATAACCGTCTGTTTCAGGTTACTGGCCAACATCATGATGCCCATTGAATTTTTGGTGCCGACACATCAGATGATCAGCGACGAAGCCGGTCAGGCTACGATCATTAAACTCGGTTGGCTGTTGACGTCTGGAAAAAACGCGTTTGTGAACAAAAAGGCCATCAAACGCGTCACTCAACTGATATGTGAAAAAAGTGCAAAGGTATACCTATAACGGGCACACCGATAGGGTTTGGACTTAGGACACCCCTTGCTGTAGTTGGCAAGTGAAAGGAAAATGTTGCGACGCCAGAAATAATGTATGAAAGTGTCAGTGGTTGGACACCGGATTCTTAAAGAATCTCATGAGAGACGAAAGAAAATGGAAGGTCCCAAAATGAGAATGTCGAGACATGTGTATGTATATGTGAGTTAGAAAGAATAAGGAAGGTTAGAATATTAGATGAGGAACTCTACAAGTTGCGTCAATAGCAGAATAGAAAAGTGAAAGTGTGGATTGAGATGGTTTGGGCTTGTTGAAAGTAAGTGGTGTAACGATGTCTTTTTGTCTGACCACTGCATCGTAACAGTGGTTAGCGAGGGATTTAGAGGTAGAGGTAGACCGAAGAAGAAGTGGGTGGATGTGGAAAAAGAAATAAAGATTTTTGGAGAGAGCCTATTTGGCTGGCCAACCCTCCACTTTTATGGGATAAGACGAAAAAGAAGATACTTTAGATACTGTCACGGTTACCTCGGTGGTTCTCCTCCTCGTTTCTATCAAAAATCCGTTTACCCCGGAAAACTCAAGTGTTTTCTTGTTTTACAGCAAACACCGTAATGCGATAAATAATTGTCTAAGGGGCTGTGTGTGTTTCAGGTTACCGACAGTCTGACGTATTCCTGTCATTTCGAAGTGATCAACGATTGTCTGTGCTTGTTGAAAAACGTACTGCATGTCCCCAACAATCAGTCTCAAAACCAAATACTTTGGATGCTGTTTTCTGAGAAAATCGACGAGGTGTGTTATGACTTATAACACCAAGAGAGATACGTGGTATCTAGTGCAATACCGTTGGCATCACATGCCTATGTAGATGACAGAATTTTCGTTAGACATCATTGAATTTTTATGAATCTCTTTTTTATCAAACTTTTTTTTCCGTCAGCAATTTACCTTTCCTTGCCCAATGCACGCATCTCTTTGGAAAGTTTTACCTTCTGCTCTGTATTTCATGGCTTGTTAAAAAAATCTCCTTAGAATCTCTGGATGTGTGTCTCTGGTTCCCTCATCAAAAATCTGATATTTGCAGATTTTGATCAACTTGATCGCCAACGTCAACCGTGGACAATGGGCCATGTTGATCATCGAGTTGATCGCTCTGATATGGAAAAACCAGCATGTCGACCAGATGGCCAGAAAGCTGAGTACTTGGAACAAAACTATGATCAGTGACAGCTCCGAGGACAATGAGAGCAACACGTCATCGTCACCACGGATCGTAATTCATTTTATTTACCTCAAATTCAGATGACTAGAAATTGAAAAAAAATTAAATGCCTTCATTCGTTACTTGCCAGCAGTAAAAATATGTCATTTTTCTCGATTCATATAGTTAAATCAACCACATTTTTAAAAAATACTTTTTTTAAGCGCTTTAATAAACACTTAATAATAACAATATATGCACAATAAATAGCATCTAAGTATTGAAAATATGCAAAACAAAATTGTCAAAACACATGCATGTATATGCGAAATTTAGCATAAAAAAAAATTATTCATGACATCAGGGAAATGTGAAGCAAATATGTATCTGGGATGTTCTAAGGTTTACAAAAAAAAAAAAATAATATATATATATATAAATGCTACAACTTCTGAGCACTGGTAATTACTAATAAACACGAATTCCCCTGATTAAATTACACTTTTAAAATTTTTAGTAACGCTTATAACTTATAAGCAATAAATAAGCGTGAATACTTTTTTTTAGAACAACGGCGAAAATTCTATTGCGCAAAACACATCCACTGAATCTTCGACGTCTGACGAATACGACAGTGATCGACCGGCTGTCGTTAAAAAAGTACGTTACTTTCATAATAATAATACTAACTTGTTAAACTATCAATGCGAATAAGTATCTACGATACTTATTTGACTTTTTAATATTAAAATATTTTCGTGTTGGTGATGATGGTATAATAGAGGGTGGTTTAAATCGGCCATTGGTATGTAGCTGTAAAAAGCATACATTAGGGTGGTCCAACAAAAAATTGTTTTTGTTTTCAGTTCTTTTAAAATTATGTTCCTTGAAATAAAAAAAAGATTTCCCTATTTTTTTAAAAAATTTTAAATTATTTTTAGAGGCTGCGAGCATCAGTTTTCCAAAAAATGATTGTTTCTTAGTTTTAATTTTTTTAAGGTAAAAGTATTAATTTTTTTTTGTATAAAAAATCACCAGTAGAAAAAGAGGAATAAACCAGTATAAAAAAAAAACTATTATTAAATTAATTAGGCCTTAGTAAGTAAAATTTACGAAAACCTTGATAAATTAACCCTTATATTACCCTAAAATATTTTTTTTGTGGGTTAAAAATATTTTGAACCTTTAAAAAAAATTAGGGTACAATGGAGGATAACTTATCATTTTTTTCATACATTTTACTTTCTAAGGCCTAAATTAGTTTTAAAATTAGAAAAAAAAAGTTACTAGTTTATTCCTTTTTTTCTACCGATATTTTTTTTTATAACAGAAAAAATAAAAAACAAATTTTTTGGACCACCCTAATGTACAATGTACATAAAAGCTCCGATTTTTGTGCTTCCTGCAGCCTTGCTCAATATTCGTCCCTGAATGCTTTGCTCGTCGCAAATATTGCAGTTAATTACAATTAATGTCGTCGTTTGTACTTAGGGCGACGATGAACCTATGGACATACAAGTCGGCGACCACGTCATGCCTCGTCCTCTGTTTAAGGCGCCTGGTTCGGTGGCAATAGTTATAAGCAAGTAAGACCTTGAGAACCCTGACGTCTAGTTGTTGTAGTCCAGACTGACTGTGGATGTAACCCAGCGAGGATGACGCGTTCAAATTGTACTATGATTTTTATAGAGGAAACGATACGACTAAGAAAAATATCAAGCTTGTCCCAGACGTGAACAAGAAATGTAGCACGGCAAGAATCGCGATGACCAAGTCCGGCCAAGACTGCAAAATGTCCGGTTTATCCATCAGTAAAAAAACAAAAATGCGCGTGAAGAAAGTGATGAAAAAGTCTAAGTAAGCTCTAAATACGACCTGGTTAAAATAGTTATGTATATATTATATATATTTTTTCTTCGTCTTGCGCCCGTCGCCATTATTCCGTTCGTTCAATACCACGTTTTCCACAATAGACAATGACGACTGCTCCCATTTCATTAACTCAATATGCCCATTTCAATGTCGGGAAAGCCGTGAAGAGTTTTTTCTATCCAGTAAACATATCCAACACTCTCGTTGTCTCGACAGCGCCTATGCTGGACAGTAGAATATCAGCTGCATGATGTATTGAAAATAAATGTTCTGTTTAATAGGCTGAACATGCGGATTTCAACAGCCGTGCACACACCCACCGGAGACCAAATAACGCACTTGCTTCAGAAGTTCACCGTCAACTTTATGCGGAACGGCTTCAATTCGCTGGTGTATGAAGTTTACAAACAGTTAACTTTGCCAAACGCCCACAAGAAGGTCGACACATCGCTGTATTTCTGGATGCTCACCTATTTTTGCCGGTTCTGTAAAATACTAGACGTCGATTTGAAAACCGTCAGGTACGCAAGTCGAATCCATCCATAGCTTTACTCTTTCTCTTGCTAATCCATCGTGGTCTTTGGTCAGCATGGTCGGCCAGATACTGTTTCTAATAAAGTGTTTCTTATTCTTTATTTGCATACGTCTACTATATGGGTACTTTCCTAAAAAGCATTCGGGGTAAATTATTAGCCATAGAAATCCTGTGCAATAGTCTCATAACAGAATCTCCAACTTGTTTGGTATCCAGCTGTAAGCCCAAAAATGCCAAATCTAAACCGTCTAAGACCAGATCGGTGGGAATAATGAGAGAGAGAAAGTGATTTCATCCACAGGACATGTGCATTTTAATTTCGTTTAAATCCGCAACAGGACTCGGGATAATCATTGTCACCCATTGACTCCTGGCGCTATACTAGCCACTGTGGTATCGATCACTGCTGTCTCTTTTATCAATTCAATTATATACTCATTGATTCACTTAACTTGCACAGTGATCACTTATATAATATGTTGGTGTGTAGAAATATCGTGTCTTTCCGGTTGATTTCGTTCATGGCGCACGAAGGTCTCAATGTGTTGGAACAGTTGTTGGTGGCTAAACGGCAGAAGGCCCACGATCTGCACTTGCACGTCCGACACTTGCACTTGGTAAGCAAATGTATCTAACGCCAACGTTGACTTACAATAATTGTATATAATATTGTCCCCAACAGGTAGTCATGGCCATCAAAGAAGTGATCAAAACCATCGAGTACTACAGACAATCCACTGTCGGGTCGCCCGTCTACGGGGAATTCATTGAAGAACTTAAGAGTAAGAAACGAAAATAATAATCGTAAAATGTATATTGTAATAGGTTTTACTTGTTTCGCTAACAACTCTCCGTCGGTGTGCTGTATAGATTCCGGTTGTAACTCTCCGGATTCGATCACGTGGACGCAAGACCTCAAGTCGCTTTTCGCGCTGCTCATCCGCCACTACGACCAGAAGATACAGGTCAACGAGTACTTGCAAGACTTGATCACCACCAACCACTTGGTCCTCATATTTTTCGACAACTTCAAAGACTTTTGGAACCTCAACGAGTGCATACGGGCGCACGTCAAAAAGTAAATTATATACAATTATTATAACCGCAGTGTCATAAGCTGAACGTAGGTTTAATTCAGCTGTCTTATCTACTTGGCACACACCAAAACCATACGCAGAGCTGCCTTTACACTTTATAACAATATTGATATCAATTAGTTAAAAATCTATTAATTAACAGTATTGTTAGATAAAAATAAGAAAAAGAAAAGTTGACAATTATTTTGCATGTGTAAGTTGTGGTTTTGGCACAGACTGGAGTGAAAAATTATTGAGCCACTATAGCCACTAAGTATCGCCACTACAAACAATGTCGGTAATGTCAATTAAATGAATTTTGCAATCATTAACGTACTAAGCCACCCACCTACTAATTATTGCTACTACCATTTCCCAAATTTGAACCAGATTAAAAAAACAAATCGTTATTTCTAAAAGTAATATCATTATTTTTATTATTAGATTTATAATTTCGTTCTTGATTTTTATAACACTCATATTACATTTACATTTTAATTTGTGATTTATGTAAATATAAGAAATAACTAAAATACTATCTGGTAAAAATATAAAAAATATACATTTAATATTTATACGATAAATTTAAAAATGCTAGCACAATGTGGTCGAAAAGGGAAATTTTTTTAAGAAATTGTTATCATTGTCAGAGATAGAGCTCCTTAAAAAAAACGTTTGGATGTGAATTTTCAGATGATAAACTATACACATAGGTAAGGTTTATTGTTGTAGTAAACCCGTTGCATAAATATTTACATTCTCATTGAATTAGAAGTTTGTAATATAATTTGGTAGAAATGCAGTTTTGTAAATATAAGTATAAGGATTTGTACTATAATGTTTTAAAACGCTATACGATATGCAGTTCAAGTGGTTATTATTCAAAAAAAATTAACTCGCACCCACAATTATATTATTTTAAGATAAATTAAAATTGATTGTGTGTCTTTTCTAAGAATTTGTTGCGTTGATACCAAAATGCAAATCAACAACATAATGATATTATTTCTTTGATACCTGTGTACAGTAGTTATTCTTTTTTTTTACAAATTAAAAACATAGTTGGACTACAGATTTTTGAGAAAATTGTATTAACCCCACTCTAGATTTACCTTCAGTCTAATTTTCAGGCTTTGAGTCCTAAAACTATGCTCAAAAAAGTAAAAAATGTCCCAAAAAAGGTCAAAGTATTTTTATATTTTTTTAGTTTGTCAATGCTTATTGATACTTTTTCAAATCTAAAGAAAATTCCGTACAAATTTCGAAATATTTGGCTATTTAAAAAAAAAAGTTATTGCGGTTGTGGTAATATATCTAAACTTTTGAGTGTTTTCTCAATTTTGAAATGAAACTGGTTATCTTTTTTTTATTGTTTTGTCAAATTAAGTTCTCTGGTATATATATTATACTGGTGTATATATATTTGCTATGTGAAGTAATCGATTTGGAATATGTCGTGGGTCTAGACATAAAAATAAAAACGCATAATTGTAAAAACAACACCTTCTGAGTTCCGCAATATAGAAGCAACCACAGTGGGGTCGAGGTCGTTAAAGGTCTTTGAGAATAATTATATTACACCGGAATTTTAATAAATCACCATCATCAAGTAAAAAAAGGCATATAAATTGAAATATATGAATTTATTTGTATTATATGGTTGATATTGTGGTTGACCACGAAATCTGTAGAAGCTCTTGGCCGTATTGTGTCATTGTTTGAACGCCTTTGCCGAATCTCGGCTTATGTATTCCTGGTACAAACGGACAATTCGCATTCCACGATCGTGCTACCTATTACTATTCACGTTTCTGTTCAATATCAAACCATGTTGGATATTTCAGTCGTGAAAGCTCAATTGTGGTGTACAATAAACATATATTTATTTGTAATTTTTACCAGTTAAAATTAAATATTGCATTATTACCAATATCTTACTTATTATGTGTAGTGTTAAGGTTGTATTTAAGGTAAAAATATATAAAACAAATTATCACATAGGTAGGTAGACAATTTTGTCTGAATTTTTTTAAAAATATCAAAAATTGTTTCTATTCATCGTTCAGTTGGTAAAATAGAAAAATGTATTAAAAAAACCATAAATGTTTCTATTGACACCATCTTACGGGAGAATAGAAGCAGAGCACTTAAAAAATAGTTTAAAGTAATCTTTTGATTATAAAAATTTTTTGAAAAAAACATACTTAAAGTACTCGAAGAGACCAATATTTTGACGTAGGTATTGATGAACTATGTAGCTCAAATACAATATTTTCAATACCGTTTTAAAGTTAAAAATATTTCTATTTACCTCGTTTTACGTTATATAAAAACACATTTTAAATAAAACATAAATAATTAGTCATATATTTTTAATACTAAATTATTATACTCAATTTGAAGTTATTAGTTATTACATACAATAATATGAGTGTAAATAAGAATGTTATGAAAATGAACGATAAACAAACAATGGATTTCATAGATTATTACCAAAAGGAAGAAGTTTTATGGAACACAAAATTACAATCACACAGAAATAGAGATGTTATAGGGTGTAAACCCAGCTTTACGGTGTCGGGTATACAGTATAGTATCGAATCGGGTAAGTACACTGAGCTCGGCTACGAATGAAAAGGGGAAAGCACCCTTAACTGTGAAAAGCTCAGTGTACCAGGGGCACATAGGACCGACTTCGTCGTCAAAACCTCGCCGCCGTAGATAGTTTCAACTCTTTGCGGTGTGCCTTAAGCAATTTTCCTAAGACGAATTGTGAAAGTTTATAAAACTAAATATCACCCTTAGTGGAGTATATACATGTAGGCGAGGTAGCCAAGGTGTGCGTCTGCCTCTTTGGCGTATCCTGTCTCCCTTCAGTGCAAATAAAAAAAAAAACATTTAACGAACCTGAGAATAGTTAGATAATTTTACAATAATGTGTTATATTTTTTTTTACAAAAAAGGTACACACCTACTTTACATGTGGCCTAAAAAATAAAAAGTTCATCCCTTCCCAACTGAATTTGAGAAACACACCAAAACATTTACACATTATTTAACTTATTGTTAACGCAAAGTAGCATAAAAAAATATTTTCGGATAAATTCCACCGTTGGTTCAACCCGAAGTCTTAATACGGCGCAAGTGTGATTTGTCTCTTTTTAGATACTTTTTTAATAAACAAAAAGTTGTTCTACGTATTTTTAAGAAAATCGAATAGGTATGTTTTAGCACCACTACAGATCCACTACCTTCAGTGTTATTTTCGGCCTTTAAGTCTTAAATCTACATCTAAAAAAAAAGGGGAATAAAGTATAAGTTTCTATCCATTCCGGGGAAAAGGATTGATAATATTTTTACAATTTTTGTTATCTGGTTTTCACTGTATATCTGCAGTACTATATGTTTGTATCTAAAGAATATTCGATACAAATTGAAACTAATTCGACTATTTTTAAAAAAACGTTTAACACGCTGTAATTTAAGATAAAATTGTATAGGTAACATTTTTAGGGTGTATCTTTAGGTCACAAAAATATACTTAATTGTAATACCTTTTCAGTTCAGCTTGGAATGAAATAATATATTTTATATTTTTCGTTTTAAATACATCATTGACCAACAAAATTACATAATTCTGCTTTTCATAGGGAAATCAAAAGTGCGCCAGTAATATCCGGTTTTAATTTAGATATTCAACCGTGCTGCAAGTTAGCTATCTAAAAAATTGGGTTTAATAATGTAAGCAAAAATTTAAATATTCCACGATATTTGCTGGAAAATCTTCCTACAAATTTGTATGTCACTTAAAAACATTTAAATATATTTTTCTTTTTGTAAGAATTCAAAAGAAATGCACGCATCTATAATAATTATTATTTATTCATCGGTGTCGTGTAGGTTCGCGGCTCCTGACATTATGCTGAACTACGGGCTGGTACTGAAGAACCACGAGACGAATAAAGAGTTTGTAAACGAGGCCGTGTTGACCATGATGCATCACATAGTGGGCGAGGTGGAGAACACTACTGTGCTCTATCAACCCATCATAATGAAATCGTTCTTGGAGATATTGGAGAAGAAAGAAGACCTGTACGACGTAAGTACCAGCGCTAATAATTAAGGTAGATACGTTAATTAGGTCTAGGACGAGTGACGAAGCGGTCAACTCGACTTGTGCTTTGCGCCGTATCAATAACAATTGGAGTTTTCTTAGGCCTTTGTCGAGCTGTCAACTTATCCGATTGTGGCGTTTGGTTTGTTTTGCAGAGATGGTCGGACCTAGTCGAATACGTTATCCACAAGTTTCTGAACCTGTCCCAGTCGTGCGTGCCACTGTTGACGTTGGACAAATCGCTGAATTCACTGGAGCACAATGAGTATTGTAAGGTGCCCAATACACGTTGAGTCTTGTACGATGGTCTTATATGGACTGACCATGTATGCACACATGAATGATAATGATTGACGGTCAATTATTGAAATTTTGCTAGATAAAGTGGTAGTACAAATAGCTTAACATATTAGCGAAATGGGAAAAAACACAAGCATCTTGTACCTGAAAATATATATATTTTTTTTTATCAATTATAAACATGTATCCTCAAAAATATATTTTATGACACCAATATTTCAGACTGGAAGTATTTTTTCGGTTGTCGAATAGGTAAATCATAAGCCCACTAAAACAATAAAATGTTAATATCTATTGTCTTACTTTATGTATGAAAAATTTGAGTTTAATTGTATGGGTACTATTTTTATTGATTTATAACAGTGTGCAACTCGATTGTGGAAATTATTTTTAAAAAATACCGTTTTGAGAAATGAGGTACTTTTGGCGACATTTTGTTGTTTAATATAATCAATATAAGATTTTATTTCGGTCATACCGAACCCGGCCTCGGATCATCCCTAGCAAATTTGTTTCGATTGTCTCCAAAAATTTTAAATAACTTACAAAGTAAAAAATAAAAAATGTTAACTATCTTTTGTGTAAAAGTTAAATAGAAAAATGCATTTCTTCTGCCCAGTTCTGATTTCATCAAAACAAATTGAACAAAAAAAAGTATTTAAAATACATTAAAAGTATTCAATAATTTAAAAAAAAAATAAATTAAAATGTTTAGAAAATTATTGAAACGTACAAAACTTGTTATAAATGTCACAAAATTGTTTCTTCTACTAATTTTGTTTTTAATTCTACAAAGCCTCCAAACTTATAAAAATAGTTGTTTCGTAAAGTTTTTAGCGTGTGTGTTCTTTGCGTTCAAATTGTGTTAAAATAAAATTATCGGTTCTATTTTCTTTATCGTATTCAAAAAAACAAATCTTAAAATTAGTTACCATTTTTAGTTTTTTTTTTAAACAAAACAAAATGTTATACAATCATGTCTTTTGCTTGCAAAAGATTTAGAAGTAATTTTTAAAGCAAATTGACATGCCAAAGAATGTCTGAGGCAAAATTCGCATGCTACATAAAGAAAAAAACCTAAAAAGCAGAGAAAATGTTCAAAAATTGTTATTTTATTGTAGGTAGTAGGTACAATGATATTAAAAGCGACATCATACATAAAAGCCACATAAGCGCAATGTTTTTTTTTTTATAATTTGTTGGATTTATATTGGCTTAAAAAAAAACAAGAACTTTTTTTCCTCGTGTTCTTGAACAGTTATTACAACAATATATCATTAATGATGAACAGTACCCCATATACTAAGCTGCTGTCTTGCAAGAGGGGAAATAACATCCTTTGAACTTATTCGAACAAATTGTGGGTTAAGCATTTGGGAGGGACAGAGGTATAGGTTAGGTTAGGTATATTGATAATGTACACAAATTATAGGCTGAAAATGTATATAAATTGTTTTATGTTAAAACATTTGTTGGTTGTTTTTATCTGTGGTAGGAGTAAATTTTTTAAATTGTAGGATTAAAAAAATTATATTCAAAAATAAAGATTACACTTCATTGGAAGCATTATTTGAAATCAAATACCTATTTAGAACAATCAAAATCGTTTTTGATCTTAAATTATTACTACAATTACAGTTTATTTAAATAAAAAATTAATAATGAATTAAGACAAAAAAAATAATTAAAAAAGATCGAGTTCATCAAGTTCTAATGCATTATCTTGCGATTTGTTAACAGAGTTATTAAATTCCTATAGGTTTAATTGTATTAATTGTAAGCATTAAAAAAAATAGCCAGATTTTTCTTATCCGTTTAGTTAACTCCGGTTTACTTTTATTTTTTCAGTAGTCAAAGCAATCAAACTACGGAGAACATAAAAACTAAATATTGCTAAATAAGAGAAAGACACTGAAATAGTACAAGTAATTTTAGCCATTCAAAATCAAAGTTAATAAGTATTAAGTTTAACGTTTATTTAAGGTTTACTATAGTCGTAAGATTATCTTTTTGATGATTAAACCTAAATGATTAAATTGGTACAATAAGATAAAAATAATAAATAACTTTATAAGTATACCTAGGTATACTTATCTAGTTTAGATAATGGAATATGTGAATGTACAAATTACAATATAGGTAATGTTAATGTTATTATCATAGACCTATAAAGATTTCTTTATAGGTCTATGGTTATTATGCTTTAATTTAAATTGTTCCTCGAATGTATAAATCGCAGTATTTACTTATGTTGACACTTAGCAAAAATAAAGAAATAACTATTTAAATAAATGTTATGTATTATAATGGCAATTTGATGTAAAAATAAAAATAGCAGTTTTTCATTGATAAAAAAACTTTATACCTTATTATGCTATGTTATTAGTTATTATAAAGCCTGTAACATTTGGGTGGTATGTATATTACATTTTACTGTTATTATTAATAATTAAATTTTAGAAAAAAATGAACTAATATATTATGTAACAACATCACTTAATAATGGATTAGGTACTTGTTTTTTATTTAAAACAAAAACACACTCTTACGGATTACATAAAAAGTATGATTTTTCAGGTACCTTACACTGTCGCTGTAGTCACACTACATCTGTGTTATAGAAAGCATTAATAAATAAAATAATGCTTCAATAGGTCGTTTAACAAAAAAATGTAAAAAACAGTGTTTTCCTTTACGTTTCTTTTTCGAGAGTTTAAAACATTTTTCTGGTAAGTATTTTGCCTAAAAATAAATTCTAATTGGTCGGCGGAAAATGTAAATTTTTAAAAAGTTTCGTTTTCGCTCCATCTGGATTGGTTTTAATTCAATAATTAATTATTAAAGAAGTTATTATGTGTCCCTCTTACACCGTTCAATTATGTACAATAGGCAACACTAAATCCATTGTAGACGATATTTTTCCTTATCAAAATAATATTGTGGCAAATGGCGATAACTGATAACAGCTTGCCGGACGTTGATTTTTTTATGTGACCTATGATTTATAATTTTTTTATCAGAAGAATTTAATGTTATTTTGTAATTTGTTGAGCAAATAAATACTAATAAATACTAGTTTCATAAATACTCGTTTATAGTATAATTTTTTTTGTTACCCATGTGTTAGTTTTTCAACATCGACGACTGATTGATGATTTTTCTCGTTGTCAAGTATGTATACAATCGTTAACACCTCTGTTGCTCTTATAAAAATCACCCTTTGCGTTGTTGACATTTTGGTAAACCTTAAAATGTCTATAGTAGATCTGAGAACAACAGCTGTACTGTGATCCGACAAAAACGAATTAAATGGGCGGTTGGCAACACGTCGCGAAAAACGTCTTCTTTGGGATAGCGATCGGACAAACGTTGGTCGACACGTTTGGCACTGTGGCCAGAGTCGATGGAATTTCCATGCAGCCCACGTTTAACCCCAATCGCACCGTAGATCATGTCTTCTTAGCTCATCTTCCGGTCAAATTGGACAGAATCAAGCGTGGCGACGTCATCGTAGCCATTTCACCTCGTAATCCCAACGACACAATTATAAAACGAGTGATCGGCATCGAAGGTGACGTCATCATTTCGAAAAAAAACATTCAACAAGAATCCTCCAATCAAAAAACCATTCCCAAGGGATATTATTGGATTGAAGGAGACCACAAAGGACATTCCTACGACTCCAACACGTTTGGCCCCATCTCTAAAAATCTAGTTATTGCTAAAGTGCCAGCGATAATATGGCCACCTAGAAGGTGGCAGTGGGTTAGTTCGCAAATGAACAATAATTAAGGTAACAAAAATCACTTTAATGATATTGACGTTGATTAATTGTTTTGTTTATATTAAACACCATGTTTATTAATGAAGTATCAGATTACTTAGTAAGATAGACTTTTCGAAAATCTCAGTTTCTTGTAAAACTTATTAAATGCTAGCTAAGTTAAATACATATCATACTACCTTATGATTTAATTTAAAGAGAAAAAAACAACAATTAAAATTGGAAGCGCAATTTTTATTTTTATCAGTTTTAATAAAGTTTGAAAATAGTTATCAATTGTATCACACCTATAGATTTATAATTTTTACATGATAACTGTGTTACCAATATCTAGTGGAAAAAAAAAATGAAATTACTCCACTACCACTCTTATAAAGAAAATATCTATAGTCAACTAGACTAAAAGATTTAACCAGGTAGATCTCACATAATCAATAACAAGCTAGAAATTAAAAAATTTAAACCAAATAAATCAATTTTTTAGATAACACAAAATGACTCAGCAACTTAACTCTTGATGGCATTATTTATTTTAGTAACTTAAAAGACAATAAATTCACAGTAAATAAGGTAAAATAACTTGTATTGTTTCAGATAAGAAAATATAAACATAGTAAATAGTTCTACATCTAAATAGTACATTATATGTTGCAATAAAAATGAAAGTCGCCTCTTTCATTCATCACTACGAATTTGATGTGCCCGGGAATGTGTACAAAAACGCTGTTGTGCTAGGAGATGTCGACAATGACAACGATATAGAGCTGGTCGTTGGCAACGTGGACGGAGATTTGTACATTTTCAAAGGCCAAAGACAAATCCAAAAAATATCGGGACTGGGAATTATTACTGCCATAGCCATTGGAGATTTGATGAATTGCGGAAGTAACACTTTGATTGTTATTTCTGGTGATGGATGGTGCCACATTTATTTATGCTTGAAATTGTGCAAGTCAGAATTGGTGGACGAATGTATCGTTAAACTTGAACCTGTTCACGTCCAACGCATCCCGGCCAACACCAAAGTAAACTCTACAAGATTTTACGTTGTTAAAATGTATATGTGTTTTATATGTATCAGCTTATTATCTGTATCTGTTTCCTTAGGAAGTTTTACTGGGAGATGTCGACGGTGATGGTTTGGTAGAATTAATTGTCGGACTAACTGATAGAGTTATTCGGTCGTATCGTTGGAGTCAGAGTGCAGCTGCTGGTCGCTTAGTGCCTTTGCACAAATGGGAGTGTGCTAATCAAATAGGATCAATGATACTCAATAAAGATATAGAAGGAAGGCCGTGTTTACTCGTTTCTCAGCCAGGCGCTACGGCTTTGCGAATTTACTGCCCAACCACACACCCAGATTTGATGTAAACAATTTTGTTACAATGTTATGTTTATAGCATATAATATCTTATAATTTAATCTATTCTGTATTCATCTTTAACCCTTTCGTTACTGACATCCTCGTACGAGGATTGAACTTTAAAAATCGAATAAAATATTAACAAGGTACTATTATTATCAAAAATGTCTTTAAACACAAGTTCTAGTATAGATTGATGATAAAAAAATCGACACAGCTATATTGATAATCAATATCAGCCGATATGTAAAAAAAAATGTTGATTTTATTCGGAAAAAAAAAATCCCAGGAACGAAAAGGTTAAATGAGAGTGAATATAATATATTAAACAATAAAAATTGATTTTGCATATGAAATAATACTTTACCGAGAGAAAAAAAAATATGGCCTACATTGACAAATTTTAGTTCATATTTAAAATACTATTTTATTTATTTTTAAATGTTCAAAGGGTCAATCTCAAATTACAACTATCTTTTTATTTCATTATGACCCAAGATAAAAAGTAAGTCGTATTGATAAAACAATAGATTTGTTTTAATTTAGAAGACATTTAACAACAAGTTAAGATAAAATTATGAAATACATTAATTACACTTTCGAAAATTAAATATCTTCTGTGTTATTGTATTGTGTAGTAATCTCCTTTTAAAATAAGATACATTAATAATATTAAAGTAGTTTTCTATAATCTTACCAAAGTTAAATTTCAAAGAATAAATACAAAATTGTCCTTTAAGATTAGCTATTTAATAGAATATTATTACATAGCAAATATTTTAATAAGTATGTAACTCCTAATGGTATTTTACAAGTAATAATTTTTTTTTTGTCTATGATTATAGAGAGACTACAATAAAATTTGAGAACACCCAGCTCATTGAACTCCGTAATCCTTTGATATCGTCTGAAATGATCGGAGACCTCAAATCGGTAGACAATAATGAACTAGATGACAGTAATTTAGGCGGTAGTTTGTATGCGATAACCACTTTAGATGGCCTTTTGATGTTGGTAAAAGAGCAGGTAGTTGTTTGGTAAGAAGTGTATTTTTTAAATTATGCTGTTTGATGAGAGTGCACAACTTTTGAAAAATATTTATATATATATTATTTTTTTTTACAACAGGTCAAAAAAAATTGATCAGCAGTTGTTCTGCCTGAAAAAATTATCAATGACTGAAGGCGGACCTGATTATTTGATCGCTTGTTCGTGGAACGGAGACACTTACATTGTTGACCAACAAAGCCATGTCGTGATATTCCAGTTGGGAGAATCTGTTACTTCGTTTTGTTCGGGAATGTACACGATTAAGTCTAATGTTAGGCCCGTACCTTGTTTTGTGTTTACAACGTTCAGTCATAAAGTAAATCTTTGATTTAGTTTGTTCTATTACTATTATTGCCAAAGATTGAGTACAAAATGCATTTTTGCTCATTTCATTGTTAAGATGGCCAAGTGACATTATTATTTTTCTATAGAATGCTACTTTTCTGGATTTCATTCGATACATCAGTATTACCTATAAACATTTCCTAATAGTACGGAAGGGAAGGGTAAAAAAAAATTACTAGTTATAAATTTGAATGGCCTTGTAAAAGCTTGTATGAGGTTCCTGAAATAATTAAGTTATTTTGTTTACCTTCGATGAGGAGCACTGCTACAAATTTTTTTTTTGTGTGTGTCTGGACCATAATTACATTTTAAAATGGAAATCTAAATTTTTGCATCAACCATTTAGTTAAATTTTATATTCTCAATAATTTCTAAAAACCTTTGCCATTTCCGAGTTCCGGCTCTAATATGATCCTACCCTACTTTGCTGGCTTCTTTAAATGAAAAAAAAAGTGTTTTTGTAATTTTGTAATAATTTGATTAGGAAATTTTTGTTACAAAAAATAATATTCATTTTTGGACTTTAAACTTCTTTTTTTATTTCTCTTAAGACTATGCCTTGACATTGTCGTTGAAGCCAAACGTACCGATCTTTAGCAGTTTCTTTTAGAGTCTTCTTATTCATACAGCTAGTGTGTAACATAATGTTCTTGAGGATAGATGTTCTAGGTCTTCCTCTAGTTCTTATGCCTAAAACCTTCCCTTCTAAAATCATATTTAAAAGTTTGTTATATTGTATCGAGTGGCCGAATAATTTTATTTTTCTAGAATTTATAGCTTCTATGATCTCCAACTTTTCATTTACTTCAGCTAGTATCTGATCATTTGTCTTTCTTGCTGTCCAGCTTGTTTTGGTAATTCTCTTCCAGAACCACATTTCTGTGGCAATTAGTCAGTTGTCAACTCTCCTGTTTGTCTAGGGTCTACGTTTCGCAGCCTTAAGTCAAGACGCTCCATACAAATGTCTTTTAAGAACCCTTTCCTTGTGGTTATCGACAGGTTTTGATTTACTAGTAGCTTTTGTTTCCTTTGGAAGGCAGCTAGTTTGGCAAGTGCTATTCTTTTCTTTTTATGTCTTTTGTTGGCATTTGTAAATTGACTACCCAAATAACAGATTTTTTTTTACTAGATCTTTGTGGCAGTAATTTATTATATTGTCGGCTATTATCTGTGAGTCGGTCTTATCAACAACCATTGTTTTAGTCTTTTTGACGTTGATGCTCGGGCAAAGCCTGTTAAGCTCCAATTTTAGAACTACTGGCATGTGGTTTCAATGAAACCATTTCACATCTTTCTCGGAGTTCACTAACAATATAATGTCGTCCGCCAAACAAATACGGTGAATTTGTTGACCTTTTACTTTTACTTATTTACTATTAGATTTTGTCGTTATATAGCTTTTTCTATGAAGAGGTTAAAGAGATATAGTGATAGCGACAGCCTTGTCTTACCCCTCTTTTTATTTTACTATTGTTTATAACCATTTATATTTATCTCTGTGCATTGAGATTTATAAAAGTTTAGAATCAATCTAATCTTCTATCTCTCCAATCTGTGCTCTTCTTATTGCTGTAAATAGTAGCTTCAAATCTACTCTATTGAATGCCTTTTCTAAATCAACGAACGTAGTGTATGTTCTTCCATTTGTATCCAGTCTACGTTCTGATATAATTTTTAATGCTAAACCTTAACACATATTATAAAATACAACTTTTAAAAAATGAACGACGGTGTATTCTATTAAAACATATAAATTAAATATTATAACCAAAAAAAAAAATACTCAAGTAGTCGATTGTGTTTTTCCTACTTAGATTATTTTAACAAAAAAAGTCATTTGATTTGTAATTTTCTAATTGTATTTTTGAAATATGTATATTTCATCATTTATCAGACATTCTCACGGTATTTTAATTATTATCGCACTATCTTGACAAACGGTAGAATTTTGTAAAATCATTTGGCATCTTTAAGCTTCTTATTATGCTTTTAGTAAAATTATTACAATACAAGACACCGATGAGAAACCACTTTTATTTGTTGTATGACTAAAAGCTAAATTGGTTGTATCAAATAATTTGAAATGTAAAGCTTTTTTATTAATATTAAGATGAAATTACTTTTTTGTAGGTTTACATTTATTACGACGTAAAACTACCAAAGTCGTCCGTGCAGACTTTGTCAAAATGCATTGCTGACGACAGAGAACTTTCGATGTGCATGGAAAAACTTAATATCAGTACTGATGATGATCGTAAAAAACTTATTGATGGCTGTCTGTACAAATGTATGTAATGTTGTACAACAAATGTATAATATGTTCTCTCCTACACTTCTATTATTATTATATAAATTTATTGTGTATTGTTTTTATTTACTTAATTTATTTGTTTTTAGGGCCTGTACGTGACTTCGCCGAAGAATCTTGATGAACAACATTTGATAATAACGTTAGGTGTAGCTGTTTTTGTTATGTTTTAAATTCTTTATTTACGTTGAAAACTTAAATATATTTTTGTATTAAATCTATAAATGAAGTAACTTTTTAAAAAAAAATTTCTGCCTACCATTACGGAGTACTAGCAACAATAAGACTTAACTGTTTATTATAATTTAACGTTAGTAACTAAATATGTGAAAACTTGTCGATGAAGATGTGTTTGTTAAACTGTTACTTTAATTTTATTATTGTAACCAGAATGTTCGTGTAGTATATTAATTATATAGTATTATTGATCAGTGTTGGTAAAAATGAGTGATTTTTTTTATTTGTAACCCATAACTGTTGTTAAACGATAAGTTTTAATAAGTAATAACTATTTGTATGTTTCATTGGCGAGCAAGCAAACCCATTACAGCCAAAATAGTGTAAAATTCAAGTTTAAACTTAAACATAAATAGAAATAATATAAGTATTTTACCATAATAAAATATATTGAAGTGTAATATCATACAATTAACAGCTACTAAGTATCACTTTTGTACGAGGTTAAGACTGTTTTTACATTGTTAGTAGTTTTTGATATCTGGTCCATTAACTTGGTGATAATTTAAATTGTATACAAGTAATTTTAATAAAATTTGTATGATGTGTAATTGAGCACAAATCAAAAGTATTATTTAAAAATTTAATCATTTTGCTGTTTGCAATTTATCAATATTTGCTCGTCGACCGTATGATTTACTATTCGAAATGGAGTTTATAATTATATTTATATTAAAATAACTTAAATAAACTTAAGTGACGAGAACCAAGAAGGCTGTAAATTATAAATGATTATTTCAAAATTATTGATGCTCATTATTTTCCTTAAATATCTTATTTAAAAATTGAGGGAAAATTTAAAACTAAATGCAGAGAAATAGATTTTATTAACAAGTATTGTAAAATAACATTTTTTTTTATGTAAAAAATGATTTTGGTTAGGAAAACTCTTTTTGGTTCCTGCCACTTTAAATCAAATCAAATTCAAACAATATTTTAATTGCAAATAACATTTTTGAAACATTAAATTTCATAATATACATAATTTATTATAGTTGGCTAGTACTAGGTAACCTAATTACCGGTAATTTTTTATAATTTTATGTAATTGTGGGCTTTCACTAACTAAAGAAGGATGTATAATGTTATTACAGTATGTAATTACTATTTTGACATAAAATGCACCTATTTATGAGGAATCGATAAATTAGTAAAATAAGAATAAAGATAATAAGACTTTAGTAAAATATGCTTAAATATATAAAACTGTGTCCACAGTAGTATATTTAAAACATATATTTACAATGCAAAAAATGTTTTCAAAATTGTTTGGTACCAAAAGTTGGCCAAATTCATCCCATTTGCCCTAAATTGATATCTTACAAAATACATATCTAAAATAAATAGTTTTACTCTAATTGTAACATCTAATTATTATTATATTACATGTTAGGGTTAATCCAAATTCCGAGTTACCGAAATGTATAGATGAAGTTGGCAAAAAACAGCTCTAAGTAATATTTGTTTGATATTTTAAAAGTAATGTGTCATTTCAGTTTATAAAACACAGATCATTATATTAAAACGTTTGTATTGTTCATTATTATACTTTGATATAGTTTTGAATATTTTTATTACAAGTGAACTTGTTTTCAAATAAAATCTCTATTTATAATATATGTTATTTTATATCCTACTATTGTAAATACTATTACCTAAAACCATTTCGTCGATAAACCAACAATAAATATAATATTTTGGTTTTTTAAAGTAATTTTAGTCGTGTTTTCAACGAGCCCATTCCAAATATCGTAGCTTCAAATTTTTAATAGATATAGTCAAAAGACAAAAAAGATTTCACCTTCACACGTTTTAATGAAATGGACGAAATAGCTTTCAGTCACCTCTAAATATTATCTTATCAAATTTGAATTTTTAGCCTCAATTTGAGATTAGTCGAGTAGACAAAAAACAATTGTTTTTTTTTTGGGGGGGTTGCTCAAATATACATATTATAATATACTATAATGTTGATAGTAATTAGTATACAATAATTAATTCTAATGCTTCTCGTCAAAATACAAAAAACCGCATGTAAATGACGTTAGTAGTTTCGAAAATTATCATGGACAAAAATTATGCACTTTTTTATATATAAATAATATATATTAGGGCGGTCATTAAATTTGACATGGCGTTAGATGGCCGTCATTTAGCTCCAATTATTAAAAAATATTTTTTCTAATTTGTTCAGATTTTCATTTATTTCCCTTGGTCTCCCTGTTTGCACATCAAATGTATAAACTGTCACTGTCATAAACCTATATAGATAGATCTTATAGGTCTATGGTCACTGTACATTTGATGTACCTACAAACAAGGAGTCCAAGAAAAAGCTAATTTAATTTTACATAAAATGTGTAAATTGCAAACTGAGTTCTCCCTAAAAAAACCAAAAAAAAAAGAGGTGAAATTTCTTATTTCATATAGAAATGTCGAAAAAAACGACCACAGTAAATATCGAAATAGTAGAAATAATTAGAACGTGTAAAAATAAGATAATTTTCCGTTTTTCGATTTTTCTATATGAAAAATATATATATACCACCTATATATAAATATTATATTATATAATATTATTATATTTATTTATAACCAGGGTCCAAGGAAACGCAGCACACATGGAAGGCTATTTATTGTTATTTTTCTGGCTGTTGAGTGAATTGTGTTCTTGGCCGTATTGCCAATGTCGGTTGCTCGGACCCTGGTACACAAAATTTCCAATCTGTTAAAAATCTCGCTATTTTATCAATACACACTTTATTAATATACAGTCATGATGTTGTGAAATGTCAGTTAAATCGTTTGGTAAGGACAATGGCGAATATTTTATACAAATCGGTACTGCGATGATTTAATTTTTCATTAGATAGGTACACTATATCACTTTTAGGTCTCTTTATTGACAATCCAGGCTATAACAAAAAAAAAAAATATTACAATATTTTTTAATATTGTAATTTTTAGGTGAATGCGTTTACATACATTAAATATACTATATTTTTATCTTTATTTTCTTTGTACTACCTTCCTTGTTTAAATAGAGGTAACATTTTTTACTCTCTTGCGATATTGTTGGTAAAGTAGTATGGTAGTAGTAGTTGTGCAATAATATGTGGTGTTCCTAATGGATGAAGACCGTGTAAGATGTGAAAATCAGATAAGAAAGAAGAGTTAAGTAGTATTTCACCAGTAAGTCATTTTTTCCCTGCATTTTTTACTGACCCGACAAACAAACACAATGTTGGTGTTGACATAATATTAAAACAATAAAATGTATCGATAAGATAATAAAAACAAGAATATTAGGTCCATGAGTACAAAGTACTCTAAATGTACGTGCGCCTAACTTGAAAATACAGCATTTTTATTTTTAGTGAATTTTTAGCCACGAAATTTCAAGTAGTTATATAAAATATTTTCTTCTATATTATTACTATTTTTTAAAACGTCTAATGTATGTATACTGTATATTGTACAGTGTACCAGCTTATATCACGGCTATCTAGACAACCGTGATTTAAACGCAAAAGCTATACCCTTAAGCACTCCCCTGACGGTTTATTCTCTCCCCGCCCTACCACCATACATTACTATACGGTACGTGCGCTTGCAAAATAAACAGACCCTTTTTCGGTCTTTGCGAGGATTCCATCTAAAGTTTAAGCTTAGTATTAGACGGGACGATGTGTACCGTCTTTTAATGAATATTAAACAAGAGCGGAAAGCCGGAATCGCTATGGCAACCGAGGCAACTTTTGCACAATCGATTTTTCAGAGCTGGTACAAACCCATAAAACCCCTTGTGTGACCCCTTAGGTCACACAAAACGCCACCAGCGGTAGAATTTGGCCGTGCGTGGAGTATGAAATAACAGTGTAAAATATTACACAAGATTTAAAGAAGTAGGTAGGTAAGCTTACCTTTGTGCAAAAACCCCCAATCACCATAAAAACTCTTAACTAATAATTAGCAATTGTCCTTATTGCTTTAAATCCACACTTTTTTTATATCTACACTAGCCAATTATGTGCATGTATTTTCCCCAATTAGTATTGAAATATATTTTATCCTATTGGAAGAGGAGTGGGTTTTTTTTTTGTCTAATATAGTGTTTACTATATATTAACACTACCTACTTAGAAGTTCATTCTACACAAATAATGTTTAATGAATATTCAGTAGATATTACAAATTTTTAAGAATAAAATGTTCGAGATATTTACTTATTGTTAGTGTGACGTTAATTGAACGTTACCACAAAATATGTATCAATGGGGTAAATTAAACCGTTTTCATAAAAGCCATTAGGAATTTTCGCAAACAATTAATCCACCATTAGTTGAGGTTCGCACCAGACGGGTTGAAGAGATACTTTTCTTGCAAAAACAACTATTTGATTATTCATTGTCTGTCGGTGAACTCAATCTTCTACCTGTGTCAAGTTTACAATTTTTGTTCATTAATTTTCGATAGCGCTATATAGAGGAAAACTAATTGACATCATTCGTGTAAACCCAGAAATACGTAGAAATAATTTTAATTTTGCTTTCTTTTGATTCTTACCACAGCTATTTAACTCATACGATTAAGTTAGACAAAAAGTTAGTCAGAATTGTTCACCTTTTCGCCGGACTTCTAAAAAGAAGAAAATTTGCATTTGTTACATAAGTTTTTTTGTCAAAGATTAAAATTTAATTGCAATATTTAAATTTTTTTTTGGATATTAGTGCCAAGGGCGGATAGGCTACATTTTTTTTTATCGGGAAAATATACTTTAAAAAAAGGCCCAAATCTATTTGTACATTAAGTAACTCAAGAAGACTTGTTTATGCCTTACCCAAAATTGTATTCTCAGGTAATATTTTTTATCGTGCGCACATTTAATACATGTTTCTTTTTGATTTAAATTTAAATCATCCTTTTTTTCAACCTCGTAAAATGTATTTAATATTAAAATAAATATAAAAAGTGTAAATCCTGTATTTATACATTCGCATGAATAATATGTTGAATAATGATAATTCATAGATTACTGCGTAGTTATTGTGATGTTTAGTTTTTTTTTGTCTTTCTATTTGTTCGAGTAAGGGGAAATTTTTAAAATGATTATAGATTAGTAGGTATTAAAATATTATTTGAATTCTTGTGTATATATTTGTGTGTGTTGACTACTGATTAGCAAACACTATAATATAATCAGGGCCAAATTTAGGCAAATAAATAATAGTAACGACGACGTGGTATGGACTTGTGTACTAAGTGATAATATCAAGAACTGACGTTTTTTTTTTAATATTATATAATATATTAAGATAATATTCTATTTTAAAAACAATTAAAATGAAACGAAATCGACTAAGCGGTGCTGCTTATTAGAAATGTGCTCAGAGAAAAGAGCACTTGTCGTATAGTTAAAACAAGAAAAAATAGTAATTGTATCACGTGACATTATATATTATATGAGTTTTAATAAACCTATTCTATTGCTTTCGGCATATTTTA